CATTTCAATTGGAGTATGATTGTATATCTAGGTGTTATCTTCTTTTTTTATACCATGTTATTGCTGTTGTTTTGGCTTTTAACCATGCAGATATTTTGGAGGGGATTGCTTGTCATGTAATTTACATTTGAGCCTCTATTTTGGTGCATTTAAATCTCAGTGTAGACAATACTAAGGTGAGGTGGACCAAGGGTCAGCCCCAAATTCCGTTCATAGCATCTGTTTAACGTCAACATGTGCTAGGAATGCAGAGGAGGAACTGCAGCTCTTGCAACAGAGGAGGGGAGAAATCTGACAAAGCCAGAGTGGGAGTGGAATGAGGACTGGTTAAGTTGCAAGGAAAAACAAGGAAGATTACCACAACTTGACACCCTAGCCCCCCAGCTATACAAGATCCCCCCAACTACCCAAACAATGAGATAGAGGAAGATCAGAATGACACAACACCTGAACTTCCTGTTTCTCTCCCATAAGGCAAAGTGAGAAATACCCATGAGAATTGAAGAAAGCCAGGCTGGTTAAGATTTCCAGCCAAACACACACACACACACACACACACACACACACACACACACCACAACACTGAAGTTGCAGCAGAGATCAATATCCTTAAAGTGTCCCCAGATCTGCTCCCAGCCAAAATCCAGAGTTCAGCTGCATTCTGACACCATGTGCTCCATTGACTTTCATGCAAACATTATGCATGAAAACAAAACGAAAGCATTAAATTACATGAAACATGAATTAGAAACAGCACGAACTGTTCTGTTTGATTTTACAATTTAGGAATAGAAGTTGGTCAGGGGCATCTGCTCCCATTCTGTCCAGAGGTTTGAAAACTTCTAGAAACAACCTGTGCCAGCATCAAGATGGGTCATTATATTTTATTATCTCTGTGCCCAATCATGTAGAGAAGAAAGACCCATCCTAGATAATATTCAAAGGAATGGGGAACTTGTCTAGAATCTAGCAATCTTCTCTCTGCTGTATAAAAGAGCAGCCTGTAAATTATAGCTTTCTGGTATTACTGGACTTATAAACACAGCTGAAACCACTTGGATCAAGCACAGGGAAGTTGAACCACGCAAGGCAGATCAACCCAGGAGGCGGTGGGTGTATTACTGCTGTCAGTGCTGTGTGGAACTTGTAGAGAAGTGATGCTTCCAAACAGCAGCAATAGAAGTCTGGACTTCCGGAACTGTGGTGCAGCAGACACTCCTGCAAACAGCGTGCAAGGGACCAACCTAGTCTGATCATGTGTCATAAATTGTGTGCAATGTGTCCTCGTATTGTCTAACATCAGGTTCAAAGGAGGTACACCCACTACTTATCTGGAGCTGTTTGCTGAAGTCTGATTCATTCCTCAGAAGAAGAAATGTGCAAAAACAACATACACTGTAAATGCTCAACCGGATGATCAGACTGGTTCTTCAGCCTGTCCCAGCTTGCAGGAGCTAGTCGGGATATTAGGTCCCAGTGAGCAGATCAGAAAATAGGCATTATTTGGGATTTAAGGAAGAAGCTCTCACCTTAGCCTTCTGGCATCACAGGATTATTCACCAACACAACTCTTCAATCCTGCCTTTCTCATCCTTCATGAAATTTTACACAGGCATGTAAGACACACAGAAAGCCAAATTTTCCCTCAGGACAGCCAGTGGTTGGTCAGGAGACTGAATTGTGGGCTCTGGCAAGACAACCCTCTTTTAACATCTAATGGATTTTTTATTATTTGTTTTACTGCTGCTTTACCATTCTGCTTTTTGATTGCTGTTGCTTTATTACCCTTTTATGTTTTATTGTTGGATGTGAAAGGCCCTGAAAATTGCCACTGACGGGTAGTATGCGTTTAAGAAAACAACCCGGAACCTAACTTTAACCAAGGTGTAATCATATTCTTGCTCCCAGTTTCAGTTGTAATGAAAATGGTTCTCTTCTGCAATGTGTGTGAGAGTGAAAAGAATTCTAGACTTTTTATTTGGGGGCTTTGTATCTAATGGCCCAAACAAAAGCAAGTAATGAGGCATCCTATATATTTTAAGGTAGTTTTATTACTGTTGATTGGGGAGTGTTCTGCTTTCCTGCTCATTCCAAAAAGACAAAGCACCATCTCCAATGCTTCTCTGGCTGACCTACTGCAAAGGACATTTTCCCCTCCAATACAAATACTTAAGTTGATGACCTACCTGTTGGCTTGCAGGGCATCTTTGGAAGAAGAAAAGGCGCTAAGGAGTAAACCCCACACAAATCCAGAGTGGAGCCCCTAAGATGGTTGGATGGCGTCTTGTATGCAACCAAGCTGGTGCCAAATATATTCCTCTCCTTTCTTTTGGTCCACATCACTGAGGTCGAGAGGGGGGTCTTGCCATCTGGGCAGCCCAGGACCTCCATACACACTTTCCAGGCCATTCCCCAAAGAGGCACAGCAGACACAGTGCTGTCTTTCATTATACAATGGTACCTCAGGTTAAATATGCTTCAGGTTACATACGCTTCAGGTTACAGACTCCGCTAACCCAGAAAAAGTGCTTCAGGTTAAGAACTTCGCTTCAGGATGAGCGCAGCAGCAGCAGGAGGCCCCATTAGCTAAAGTGGTGCTTCAGGTTAAGTACAGACCTCTGGAACGAATTAAGTACTTAACCTGAGGTACCACTGTACATGGTTTGTGCATATATGCAACCTAGATTCAGGTAGGTAGCCGTGTTGGTCTGATGCAGTCGAAATAAATTTAAAAAATGTCCAGTAGCACTTTAGAGACCAACTAAGTTTGTTCTGGAAAGAAGCTTTTCTGAAGAAGTGTGCATGCACACGAAAGCTTATACCCAGAACAAACTTAAGTTGGTCTTTAAGGTGCTACTTGTGATAGGAATTTTATGGTCTTAGATATATGGTAATGTTCATAACCGCACATACATAGATCAACACAGGAAGACCAACCTGGAACCATTTTGATTCCTAAACTGACCAAATGTTTTCTCTGCAAGGTCAAAATGGAAAAGCCTCCCCATTGTCTCTTCCTTCACAAATCCTGTCTTGGGGGTATGTCTGTGTTTGAATAAGGGTGTGAGCCTTATCATTACAAAAGACTGCCCAGGCTCCCCAAGAAATCCAATCAAGTAACCTGCCAGACAGGAAATAAACAAGCGACAGGAGAAAAACAACATGCAAATGTTCTGTTTTAGACCGCCTTTTCTGTGATGTATCTGAGGGGTGGTCTTAGGTTACACCCTTTCTGTGATGTATGTATAATGTTTCTGGGGGTGGTCTTGATCTACAGGATGGGAATTTCAAAAGTCTTTATAAGCCCTTGCACGTCATTTTTGTGGGTCCTCCTCCTTTGCTGCGAGTGAGGGGAGCACCCTGTTGCAACAGATCAATAAAGATCCAGCTTACTAGCTGCTTTGCTTCTCAATATTCTCTGGTTGGCCTCTGTTATTTTCTCCAACCAATAGGGAACCTATGTAAGGACTCTATATAGGCTCTTGGATACCCCATAAGGGAAAAGGGCATATTTTTATTTACAACATACTGGACAGTTTTTTAAAAATTTTTTATTTATTTCACATACATACAACCTGAGCCTACGATGCAGAGGTTCACAGCACTGGCACCCCAAGAGGGCCTTGTTTCTCCCATAGCCACAGCCTTGGATTCAAACAGAAATCAACCATCACGCTCTGCCCCTCTCCAGCTTGCTGCCCTTTTCAACCCGAAACATCCTTTCCTATAGCTCAACCTCAGCTTTAGATTCTGTCTTTTCTTTTTCTTACTCAGAGTTGGAGGAGGGGCACCACCTACTTGGCTTTTGGCACAGAGCCTTTCTTAATGGCCCATTACATTTCCTTTGTTCTCTAAATGGCTCATCTCCCAGGCTCATGAAGAAACTAGCCTGGCTTATTTAGCTTTTAACATTTGGGTCCAGGGATTTAGTGTCTGGCACCAACAACGCATTACACAGGGGAGTCTGCCATCCACAAACTCATAAGAATATATTGTCCATGATGGGAGTGAGGGGGTTATAAGATATCCCAACACATCATTATGGAAGTCTCCATAGTTGTCATTTTCACTGGATTTTTTCCAATGCAGGAATCAGCAATTATGTAAATAGAAAAGCTTCTTAGTTACAGCTCACGCCATAGGATTGATACACTTTGTGCAGACAGCTTATTAAATGAGTTCAACACCCACTTGCATTATAAAATTTATCATTCTCTGTTTCTGATTCAAGTCTTCTCTGTTACGTTTTTCACATTCAGTCTCAACAGAATATGATGTGGGTGTTTTATTTTTAACTACACAGTGTCTGAGTCTGAGATGCTTTGTCTCTGTTGTTCGATACAAACTCTCTTCCCAGGTTCTCAGTGTGGTAGTTCGTGAACTGAATTGCACGACTTACAGAAATACTCCTAACTCCTCTTAGCTTGGTGATCATATGGGACAACTTTTTCAGGCCAGGCCACTGTAGAATAGGATTTGTTCTTGGGTGGAATGGGTGTTCTGATTTATCTTCCTTTTGGTGTTGTTTACCATCAAATCACACAGATCTTCCATTTTTCACAGGTTAGCTGCAAGTCATTTCCAAGTCCTATCACAGCCTTTTCCCACCCGGTGCCCTCCAGATGTTTTGGACCACAACTCCCATCAGCCCCAAGCCAGTGTGCTTGTTGGATCGATGGGAGTTATAGTCTAAAACATCTGAAGATCACCAGGCTGGCAAAGGCTGGTCTACTAGAAAACAGTATAGGGAGTAGAGATTCTTTCATTTGTTGTTTCCAATATGATGCCACCATAAGAACAGCAGGCCTGGCAGCCCATCTAGTACAACTGTCACAGAAGCCAGCCAGGTGTGTATGGAAAGCCTGCAAGCAGGACTTAGCACAAGAGCACTCTCCCCTCCTGTGGTTTTCAACAACTGGCATTCACAAACATAATCATAGAGTTGGGAGCCTGAGGATCATCTAGGCCAACTCCTGGAACTGAAGGGATATGCATCTGTCCCTCCCTTACAGGGATCGAACCTGCAACCTTGGCATTGTCAGCAGCACGCTCTAAACAACTGAGCTGCTATTTGCATGGTGCATTTCCATGCGCCCTGGCACTCGTCTCAGTGTCCCGTTGCGCCAGAAGCGGTTTAATCATGCTGGCCACATGACCCAGAAAGCTGTCTGTGGACAACAGCCAGCTCCCTTGGCCTGAAAACGAGATGAGTGCCACAACACCATAGTTGCCTTTGACTGGACTGAACCGTCTAGGGGTCCTTTACCGCCCCTTGTTTTACCTGGTGAGTTCACTGCATTTTGTTAGAACTTGTTTAATGTATTTCCATATGGTTTGGTATAATTTTCTGATCAGGCCTTCTAATTCACTTAGTTGCCCATGGTCAAAGTATTTTCTAGTCACCTTGGAAGCATTGCTAAGGTCTATAAGCCACTTTCATCTGATATAGTGGATATATGTATTTTTTTAGAATAGTCCTATCCCACCTTTTCCCCATCATGGAACTCAAAAGCAGCGTACACACACTTCCCATGTAGTCTCCCATCCAGACACTGACCGAACCCAGCTATTTATTTTCTTCATCATGTGCCCTCAGAGCATGCTCTGTAACACTTTTGTGGTTTAAGATGTTTGTAGATGTTGTAAATGCATTTCAATGTTTTAATTTTTTTAATATGTTTTAATTTTTAATTATATTGCTTTAACAAGTTGATGTCTGCTGCAATACAAATTAAAGAAACAAATAATGGTTCTGATGAAACCTAAGATGCTGTCAAAGAAGCATGCACAACATGAAACTAAGCTTTAATCTCCTGCAACTCACACTGCAGCGTTTTATTACAAGGTGGCTGCTGTGAGCAATTATTTCCTAGTACACACTCGACTAGGTTGAACTCATTTTTCTTCTTCTTAGAAGATGCTGATATCATAATGGTCCTCAGTCCAAAGCTGTTGTTAGTTAGTTAGTTAGTTTTTCTTTTATAATGGCCACCCAGCATTTATGGCTTGTAAGTAGACTGAAATAAGATAAACCGCATAGGTAGCTGTGAAAGACTTAGCCAGAAAAACACCCCTTTTTTATTTGTGCATAACATTTTCCTGCTTTGCTAAGTGTTCTGGAACAGAACGCAACTGGTATCCATTCTAAACCCTGCAGTTGTAGTAGCATAGCTGCCAATCATTGGATGCTGCCTTGCTGCCATCATAAAACTGTAATATGGGAGTAATGGAGATGAAGTCTTTTAACTTTGTAAAGGCTGCATGTCCCAAAACCCAGGACGTGAATTTCACACTAGATTTAATGGTTGTGCATCTGTCGAGACCTTTGGCAATCAATGCCATTTTTTATCACTTTCGTCCCTGTGCTTCTCTTCAAGGACAAACCCCTCTAAAGGCTGTCTGAAAAGACAGGGTTCTTTGCTAAAGAGATCTTCAAAAATGGCTGAATTGCTCCTTCTGAGTGGTCTTTGTGCTGCATTTGCAGAAAATTGAAGAATGAGTTCAAGTATTTTTATCCTACGCTTCAGTTGTCGTTTTTCTAAAAAAACACACCCTCCTTGAATGCCTTACAAAAATCAGTCCTGCTCTCAGGCTTTCAGATCTAAGATTCGCTACAAAAGGAAGAGATATTGGAATGGGGGAGAGCAACCAAAATTGCCCTTTTTAAATGACTGCGGCAGCTGCTTTTACTGTTTTGTGGAGTACAGGTTACCTGTTTCCAGTCACTCCCAGTTTGGTTTTGCTCCCTCACCTGAGTCTTGATCAACTTGGATTGCCTTGCTGCCTCTATGAAGAGTTAACTCTTCAATTAATTGTATTCTCTCAGAAAGCTCCTTGTCTATAATTCCAAGTACTAATCTTTGAAGTGTTCCTCCTTTTTTATCAGTGAACTCAACAGTATTCAGCCTGTTAATTCAAGGCCTTAAGAAATGACTGAACCATTTCCCCAGGCTTCTAAGCTCATAAAAAACAGTCCTTCTCATAAACTGCATTCCTCATGGGGATAATTCAGCCAGAACACCATCAGTCATACTCGTGGCCACTTTGGCAAAGGTAAAGGATTTATAAACATTGGGGGCATACATAGCACAATGGATTGAACTCCCCTGCACTATTCCTACCTCTTTGCGGAACTTTGCAGCTAGGAAAAAGCAACCTCCCCCTGCCCCATTCAGGCCATGCTGCAGGTTTATTAATTTCAAAGGCTTATGGTGCAGGGAACTGTGCCGTTGCCTTTGTAACTTGAGGATTCCATTGGTGGCCTGCACCATTATGGAAAGGTTAGGGGACTCAATAGGTTTATTGTCTCTAACCAGAACCGATATAGAACCGGTCTCCACCCAGATACAAGCCCAAGTCAAATTTAGTGACAAACGTATGACACTATCCACACAGTGGCCAAGAGTCAATACTACGCTGGCATGGCATGACTTTTTAAAAAGACTACAAAACTGATAAATGGGAATGGCACGACGTATCCACCATATATTCTTTAAACCCATTCAAACTGAATTTGCATCAAATTCTTGTGTCAATAACTCTCCCTCTCCGTGTCAAGAATTAGTGACCAAGTTACTGGATTTTTATCTGAAATAATGGCAGTGACTCCATTACTGAAATCAATTATGCTGCTGTTAAAAAAAATAGTTTGCTGTGATGCTATTATTTATTATAGGCTATATGCTCCTTCCATGTTGTTCTTACTTGACAACTGAAAACCTTATTCTAAGCTTTTGTGAGCTTTTAATAATAATAATAATAATAATTATTATTATTATTTATACCCCGCCCTCCCCAGCCAAGGCCGGGCTCAAGGCGGCTTACAAGCAATAATAAAAACAAGTTGAATGATTACAACTTAAAAACAAAATTAAAATACAACATTAAAATACTGAAACATTAAAATATTAAAATGTAGCCTCATCGCAGGAGGAGAAGGAAAAGAAAAAAGAAAAGTGAAAGAGCCGGTGCTGTGCTGTTTTTATTGCAATTATCTGTATGTTTCTAATACATCTTATATATAGTTTCAATTATTTAAATGTTTTTCATTATTGTTCCCCCTCCCCCCCCATGTTTTTAGCTGCCCTGAGTCTGTCAGGGAAAATGGTGGGGTATAAATAAATATATAAAAACAACAAAACAACAGCTTCCTATAAAAATGTATTGAGTTCAGCACTTCGTTTTGCTTTTGTGATCTTGCAAGCCTTTTAGATTATTACATTTTGTTTATATTTAAATTCTAACTATTTTGTTCTCATTGGTTCATTTAACTGCCATGGGAATATGCTTGAAGGACAGTATAGAAACACCTACAAGCAATCAATTGCATCACAGCAGACTAAATTTTTAACAATAACCTTATTGATTTCAAGAATGTAGTCATTCTTTCAGATAAAAGTCTTTTTTTTAAAGAAAAAGAAAAGAAAAAGAATGATTGCTTGAAGACACACACAAGTTGTACTGACTGTAGCAAAGGGTCTCAGATTGCCATCTTGGCTAACTCAGGATAAATTCTTCCAGCGTGACATTATAAAAGTGTGTCTGTATGCATGCATAAGGGAGAAAGCAAGAGAGTTCCTGTTTATATCTTGCATATGGGAAGTCACAGTGGCTGACTCCCCTAATTTAATAAGTATTCTTGTTGCCTGATGTCAGCTGTGTGTCTGCAGCCAAAATTGAATCTGCAGGAGTACGCGGCTGGTGAGCTCATACAAAAACTATGTAGGGACATTTATATTGGAGTGGTGGCCCTTTTGCCAATAAAAGGGTAGTGTTCCGACTATAACCTTGTTGATTCTCAAAGTGAAACTAAAATGACAGGTCTATGGATGAACAAGTGCACCAGCCATAAACGGTGACTATATTTGTAACAGGTTGCTGTTGCGCTGCAATTCAAGGAACCCTGGAAACCTCATCCAGTGGCCCATGCCATCTTTTTCAGCCACCACCAAGCCGACAGGTTGGAAATTACATCATAAACTTGTCTCCATCACAGGTTATAAAAGGTGGTGGCAGCCCCTCTATAGGTGCCCAAGATAGAGAATATTACACCATCTAATTTTGCTCCAGGTTTTCATACATATGCTCCAAATACAGAGCCTTTGACTACTCATCATTTCCTTGACAAATGCCAATGTATGCTGAAGTAGCTTTTAAGTGTGATGGGAGTACCCTTACAAGAGAAAATTGTACAGATGGTCAACTGCTGCTGCAGTGCTGATATTTCCATGCAAATGACCTCCATTGTTATTTTCCACCAGCACGAGCTTATTTTGAAACTGAGCTGGGCAAAAAAGTGGTAAAAAAACAGGTCATTGGGGATGTGATCAGGAAAGTATTAGCTAGTAGATAAAAGAGACTTAATGTACACATGTGCACACCAGTCCCCACCGGTTACTATGGTTATTCAAAAGACCTCTCCCTTCCCTCTTTATTTGTTTTAATGTCAACCCTGGGTCAAATAAAGAAATTAGAGTGTGGAAAGAATGTAAAGAACTGTCATGTGATGATAACTGCTTGTGTAAGCAAAGCCTTACAAATGGATGCTTGCGGAACCAGTCAGTACCTTTTATCTCATGGTTTGCCCATTTTGCAACCAAAATTTTAAATAACATTGTAGTTGGATTGTGAGTTTCAAGTCATTTTGCACTTAAAGCACTTTTCTCCTCGCTTGCACCAGCTTTGTAGTTTCTAAGTTAGATATGGTGCAGCTGAGATGATTGTTGACAACTCTACCCTGAAGTGAACAGCAGCACTGGTTGCTTACGTTGTGTTCTCTCTGCATTTTTTGTGTGAGTCGTCATCTGACTATGCAACTCTGAATACTTAGGTGGGGCCCTTCAGGCAATTCAGCTAGGTCTGGATGGAATGCATGTAAACTTGACAACTCACAGACTAATTCAAAAGCATGTGTAAGTTGCCATTTCCAAAGCTGGGATAAGGTATTGGATGAAATCTATTTTTAGAAATACGTAACAAAATGGTTTGTAAATACCGTCAGCGTTTCCCATTTATAAAGCACACAGGTTCATCAGGTTTCTACGTTATTATTTATTTCTTTTTTTCCATTTAAAATATAGCACTGAAGTTCTTAACACATATAAATATCCCTACAATTTATTACCATGCTATCCAGGCATCATTACTTAAAGTGCCTAATATTGAAAACATTTCCTCCTCCCGCCGCCGCCGAGTGCCTTTTAAAAAGTTTCACTTGCTGATATTGACCCTACTTCCCCTACCACAGAGTGGTGTGAAAACAATTCTTTTACAAGATATTCTTCAGACGCATCTTCTGAGCAATATACAGAAAATAGATTAAATGTTTTTTCTTCTTCCTTATGCCCCCACATCGCCCCCACCTGAGTGTTTACAGTGTCCCAAGCTGCTAAGTTTATTAAAAACCAATTGGTGCAAAGCTCCTGAAATGCATGCAAGTTAAATTTCACTTAACACACACTTTAACTTAAACAGTCCGAGGACTTTAATTTTTCCCCTGTGGCTATGGTTCAGTCACATTTTCAGGTCTATTTGTTTCTTTGGCAAGACTGGCGGCTACTTCTTCCTTAGATCCAGGTTGATTCACTTCTACTTTGATTTGCTCCTTGGCATTCTCATCACTTGCCTCCTTGGGAAGGTTCGCCATCGCAGGATCAACATCCATTTTCCCCTGTGACAGTGGATTATTCTCAGGCAAAGGTGGCTGATGTCCGTCCCCTTCAACGGGCTCTGGGACATCATCTGTTTTCTGTTCTAGTCTTTCCAATATATTCTGAACTTTTCTTACACCGTCTCTCCTGGCCTGCCGGACGTCTGCCCGGCCCTCAGGGTCCACAGAGTCCAAAGCTAGCAGCAATTTGGTCAAATCTTCTTCTATCATTAGGTATTTCTTGTCATTCTGCTTGCCTTGAAAGGAATCGACAGCCTGCTCCAGGGCCTGCACTCTGTGCAGAATGGCTTCAACTTTCAAGACTCCGGGATGCTTCTGAAGCTCTTCTGAAGTCTTCTGTGGTTCAGGCTCTTGTGGGATAGGTTTTTCTTCGACAGGTGCAGCTTTAGGGGGGCAAGGAATTTTTTTATCCACATTTTCTGCTGTAGGAGGAGGTTTTTGTGAAGTTGGCTTAGCATCTGTATCTGTATGACTAACTTGAATGGGGATGAATGCAGCAGGGATTTCTGTTCCAGAGGAGCCAGTCTTCTTTTCAAATTTGATATCAGGTGGTAGAGTTGGTGGCGATGCTTGTGTTGGCACTTGGGGTTGCGAGGCCTGAAGAATGAGAAGAACATTTGGTGGTAAACAGGAACCAAGAAAAGAAGTAATGGGATTTCAGCTTTAAATACAATGACAGCACTGAGTTCAGCATTTCCGGATGTATGACATTTAAATGTTCAGTCATAGGTTGTATGTGTCTATATATATATATATATATATATATATATATATATATATGTATATATGAGACTACACTCAACGTGCACCAATTTTTAAAATACAGACAAATCTCAAAAAAATAGACCAGAGCCCGAGAAGAGACTTCTATGGATACAAAAGTTATGAAGAAAAGTAACAGAACATGAATAGACAGGAACAGGGGAGAAAATTGTGGATCTTTGTTTTGTTTCTTAAGGTCCGGAAGGATAAATGTATGTATGTATGTATGTATATGAGAATCTAATAGTGAGGAACAAAACATGCCTTATTCAAAGCAATATTTTGAAACCCCCCACTTGAATTCAAGCTGTGGCTGTAACTGTAAGTTAAGAAGTGGCAGTGCATTCTATACGTGCTCCCAGTTCTTCCTTTCCAGCCTTAATCTGACCCTTCACTTTATAATTAGGTGCTTTTTGAATTTGGAGGCTGCTTCTTTTGCCACACAATGACACAAAAATGACACAAAAAGTATCAGATCAAATAGTGTCTGCTGGTGGGGGTGGTTTGCGCCAAACAGGCCCATGACCTGGAGGCTCCTCAGCACTGCCCTACAGCAGGCATACGCAAACTTGGCCCTCCAGATGTTTTGGGACTACAATTCCCATCATCCCTGACCACCGGTCATGTTAGCTAGGGATGATGGGAGTTGTAGTCCCAAAACATCTGGAGGGCCAAGTTTGCCTATGCATGCCCTACAGGGTAAAAAGTTCAAAGGCTAGTTAACTGAATTGTAGATAAAACCAATGAACACTCAGTAATATGTTGTTAACAGTAAGACTCTAGGTTCCTTCAACTGAGGGGAAATGGTTGCACAATACAGTGTATACTATAATTTATGGACCCCTTCTCTCACAACTAACAGGCTCTGGATAAGGAAACTATGTTAAACAGACAAAAGTTAAGATTATGGTTCTGGCAGGGCCCAGATAGTTTCATTTTTAAAAAAATGAAAATGGGAGCTATAATTTTTCATCTGCTACGAATACATTAGCTGATTAGTTGTGTCAATGATGGATATTGGCTTTTAGATTACCTTGCAAATTTCTAGCATGAGTAATGCAATCCAAATATAATCAGCAGAATAAATAGTAATGGAAATCAAAGTGGGACAAGTATAAGCTCACCACACCTACCTGAGGTCTAACTGACTGTATTCTTATGGTAGTCGGAGACTGGATTCTGCCTGGTGAACTTTCACGACTAGCTGAACCTCTCTGTGACACCCTGATTGGTGACTGAGCCCGTTGTGGCCTCTGATCCAGATCATCAACCTGAATTTTGCCATAAACCGGTTGGTGAGGTTGGTAATCACTTTGCTGAGCTGGATAATGTGTCTTCTGTGTTTGATGGTGGACTTGTAATGGTTGCCTTGGAAAATTCCCCTCATGAATAACAGGGATAGGAATATATCCACGAGGGAGCTGGTGGCTTCCCGAACTGGGCCTGCCTGGTGACTGAGGGGAAAGGGTTGGTGACTCAGAAGGTGCAGGTGATGGTGACTGCTGGAGAAAAAACAAACCAAAATTGTTATTCATATTATACTATCATATTAGCCATAAGTTTGTTTACCAAAAAAAGAGGTTACTGTATCTATGATATTGCAGTGGTAGTAGTTATATGGCATAGAGACTAGGCAGATTTATACACTAGACTAGGCACTCCACAATGCCTGGAACAACAGGTTGAAGCATGCTTGGCAGCATATTTTAATCTGAAGAAAGCTCCCTCTGGACTTTTTCCCTTGCCCCAGTCTGGATGCTGGAGAAATGTGAAAACCAAATTAATTCATTCCTTTAAATTGTTCTGTTAATTATAAATGGAAATTAATTTAAGAAAATTGAAATCTTGGAGCTGTAAAACTCATGAGTCACAGTTAGCAAAACAAATGTGAGATTATGTATGGGTATCATATTAGATACAAAAAAAAATCAGAAGGATTTAAACCTGAAGTATTTTGAGTGGCTTTGTCCACTCTTACTTGTGCAAAAAACTGAGGGCAGCATAAAACTATAAAAGGGGTCCTTTGCCTGTGATGTCTTTTGCTGGCTGGGTGAAGGCAGCTTCAATGTATCGCTGGCTTGTGCTGCATCCAGAGTCAGATGCAGTCTTGGCATAGCATTGTCTATACCTTTCGAACAGTATGTTGCATTATGACTCCCTCCTGCATTTTACCAGTAGAATATCAACAACAAAACACCACTTTTTGGTTTTAAATTTGGTCAAACGTAACAAAAAGGAGATTAAAGCTTTGTAGTGATGGGCAGCTGTGCCGACAAAGCCCAATTTGTTATTTCTTTATAGTTTTAAATAGAAATCATGTGTAAACATACGGGATTGAAAATCCCTTATAGTCTTATTTCAGGTTTAGGTTTTCCTTTCCTGCAGGAGAAGCTTTAAACTTAATGCAACAGGTACAGTCTCACCTTTACTCTCACAGATTTGCACTGCTTGGTCCAACTTAGTGAATGCAAGCATGTCTATAGCTTCACTTTATGGAGCTCAAAGTGGTTCAGAGCTTACAAACCAAGCAATTTATTTGCAAGCTGAATTTCACATATAATTAATCTTCCTTTTCAACAGTATCTAGTTCTCTCTGGAAACAAGTAATCAAATGAATAGGTATTGCAATGAAATGCATCTCCTTCTAAACTGATCAGTATGCAAGAAAATAATGATGCCCTGAATGTTTATATGTATGAAATTTCTTTTATATACATGCGGGGGGGGGGGACGACAAGATCTGTTTACTACCACAGCATATATGTGAAGTACACATACCAAATTAGTAATATTTGGGAGAGAAGGAAGAAAAGCCAATTAAGTATCAGCTATAACTCAACTCCACACTATAACTGAAATCCTAAACCGTGCAAATATTCTAATGCAAAACATACCACAGCAATTCTGTCAACTTACCTCGGATCTATGTGAGAGGGGTACTTGGACTGGTGCAGCTGTTGTTGTCTGTCCACAAGGTTTATCTGTTTGGGCAGCTTCTGCAAATCCCCTAGCTGGGGACTGTGAACGGACGAAGTTTCTTCTTAGAGGTGACGGGGCCCGTGCTGTGGGAGGAATGGTTTCTGCCTTGGCTCGCATGCTAGGCTGATAGCCAGGATAGTGCTGCTGTCTGTTCTCTGCACCTTCATGTATGACTGGAATGGGGATGTAACCAGCACGAAGCTTTGGGTATCCCATGTTTCCGTCTCTGACTTGGGACTGGTTATTTTGAGATGGACCATTTGCTGATGATTGGTTTTCCTAGGCAAACAAACAGATCACACGGTACAGATTTAGGAGTTGGGATTTATACAGTTCAGAACAAGCTGTTAATAAGCAGTGTTGATCTACACACCAGAACGTTTCTTGTATGCCCACGGGAACTCCTTTGCCTAGTTGCATTCTAACTTGAAAAGGCATCTATAACTGCTAATACAATTATAAGAACTCCAGGGAATCAAGTTGGTACTAAGACAAAATATATTTCAGTCTCTCGAAAAGCTATCCTGATAGTTCAGGGTAGGTATTTTCAAACATGCATTGCAATTAACACAGGTACTATCAACAGCATGTTGTAAAGTTTTTTTGTTTGTTTGTTAACTATGTTTTTATTCTATTGCCTTGTTTATTAAGTTGCCTTTAGTTTATTAAGACATTACATTAACCACTGAAATATCTTAATGCAGGTTTTTGGGGGGTCGGGAGGGTGGGAGAGATATTTTAAAAGGTATCAAATTTACAGCCTAATCCTGTACCTTCCAGTGGCTGATACAGAGCATGGAAAGAGTTGTGCTGGGAAACTACCACAACATGCTGCATGAGACATGCAGTGGAGACCTTGGCAGATTCACCCCATGTAGCTTTTTGCTAGCTGGTGAAAGGCTCAGTAGTATTAGAACCTGTGGGTCCATAGTACAGGCTGCAGCTCAGTGACAAGGCATGTGCTTTGCATGCAACAGGTTCCAGATTCAATCCCTAGCATCTCTGGGAAGAGCTGGGAAAGACTCTTACAAGAAACAAGGGAAAGCTGCTACCAGTCAGGTCACAGACAGTACTGAGTTAGATGGACCAATACTTTGATTTAGCATAAACGTTCCTGGAATAAATGCCAGGGTTCTCCCTGATCTCTTTGCCACATTCCCACCATCTCTTTTGTACACAGCTTGTGCACAACATTAGCAACTCTTCCCTATTCTGAAACAGCAGTTCTTGCACCTACTGCTGATTAAACACAAGAGACCAGAGCATGCTGGCGTAATGTGAAGGGGTCAACAATGCCACTCTGCAGGTTGAGGGTTTAGATTCTCTTGGGCAAGTGAGACAAGGAAAGCCCAGCATTCCTTTCCAGTTTCAAGCTAGGGAGGCTCAGAAGCAACTACTAGGAAGACCTGTCACACCCAGCACCAAAACATGTCTCAGCCTTTCCCTCTGGCTCTGGAAAGGAAGCCTAGAGACTGCTGCTGCAGCAAAATGGTACACCGCTCAGCTCCAAGTTCAGAGCTGATGAAGGCTGCGGGAATCATCTCTGCAGTTACTCTGTGCTTTGGAAGGGGGTAATCTCTGCCTCCTCCTTTCCAGCTCTGAACTTGGGAGAGAGAGGGGCAGGAGATTGCCCCAGATTTCATGCAGAGGCACAGTGCAAGGTCAGGGATAAGGAGTGGGCCAAGGTCTTGGCAACCATCACTTTAGGCTTGGCAACTAAGGTCAGCCAAAACTGTAGATCCCTTGGAACAGGTTTCCTGCTCTGTCAGGGCTGGAGTCTCTAAGTCCAATCCCATGATCCACACAGCACAGGGAGCAGCATGTACAGAACAGAAGAGGTAGGGTTACCATTTATTAGGCCAACTCCTATAGTGATTTTCATGAATGCAAGATTCAGTTACATAAACACTCTTCAGGCATTTCACAAAGGGTTTTGTAGAAGAGAACATAAGCTTTGGTTTCAAAGCAATTGGCCCTAGACAAGAAGGCAATTGTCCACATTGGCTGATGTGCTGTGATTTCATGGACTGTTCACAAATGTTCTGTTGGCAAAAACTCAGCCAGCGGAGCACAACAGGGCAGCATAGCTCACAGTGGCTTCCTAATGCACATGTCACTGAGAGGGAGGGGGAGGTGTCAGGGACTTCAGCGCAGTGTGGGCACAGCAGCAATTCTGATGCTACTGCAACTGTGCCCACACCATGCTAACCTGCCTACCACCTCTCAGTTATTGGCAGCGACCTCCACACTGGGAAGCCAGGTGAGCAATTCCACCCCTCTAGCCACTACTGCTTAGGAGTGAATCAGGCCACACCTGGCGTACTGTGTCCAGTTCTGGGCACCCCAATTTAAGGAGGATTCTGGCAAGCTGTGCAAGATGATAAAAAGTCTGGAAACCAAACCTTGTGAGGATACTGTAGTTGAAATTCTTGCATTGCAGGGGGTTGAACTAGAGAACCCTCAGGGTCACTTCCAACATCTTTCTAGGATTCCCAGAAACTGTGCGCTGAGATAGAAGCCAGAAACAAGGGATCTAGAATACTAAACGCTGTGAAGCTAAGTCAGAAGGAGGCTGGAAAGCAGGCCCTGATCATATGACCCCTGTGGATGCTATTACAGCTGCTTTCCAGGTTTTCTTAAAGTGAAAATACTTAGGATTTGCAAATGCTTGGAGTGTGTGCACACACATGTATGTGTACGTATTAATTTGCAAATACTTGTTTCAATAAATTGAAGCCAGAGTTGTAACAATCATTTGTACTTAAGGGTCAGTTTTTAATTCTTGTAAACTGAGGGACAAGTTTGCCTCAAATGCTTAATCTTCTGGACATCTGAAAAACGCAATTTCATTTAAACCCTGTAAAGGTTTCTGTGTCATCCCTGGTAAGTGTCCTCATTGTGTATTTACAAATAATGGCTGACAACACCATTCCTTCTCCACAACAAAATTGGTAGCAGCACAGAAATATTCAAAACGCGTAAGTTAACAGGGAACAATGCAGAGACGTTGCCGGTATTGTTCTTTTCATTGCTACAGTATTTAAAGAATGTTATTGATGGTGGATACAGATGGATATACTGAATATCAAGCAAGGGTTTATCAGCCGCAATAATGTGAGAGTGAAAGTGTGGGGGAAAGGCGAAAGGAAGTACAAGTAGGAAGATCAAACAAAAAACCATTCAGAGAGAATGGAAGATAAAAGCTTGGAGTATGCTTGTAATGCGATACTAACACACTACACAGGATGGAAATGGAACTTTGTACAAGAAATCCCCCCGGACCTCTAATGAAGCTCTTCCTGCAGTGGTCTTTCTATTTTGGGCTCGCATTCTAGATGAATCTCCAAGTGTGAGATCAGATAACAAGTACTGCTGTTGCTCACAGGGTAGACATCATTAAATAAGGGACAAACTACACGTGTCTCGTAGGGTCTCCCCACCACCCACCCCACCTGGGTCAGGCTCTTAGACCAGAAATATACTGGAAGGAAAGCAACCAGATGGCAAGTAGCTGTGACGATAACGTGGAGGAAGGTTCACGGCCCTTCAGCTATATCTTTGTGCTTTAAATTGCATTTTTACGCATAACTGGAGCAGGCCTGAATGTATAGAGTGTTAAGTTGTGGATGAACATATCAGACGACACAGTGATTCTTCAAACAGCTCTTGTTTATTCACAGGCCAGAACAGAACTGAACTGAAGGGTTCAGCCAGCCTGCTTATATAGAGCTCCACTAGAACGCATCAGTAACCATTTTCTGGAACTATCCAATCACTGAACGTCACTTTGATCCCTTATTTGCATATGTGGACCTGAGTGAAAACTATCTACAGTATCCCCCTGCTGGCCCAGGGTGAGAACTTCAGTACATAACATAGAGAGAAGTCTACCACAAGCACACAGAGTCTGAGTCTATCTGAAGGCTTTTAGAAAACGAGATTGATAAACTTCAGATATTAATTCCAGAAAATGAGAATAAATTAGGAAAAGAGACATATGAGCGGATTGTTACTACCCACAAAAGTTATCCCTCTTCCTGCTCACACAGACCTATCCATCAGTGCACTGAAAGCTTAACAAGTGGAAGCGTCAGCTCTCTTTCAGCCAATAAGACTTTCTGTGTTTATCATATCTGGAAGCAATTCTTATTTGCCATCAGTTATCAGGCAAGAGCTATTCACCTATTTGACCTTCAAGGGCTAATTGTTTTGCAATAAAAATATTCCAATATTCTTTAGAACCAGTCATTTCATTTTCTTTGCTGTTTTAACTCTTACTACATAATTTAATTATAACTATATTTTTTGTGGTTTGCATTTACTATACCGCATTTACTATACTTAGGTTTTCTTAAGATCTCAGAGAGGTGTACAAACTAGGAAAATTAGAATGTTCTATATTCTTACTTGCTTATTGGTCTTGTATTTTATTATTATTGTTTCTGCATTGCACTGAGTTTTGGTTTTGTTTCTTACCCATGCTGCTAGTCTAAGTGAGCAAAAGAACAGAAAACTAATGTTTATTTCATAAAATCTATACACTGCTTGATTGTAGAAAACCCTCAAAGCAGTTTAATATTAACAACAAAGTTGACATGAACGTGAAATATGCCTAGTTCCAGAGAAGCACAGTTAGTAAAGGGGAGGGAATACAACTTGTTCTGCAAAGGAGAGACCCTCGTTCCTTGCAAGTGGAAGGGGTAGGAGTCACACTCTGCAATTCAGAGAGAAGAGTTATTTCACGCGGAGAGAAGCTTCCTAATTCTGAGCTGCCTGTAGCAGCCTTTACGGCCAAATCTGGCCTTAGAAATCAATTAGAATAAAGAAAGACAAGTGATTGAGTGTTAAAAAGTTTTAAAATTGTGCTAGCCAGAAAGAGTTTGTTTGAAATCTTTAATCATTTCTAAAAATGCACCTTCATTCTGCTGTCCATGTTGTGGGAGGAGCAATTAAAATATATTTTGGGATTTCTGGTGCAAGTCTCAGTCTACTGAAACGTTATTGTGGGGAAGAGAAGGAAGAAGGGACATTTTAAGTTATCATACCTTGGGCTTATCACAAAAACTGGATTTTTGTGTTCTTTCAGTGCCAGGCAAAGATCTTTTTATTTTCCCTGGACTTTCAGGCACAACTGTAGCCTCCAGTGATTGTATTCATCTGGGTTTTCAGTTCTTGATACCATTTCTGTACTGTATATTTATAATTACTGCATCTGCTTTACTTGTATTCTAATTATTATGCAAATCTCCCTGGGACTTTTTACCTAAGATAAAACTATCTTAAATAAATCAAATGCTAAAATATCAAAAGGGTCTAAACTAGATCTGCTAAATCCAAGTGATCTAGAATGAATATGAATGGCCCAAGCATCTTATCTCTGCTTTGCTTCACCAGTGCAGTGAAGGGAGAGAGATTCTTAAATTACAAGGCACATGAGTGAGGAATGCAGACACACCTTAAACAATTCCCTAAGTACTGAGGTTAAGTACCAGCTACACTTACAATACATTAAGCAGCATTATATGATATCCAATCAACGGCTTTACACAAATCACTCTGTAGGGCATTACATGACCAGGCATGCTTTGACCAGAAAGACAACTGCTACAGCAACATAAAAGAAGATATAAACCCGGTTCAAGGCTTTGCCTCCAACCCATGGAGGAATGGGGCTGTGCATGCTTGCCCTGCCTCCACTGCACCTGCCAGCTTCATCCCCAACCTTCACATTTTTTAACAGAATTCAGTTTCATTCACTTTGAATACTTAATGAGAATGGAAGCCTTGGCCACATAAGGTTTCCATTCCCATGCATAATTCTAAGCATGTTTGGCTGAACCAGTGAAGGCTTCCTCTTCCAACCTTCCTGCTTCAAGAATCAAGAAGAAGAATGAAGGCCAGGGATGGAGCCAACAGGTCGGGGACACTGAAGGTGGGGTTAATGTGTACTTCTCCCTCCATAAGTGTTCTGAAAGTGTGCATAGGCTACACAGTAAGGTTTGGGAAATGGTAGGCCTGCAGGCTCAACCCAGCCCCTCCTCCTTGTTCGGAGGTGCAGGACAGAGGCAAAGGGGTGTGCGAAGATAATTCTGTTCCTTGTATACTTTTCTTCCTCTCTTGACTTTCAAAACCACCGTGGGCTTCATTAGCCTTGCACTCTTCTGTCTGTCTCCCATTTGCTTTTCCTGAACTGAAAAAAATGGTAGAAAAACAGAATAGAGCACATGAAAGATATATAGCTCTCTCATGCCCTTTTGATAGCTACCCGCAAACACACACATACCGTTTTTGCTTTTCCAAGCTGGCAGGGAGAGGGGCCATATACAAAGGCAAGAAGGAGACAGAAGAGTGCATTTCAAGGAGGTCTCTACACCACCTTCTCTTGTGTGTGTGACTCTTACCCACTGCCCTTCCTCGCTATTACACATAGGGAGAAGGAGGGGTCAGAGGTCATTGTTACCAGCAGGCCACTTGTGGAAGGAGCTTGCTCCCACTCAGCAGAGAGGCTTGCTGGAAATATTAATTATAAACCAGGGAAGAGACAGCCAAATTGTGCTAGAAGATTTACTTGAGGGGAATTACAGGAACTGTTTTGTCTAAAGGATATGGCTACTATTGAGAGGTTACCAAAAGGATAAATGAAGGAGGAGCAGTCAGCACAAAATTTTGCAACTGGGAAAGAAAAATGCTCTGTTGCTACATCCTTCATATGACTTCCCAGGAAGAAGCCACAGTCAGAAAGCATCTCAGCCATACTCACTTCCACACCATACACTGAAAGCACATGGAACATTGGGAAACTATGGTTCATTAAGGTCGCTGGGACTACAGTTCCCAAGATCCTTAAGAGGAAGCCAGACCCTTCAACAACAACAACAACAACATAGGTAAAGACGACAATCTTTACACACCTGCAGTTTGTTCAGGTTAGAGAATGCCTTTATTTTCTTAAGAGGATTTGGCAAGCATTTCTCCCCACAGCAGAGTGGAAGTTTGTTCCACTGGTGAAACAAATCTTGCTCAGTTTTTATGCATTCCTTATGTAGGCTAATGTTCCTATGATCTAGCTGTATCTTGAAATTTACAAGGAAGAAGAAGAGGAGGAGGAGGAGGAGTTTGGATTTGATATCCCACTTTATCACTACCTGAAGGAGTCTCAAAGCGGCTAACATTCTCCTTCCCCTTCCTCCCTCACAACAAACACTCTGTGAGGTGAGTGAGCCTGAGAGACTTCAAAGAAGTGTGACTAGCCCAAGGTCACCCAGCAGCTGCATGTGGAGGAGCGGATATGTGAACCCGGTTCACCAGATTATGAGTCTTCTGCTCTTAACCACTATACCACACTGGCTCTAGTGTAGGAAAGCTGCAACAGATGCAATGGTATGAGATTGTCATGATTTTTCATTTGAGAGCATGTTCAACAGGAAGAAGAGCTATGTTTACTCAAAAATATGTGACACAATCTTAATTTGAGGGTGTACCTACAGTAGCCTCTTTTGCAGGTCTTCATGATCTGTTTTGTCCAAGTTTGCTGGTGCTCTCTTAGTGCATTTTCCGTTTACACTAGAACTATGAGCTGCATTTAACACAGCACAATCCTGTGCACGTTTAAAAAGATGCAAGTTCCCCTTTGTCTAATGGAGCTTATTCCTAGGTGACTGTGCAAGGGATTGTGGCCCAAGTCAATTAACAGTGTATGACAGGTGGTGGGGCAATTGCCAGCATGAGTAGAATTATGGTAAAACTTTATAATGCAGCACTGTCAAGAACAGAATGAGTGCATGCTATTCAGTACAAGCTATTCAGATAGAAATTTGACCTGAAAACATACAGCTAGCACAAACATACCTCTAAAGTTGCAATATTTCTGATCCCTCTCTTCCCAACACTCTACCGGCCTCTGGACCCATTTTGATTCCACCCCATTGCCTCACGTGCTAAACATGTGCATTTTTCTGGCTAGTATTTTGTCTATATAAACAAATGGGTCAGAGCAAAAGAACAGGTGGAAGAGGATAAGCGCATTGAACTATCAGGTGATCCAGAAGCAGGAATAAAGATGGAATCACCACCTGCTTCCTTCTACCATCCTCTCACAAAGACAGTAGCTAATCGCCTCAATTAAACTTGGGTTTGGTGGTGGTGAGGTTTGCTTTTGGTCTCTTTCGTCCTTGCCAGGTTACTATGTTCTCATTTATCATAGTTATATAGAAGTACTTTACACCGATAGAACTTTAAACACCTAACAGACTATTATTTCCATTTCATTTACCTAATATGATCAAGACACTTCTGGTCTTCTGAGTCCAAGTACAATATAACCACCTTTTTTCCAAGCAGATATGTGCTTGATTTCTATTGTCTCAATCCTCACGTTTTAGTGCTGGCATATACAAGATCCAAGGTTCATTAGTGTTTGCCAAGAATACTTCCAAAAAGCCAAGCTGACTCATTTTTCAATTTAGTTCATATTTATTATCTCTGTTGGTTCATCATGCAGTGTATTTATGCACCTGTCTACTTTTGATATCTAAATCAATTTTATATCATGATTTATACTTAATGCTAATTAAGTGGGCTTTGTAGTTGTTTCCTGAAGCAGTGTCTGGTAAACATGCTGGCAAGAAAAGAAAGTACCTGAGGCAATTCAGAAACTGCACGAATCTAGTGATATAGTTTTCTTTCTTGGTTTTTAATAATAGAAAATAAACTATTTGCCTGTGTATCAAGATGGGCCTTCGTTGGCAACAATGCCCTAGCTTCCTTAGAGCATACAAAACCATTCACCCTACATGCCTATAAATGGATGCTAGGCTCAGGCTCCATCAGAAGGTGATGAAATAAATGCTGCATAAATTGAACTTGCATCATCGCTTCATCTCACCAGACTAAAAGCAAGCAGTACAAAGAGCTTTTCCTTGGAGAAGAGGAAGACAGAGTTTCCAGCAAGTTATTTGCTACAGCACGAATGTGCCTCAGAGGCAGAGCAGTGAACCTGTACATGATTTTAATGCTCAGTGGGCCAAAATAAGGATACTGCAATGCACAATGCAAAATAAACACACAGAAATGTAGGCAAACCTATGTAGATTTCCAAGTGTAAATCATAGGTCCACAAGAGTTGCTAAATGGAAGGGGGATCAGGGTCCTTCACCGCTGGCTTAAGCTGGAGACAGAATTATTACAGAAGAGGGGTAGAAGAAAAGGTAGCTTAGAAGCTGGGCAGGAGCACTATTTCATAAGTGAAAGGAAATGTGGTAGAAAATCATTTGCTAAAAATCAGGAGGCTCTTCTTATAGTATTTATACAATTAGACAATATTATATACCAAGAAAACATTCTTGTTTATCAGTTGGTTGTACCAACCCTCTTCAGCCTACAGACAGACGGTTTAAGCTCTCCTTAATGATGACCTAAAAGTAACATGGACAGGTACAGTATAGGTAACACTCATATTTGTCCCAAGCATGAAGCTGGTATATAAACAGAAATGGGGACAAGTGTGGCATGCTTTAAGGCTCAAAAGGCAGGACCTCAAGGCAGTAAAAAGTCAAATAATGATTTGGAAGATGTGCCATTTGCTCCCTAGGTGTGTTCACCAAGATGGCAAGCTGGGAGCCACTTCCTTGCTCATTCAAATATGCATACATGTGTATGTGCGTGCATACACGCAAACACACACACTTGCCAGTTTAAGAAGACCACGTTTGTGGCTTAGAAATAAAATTTAAAAATGCTTCCCATAGGCATCTGGTTGGCCACTATGTGAACTGGAAGCTGGGCGAGATGGCCCATTGGTCAGATCCATCAGTAAAAATGTATTATTTTACTTGGTCGGCAATACTGGGTCAGTAAATTTGACCCAAAAGAAAAACGGCTCAACAAAATCTCTTTCCTATCTTGTTTCAGACTTACAACACTCAAGATGGCAAGTGAGGAGGTTATATATTTCAAAATTAGTCATGAAGCAATCTAGAATGAAGTAGCATCCATCTGCCCATCTTATTATGTACATACAGTCTGTCTGTCTAACTTTGGCCCTAACAGCAGCCATGTTTGGAAGATCTGAGGCCACTTTACTGGCATGTGAAATTACTCCTAGCTCTGCTATTTTAAAGCATGAAATCACAATGCCAATCAAGGTTACCAGTTGCAAACAACATAATTTGAATGTGTGCAACATACTGGCATATTCCAAAAACTATATTAGGCCATAGTCATATCTTTGGCTTATACTAATGCCTACTCTGTTGACAAATTAACAGCACACATTTAAATCAACACATTTAAATAATAATAATCAAGCCTAGGGAGAAAACCCTTATTTTTATTTTAGCTGGCATATTTACCAACTTTCCTCTCCTATGAAACATTATTTCCCAGTCAGTGCTTCAAATGCTGCAATCATTTTTGCTACTTCTAAAAAATGTATAAATATTTATTCTAACCTGGTAAGAAGAAAAATACTTTTAACTACCACTTGTTTATCTACCATGAAACCAATCATAAGCTACATAAGCAAATTCCATTAAAATCAGTGGGATATAATAAGATTTCAAGTATTCTTATGATTGTATACTACTACTGCATTAGTACAGTAGTAGTATTCCTAACACTGCAAATGCTACTTTTATTTATAGCTCACGTACAGCAACATTTCCCATTATTTCAAGAGAGTAAAAAGCATCTTATAACTACTGAAGCATTTTTAAAATAAAAAATTCACTTGACGTTTCCTAACATTTTGGTCTATAACTGAAACACTGTTTTTAGAGAAATAGCAAAACCACTTTAAAAACCACCAACTATTTCTGTTCACAAGCCTTTATTTTTTCAGTGCAAAAATATCCAAGTTGGCCTAGTACACTGCTAGTCTAATTAAAGTGCTAGTCTAATTAAACTGATATGGCTATGCACTTTGAATATCATCCACGATCTAGCATCTTGGCTTCTTAAATCATACTATGGGAATTAAGTTTCTCCTTCCTGTTTTCCAATTGTGTACCCCTGCAAAAGCAAGGGGACCTTTCCATTTGTAATATTAAATGCATATAGCACACTCAAAGAGGGCTGAGAATTTCAACACACGAAAGGTTTATTCACACATTTCATGAAGCTATGGAAAGGCTGCTCAAATGGCCATCCTACTACGGCAGTGGATGGCTGCACGAAGCTTCTGGAACATGTAGAAGGAGCTTATGAGGTGGATCACCCCATTATTATGAAGAGTCTCCATGCCAGCACTAACTGCTGACAGGAATGTGCAGTGCTGCCATGGAGATTCTTCACATGCTAGGGTCAACCCAGGTGGTTAGCTGTTCCTACACATTACAGACGCCACCTGGGGCGGCGGCTGTGCAGCAACATTTTCAACCAGCTTTTACATAGCAGCAGTTCATTGGCCCCCAGTAAATGATACTTCAGTAGGCGAGAAATGCTGTACACCATGTCTCCACTTGTTACACAGTTTAATTTGACATAAGTATGTTTAATCCCCATCATGGAAAGAAGAATATTTTGTTTCCTTTTCAAGCAATATATTTTGAGTTCTCAGCTGCAACCCATTAACAGTGAATGATTATGATATTAATCAATCTGAAATTCACAAAATAAAAAAGAGGCATTAGACATTCATGGCCATCCAGGGTTTTACAGTTTTTGGGTGGAACCTGACTATGCTGATTCACTGTACCCAATTCCTGCATGACATACTGCAGGATGAGAGAAATCTTATTGGCTGCACAAAGACCTAAACCACTTTCTTTTGGAAGGTACCGATTACCCAAAAGGTGCAAAGTATCAAATCTTTGGGGTACAAAATTCCTAGGTGCAAATGGCTTTTTTTGTTTCCAGCTTCAAACTAACCTGTATTTAGTGTCATGCGATATGTCTGAATGAGAAAATCCATAGATTATTTTTCATCTACGTGCTAAAATCTTGGCTTGTATTTAAGAACTTCAAAAATTCCATCATTACGTATACTGTATTAAGTTCAAACATAGGCAGTCTGTCTCCATGTTAAATCAGTTTGTTTCAACAGGCTGTGCCTCACTGACTGATTCATGCATGGTGAATCAAAATTGTAGGGTATTTTCTAATGAGGCAGAGCCCTGAAATTGGATCCAAATGTAGTCCAAGACATTCTGCTGCTTTGGCTGGGGGTGGGGGGAGAGAACAGTTGTACACCACTCTTCTCAATTTGTATGCCCTTACGTATAAGATACTTCCAGTCAATTATAAGATTTTTTTTGGGGGGGGGGGAATGAAGAATATAATTTTTTTACGTCCATAATAAATCAGGATTGATTTATCTTGTGCAGATTATGTGTACTTCTCATTTTTATTTATCCTTCTATTTACAATGCATTTGTAGAAATGGAGAAATTTTTGAAGAAAAATACAGTAGTGGAAATATATCTGTTTCTCATCACTGCTTTCAGACCACTAGAAGGCTGAAATCTGACGCATACATAGTACTCGTCTCTTCCTAGAAAAAAGGAAAACTGTACCCCAGCATGAGCAAGATCATTTCAGGCCATTTAGAAAGCTGAAATTTGATGTGCACGATATAGCCCATTACTAGGAACAATTGTATAGGCAATATTTTTATATCTATCCATCAAAACAGGATATAATCAACAATTAGGCCAGGATACAAGCACAGAACAAGCTGCTGGCCTATGATTTGGGAGAGGAGGTCCTTTCAACAAGAACTGGAATTGTGCATCTATGAATGCAAAATATAAACTTCAAATACTAGTATGAGATAATCTTAAAAAGTGACAAGGCAGATTTTTGCAGTTAGCACTAGTTTCCTTTAAAAAAAATAACCATGTAGGGTTAAGGAAATTGTACCACATATATATTCAGTATTCATTTATAAGGAGTGTGTCTACTAAAACCATTCCTCTGTGCCATGAGGAATTCTAACTCCCCTCCCTAACTTTAAACATATTTAAACATATTTGTAAACCACGCAAAGAAATTAGTTATATGGATGGTATACAAATGTAATAAATGAATACAATGAAACTTTACCTGAAGCTGAATATAAGTTAACTAAGGAAGGTTTTCCTTCCCTCTAGTGTCAGTTGGTTATGTATATAGACCTCCCTTCGCCCAGGGCATTTACAAAGTGGAGTTATCAGCTATAGCCCTATCTGGAGAGGTTCAACCTGACCACAAGACTCCATGCCCTGGTCCAGGATTGAGTACTTTTAACTCGCTCTACATGGAGCTGCTTTTAAAGATTGCTGCTGCTAAAATCCTGAGGGGTGCTCGACAGTGAGCTTTCGGGCCCGATTTAAGGTGCTGGTTTTAATCATTAATATCCTAAACAGTTTGGGTCCAAGCTATTTGAGGGATGAGATGCACACATATTGTTCCTCCTTCCTTGCCTGCCACCTAAATTGGTGAGGTTGTCATGGGCTTTTTGTGGTGGTCCCATGTGCAGAGCTCGTCTGAGGCCCAGGGCAGGAGTCCCCAGTTGGCTAGGAGGCCCAGGGCATTTCTGACACAACAGCGTAAGTCTGGCAGGTTCCTAGCAGGGCCCTGCACTGGCTTAGCCCTCCAAGGCCCAGGGCAAGTGCCCCCTCCTCGCATGCACCTGGTTCCATGTCTCTGGAACTTCATACATGTTGACATTTGAAAGTCCAGCACACTCCACTCTTTTTGAAAAGCTGAGAAGACCTCTGTTTCTTGTGACTTTTAGTTAGGCAATGTTATTCAGCTATGGGGACCTTTTTCAAATTTTTAAATGAACTAATTATATAATTTGTTATTTGAATTGTTCTTCAAAGAGAGCTATTTTACTCTGGTTTAGCCTTCAAGGATATAATATTTTTAATCAAAAAGGCTGTTATAAATGTTTGCTTAAAAAATCCCAATTAATTTAAAAGAAACTACAGTAATTGTAAAATGGGTTGAGTGTTAGTTTTCACTTTAGTGTGGCTGTTAGTTTTAAGCCCTCACATCACTGGCACTGCACAACTTTTTAATAGTAAAGCTGGAAGCTGCTTCCAGAACATCAAGAACTCTCTCTGACAGCTGAAGCAATGAAGTTTTCAGGACAAAAGCCAAGTACATTGTTCAGTAGAGATCACTCAAATCTATCTGACTGGCACTTTGGAGCTTTGCTCCGGCATGCTCAACAAGATCCCCAAAACTAAGCAAGTTGTACTTCTGACAATTGTGAATATGACTTCTCCAAGAGGTGTGACACATACCAAGGTATGCCAATCACTGTTTTACTCTCTAAAACAAGCATATGCAAAAATCCCTGCAAGTGAATAGGAGGAAAACCCAGCAATTGTTTCCACTATGGTATTAACTTTCTAGTTCAGACAAGTCATTTGGTCATTGCATAACCAACAGATTAATGGCAATGGAACAAAAACATCGGTTTTTTACATAATCTTACACATCTCAGGATGAATATGACAGAACCTCAGAGGGGAAAGTTTTGGTTTTTCTAAAGTGCATCCTTCTGCAGCTATCAGGACATGTCTCTGTCTACTGATACCACCAGATTTGGGAATCTTTCCATGATCAAGCCTTTTTTAAAATAAATAATTATAAAGGAAAAGAAAAGTGGGAGAGAGAAAAAAGGAAATCCCCTATACAAGGGGTTTTAAAAGAACTGCTGTTCAGTAATTGAGGCGCACACCCCAGCGAACTAAATCCAAAGTTTTTACAGGCCGAGTTAGCCAACTTTAAATAAACACTGCGAGGACCGAGGTATCAAATGATTTAATGCACAAAAAAAGGACTGCAGTGCGTCAGAGACAAAAGCCAACTCCTGGCCTCACTGCATTGCCATCTACTGGGGGGGGGGGGGAGAGAGAGAGAGGACAGGCTTTTCCTGGCACTGCCCCCACCCGCATTGCATTGCTCACGGAGCCTCGGGGAAGCGCGCCGCCGCTGTCCTTCAAGCGGTGCCATCCGGAGTTGCAGCTGGGGAAGGCTCCCCGGCGCCCTTCAGTTGCCTGCGGCTCCCCGGCCGGTCTCACCCCCCTCCCGCCCCACCAACTCCCAATTCCACCGCCAAGAAAGAACTGAGGGCCCCGAACAACATTCTTTCTGAGTCACCACAGCAGAACGAGACACACAGTCACGCACACAACGCAGGCCGCCCTGCGCCACGTTCCGTGGAGAGGAAGGACTCCCCCCCCCCCAATAAACGCCCCAGTCTGAGACCAAGAAGCGCCCCCTCTCCCGGTGTCTGAGAGAGGCGTCCCACTCCCACCCCCACTACACAGAAGCCACCTATACGCCAACCAGGACGGTTCTGCCAAGTCCCAAGGAGTGTCCCCCACCCTCTCCAAGAAAAAACCTCGAGGCGCCAAAGGTCTCGCGCGCAACCCCCTTCTCCACGCGCGCGCCCTTCGCCCCTCAGGTTTAACTCCGATAAAGTCGGGAGGGAGCCCCCTGCCCTGAATGGGGGGTGGGTGCGCCTCTCCCTCTCCGCCCGACCCCCCCCCCCTCGCCAAACTCTTCCCAAGTTCCCGTGCGCAAAAAGAAGAAAAGAGAACCGGGCGGCACCTTGGGCAGCGGATCCCCCCTGAGTCTCGGGTCGTTCCAAGTGGTTGTGCGGCTGTTGTGATCCACGAAGAAAGGCCAGCCGGTCTGCGGGTCCACCTTCACCTCCCAGCCCGGAGGCAGGGGCTCCCGCTCGCCCGCGCCGGCCTCCAGGTGGACCATGGCGGGGGGCTGAGCGGCCGCGCTCATGCTGCTGCTGCTGCGCGCCGGACGGAGAGCGAGCGCGAAAGAGACGGGAAGCGCCGGAGAGCGAGCGAGGAGCAGCGCAGGCGCCCGCTGGGCCACGCGCTGGAGAGTCAAGCGAGGCGGCCCCGGCCGGCTGGGCACCTTTATCGCTCGATGGCGAGGAGGGAGGGGACACCGAAGGGGGTGGAAGTGTCTGGAAATAGCCGCTCCGAGCCAAACAGGAGGAGGAGGAGGAGGAGGAGAGACGCAGGGCAGCTGCCCCGCTGGAAACTTCTGGGCGCCTCTCGCGCCTTCGGGTAGCCGGGCCAAGAGCTCCTCCTGGAGTCGCTCTCCCTCGCTGCTGCTGTCATTGCGCTATTCCTCGCCAAGGCGAGCGGCCGGCTTCGCTCCGCCTGCTGGGCGGCGGTTTCGGGCGACGCTCGCTTGAGCATGCTGATTCATTTAATTGGGCTCCTTCCGAGGTTGGGAGCAGGTCGTCCAAGGCATTGCGCGCGCGCGCGCCCGTCGTAGGGTTGAAACTCCCGAGTTGCTTCAGTGATCCGGAGTAACTAACCACGCGTTTGTTCCTGAACAGGCACGGAAAGGCTGCCCCCTTGCTGTGCTTTATGAACACATCCTGAAAGGTATGGCAGGGTGGCCAAGAGATCCTAACGCGCAACAAGTGCGCTCCTAGTTTTATGCTGCAATGCCAAGCACATTTTCTTAAGGTATCCGCTTCAAGCGCCAGACCTTTCAGTTCTTACTCTGTGGCGCTTTCAAGGCGCACATTTATTTACAGCCGTTGTCTCTCGATCATCCTCGGGGCAGCCTGGGAGGTAGGTCGCTGAGCACGGGTCTTACCCAGCAAGGCAATGTTTATGTTCCTGAATTGCGAAAAGTTCATAAATCCATGTCACGCCGCACACTCCATATTGCCTGGCCCAGATTTTGGGCAAGGAGCCATGATGGCTCTGACTCAGGAAAACAGCTGCAGCTCTTTAGTGAAGACCATGCCTTTCCTGTCTGCTTTAGTGAGAAAGCACGCTTGATTCCATCTCTAGAACAAACAAGCTACTTTCCCTCCCACACCCCAAGACTAGCTAGCAATATGAGAATGCTGACATCATAAATCCAATTAACTAATGGTAGTGGTTTCCCATTAGAACCACAGGATGTTCGTTTCCAGGCAACCTTGGCCCTACATTCTAGACCAGGGATAAATAGAACAATTAGTTTCCATAACATTTTACATAATCACACATACTGACAATGAACTTCAGAAAGTACAATAAATACCTCGGATTGTTTACCTGGCCAGATACATAGAAGAGATGTAGAAACCCTGCAGTCTGGCTGTACAACAAAGGAATTTGGGAGGTGGAGAAATATCACATCTGAAAGTGAAAAATAATGATGAGCTTCACAGCTTGGCATGGTCAGCTGCAAACTCAAGAGGACAAATAAATGTTGACTAGCTGTATAGCAGAGGCTGGGATGTTTTTCAGCCCAAGAACTCAGGGGCCTCATTCAACCTGGTTAAGATCAGCACTGGACTCAGAAACAAACTGGCAAGCAGTGCAGCTGGAGGAATAGAGGTTATATGTTTGGCATACTTTACAGTGCTTTACAGCAACCCCATGAGAAACATGCTACAGTAATCTAATATGGGTGCAATTAAGGCATGATCACTAATCATTCAAGCTACTTCTTCTAAAAGAAGCATAACGTTTTAATACATAGTGAAGCCAAGAAGTTGTAAAATGGGTTAGGGAAAATGAAGCAGGGAGCTGGGCAAGATGCTGGCCGAAGCTAGGAGAAAAAGGGATTGCTGGTCTGTAAGGAAAGGAGGAAAATAGGGCCACTTGCTTTAGAAAGTAAAGTGGAGGTTGTCAGAGGAAGAAGGCTGAGGTAGTGATTTTGTGGAGCTTCGGAAACTCTTTAGGGCAAGAATTAACAACTGGACGATTGAGGCGTGGCCAGAGAATGACCCGAGAGTACTTTTTCTGCAAAGGAGCAGTAGTTGGTGGCACTGGGTTACGAGGAAGGGGGAATCTAAGATTTTGAGATGTCACAGCCAAGAAGAAAAGAAGAGAAAAACGGGACCTGGCCAGGCTTGAAACCAGAAGAAAGGTGAAGAGAAGAGAAAAGAAAGTAAGGCTTCTGCCAATAGAGGAGGGCTTAATAGCTACCTGTCCTTATCATGTGATGCTGGGAATGAGAAATTGGGCTTAAAAATTAAATACAAAGACTACTACTCCAGTCTGATTGGGGTGTTATAAGCAGTGCTTTTTCTGGGGGTACTCGTGTACGCAGTACCAGCAGCTCCCCCCCCAATGTTAAAAGTGTGGCATTGTAACAACTTCATGCTGAGTACTGTACTGACACACTTTTTCTTAAAAAGAAGCAGCGACACTGATTATAAGCGTTCCAGTACTGCTGGTCAGGAGGATTTTCCCCTGAATGTCTGATAAGAGGCTTTTCAAAATGTATCTTCATTCTGCCAGCCAGGGTTTGTTTGTTTGGGTAGTGGGAGGTTTTTATTTACCAGTATTTGTTGCTTTTTCTGGCAGGTGCCTTAGGGCACTGAAACGTCTTGATTAGGTATTGTGGGAAAACGGGGAAGTGAAGGAGTGACATTTTAGGTGATCATACCCTGGCTTAAGACCTCCAGAATGAGTTTTATGCGGTTTTGATTACATTTATATTTGCAAATGAGAGGATGGCAAAGATATACAGTGAAAGGAGGCAGAAGTTTATGCAATGGATTTCTTGCGCCTCAGCTTGCTGCACTATTGCCATAGTTATACATGATAGTATTGAAAATTTAGTGGCTGATACCCATTCCTAAGTAGATAACTCCTCACAAGAGGTTATGTGGCTATCACTAATCAAAATTGTATTGTTTCTACCAGAGCTTTCCAAACTTTTCATGTTGGTGACACACTTTTTAGACATGCATCATTTTGCGACATGGTAATTCAGTTTTACTAGCAAACCAGAGGTTAAACCAGACATAGGCAAACTCCGGCCCTCCAGATGTTTGGGACTACAATTCCCATCATCCCTGACCACTGGTCCTGTTAGCTAGGGATGATGGGAATTGTAGTCCCAAACATCTGGAGGGCTGGAGTTTGCCTATGCCTGGGTTAAACTAACCCCTTTCCAGCCCCAGGAGGAGCATGGGGAGCATTCGCATGACACACCTACACACTGCCGCCGATGTACTAACGTGTCGTGACACAGTTTTGAAAGCTCTGGTTTATACAGTCTTCTGCTGGCAGGTTTGAAAGTCTCCTAATGATTGTATGGGATTTTTAGTTTACTTCTTATGGTATAATGATTTTGTAAGGGATAATCCTGGTCTTAAGAATTGGTGGAACTTGAGCCAGACTCCTACTGAACCTTCCAAAAAGAATAAGAGTAATTTGGTGTTATGTAGGAGACCTTGTGGCTGAAACAAAAATAATAACATTTGTAGTCTTTTCATGAAATGTTTTTGTTACAGTCCATCTTTTTAAACTATTGTAGCATGCAACCACATGCCAATCTTTTGTTTAGAAGCCTACAAGTCATTCCTCTATAAGTTTTGTTTTACAGAGAGGTAGGTAAGGGATGCAATCCTTTACTCGAGTTCCTCCAGCTGAGATGCTTTAGGATTTGGCAGTTTTGCTATGCCAGTGGGGTGCAAGATATACTACTGCAACGAAGCATTATTCACTAAATGTGCTATATCCAAACTTGAGCTAAACTGGAGACTACAGTATAATAAATAACTCCATGGTCATCATATGTGCTGCATTGTATGTAAATTGTGTCTGTGTTTGTATTGGGCAATTTGTAAATAACAGAGATACTATGTGTATTTTTTTAAAAAAATATCTCTGCAGCATTTGGTGAAATTCTAAGGGCTCTCCCTCCTTTGCAGTTCTACTGAGAATTTTAATTTTAAAAATGCTTGTATAAACTCAGCCATGGAAGTGGTGTTATTAAGCACATAATGGACCAGAGAAAATTGAGCATTCAGCTGTGAATTCCATCTCCATTGATTTTTTTAGTGCTTAATGTGCTGTTACTACAGCTGTCTTTTGATGTAAACAAGGCAATATAGTGTGGCAGTGTCTCTCTCCCCTCCATCATACTGTCAGTGCTTGTTTCTCTCTCTCTCTCTCTCTCTCTCTCTCAACCTTAATCATCAAAAGAACTGACTATATTTCCAGCTTTTTTCCCCTTCTTAGATGCAAGGCGTACAGACAAGGGAAATGAAGAGAGGGAACAAGAAAATGCAAAAATACATCTGGTATAGTCACTTTGCACAGCAAGTAGAGCAGGTTTAGATTAGCCAGTTACTTGGTCACTTGCCATGAGTAAAAATTACCTTTGTGAGATCATGCAGCAGAACCTTACAAAAGCTGGCTCATTTTAGCTACACATTACTGATGTAGGCACCGTATTTTTCGCTCTATAAGACGCACCAGACCATAAGACGCACCTAGTTTTTGGAGGAGGAAAACAAGAAAAAAATTATTGGCTATCCCAAAAGCCAGAACAGCAAGAGGGATCGCTGCACAGCGAAAGCAACGATCCCTCTTGCTGTTCTGGCTTCTGGGATAGCTGTGCAGCCTGCATTCGCTCCATAAGACGCACACACATTCCCCCTTACTTTTTAGGAGGGGAAAAGTGCGTCTTATAGAGCAAAAAATATGGTGTGTGTGGAGAGGCTGGCTAGTAACAATTCAAACACAATGAAGAGGCAGAGGCACTGAGGTTATTTGATTAAATATTGTCACAAACCTTTATTAAATATATACATAATTAAAGTTGTGGGTTATAAAAGGGGGAGGGCGCCATTCCCTACTGTTCCCTTATCTGAGGAATGTGACCTGGCTGTCTATGCTGTGTGTGAGTGTGTGTTTTTGTGTCTGTCTGTGTTTCCTTCAAGTGCTGTGCCTATTAGCTGACCTTGTGAAGGATGATTATTTTTTATAGGAACAAAATACAGTTTGAGAGGTGGGAAAGCAACACACGCCTACAAGCAACAGGAGAAGCGTGTTAATTTTCAGTAAAGCTTCACAAGAAATGCACATTTGTTTTGGCAAAAATTGTTATGGTAAAGGTCCTTAGAATCCTAATCACTATACAATTTTGAATTTGGCCCAAACTCAGTTTGCTGAAAAAAGTCATAGAATTTCAGCAGTGGTGCTAAAAACTGGACAGGTGTCTGCTTAGGTCATTCTGCAGGGGAATCATGTTCCACTAGTTTAACTAAACAAGACAGAGGATTATAATTCTTTTGTTATCATGTTTAACTGTTTGTAGAGAAACCTGAGACCTTTTTAGCAAACAAAACAAGTGTTTGCAAGATCCAGGAGTTTCCTTCCCCCCCTCCTTCTTTGTTAGCATGAAGGCAGCAAATTTTCTTGTCTATTAATAAACTTTACTGACTGTTTTTTGGCAGATCACATGTTGGTTAACTCTGTGGGACTGTGTCCAAAGAGTGTCTTGATTTATACCGTGATTAAGTAGGGACACCAGCATAGATCCAAGGTTTATGTTTGCATTTTAGGTGGTTTGGAACTGAAGTATTGTCAGGATGACATTTCTTTAAGCTGGCAAGAACACTGTGTTTATTTATGTTCCAGTAACTATCTTACGTGCAAAGGTCCTAGATAGTTCCTGATTAAGTTGTACTGCTAATCAAAGAGCTAGTTTAACGATGGGGGTAGGGAGGGAAAGGTGCTGAAATAACAGACTTTTCTAATACTTTTTGGGAGTGGGGAGGATGAAGAAATTAAATAAGAAAACATCCATCATTTTATCTTTGAATGTTCATAATTCTTTTGTTATGACCTAATGGATTAAAATAAGCCAAATGATATCAAAGAGTTTGCCTGAGATTTTCATCAGCAAGGAATAAAAAATTGTTTTTAAGTGGCCAGAAAAGTAAACATTCCACATTTGTCACATCTCAACATACATATTTGTAGGTTATGCAATGCTTGTATGCATGCACTCCACACATGTAAAATATTCAGGTGCCAATCCTTTTATTTTGGAGTTGGACCATTGGTGTGAGAGTCGGTTTCCATGGCAAAATACACATTTGCTGCCAGTACCACTGTCTGGGGAATAAAGCTGCTCCACTGAGACCATGGTTGAGCATCTGAAGATGAGCAACCCACTATGGATAAGGTAAAGTAGGGCATGACAGTTCTACCATATGGCTGGGTGTCCGCTCAGTCTACTCATGAGGTTCTTCCTGCAGTGGTGGACTGGGCAAAGATGCTCTGTTGAGGCTAGGCAAAATGCTCTGTTGAGGTGAGGAAGCTTTTCATCCCGAGGGCCACATTCCCTCGTGGGCAACTTTCCAGGGGCTTCATACCGTGGTGACCATGATCAAAGGCAAAAGTCGGAAGCGTAACAGATGTGACTTGTGCCTTTGTACAGTAGACTACATTCAAACCATTCAAAATGCAGAGGTTTCCACACAGACAAGAAATATGCATTATCACAGTTCAGGGACACATTTAAGCCATGCAAAAGTACTCAAGGAGGGAGTGCAGGTATACCATATCCCTCACTGGCTTTGATTAGAAGAGGCCTGGCAGGCTACTCTTGGTCCCTCCAGGTCTGAGGTTCCCCTGCCTCCACATGCTAGATACTGTACTAGATGAAAACCATCTGTGTTGTAAAAAGCATAAAAAATGTACAGAGATCTGCAGATAATTTTGCATTACATTAATTCTGTATTGCATTTGCATTCCATTACACTCATGATTATATTACACAGGCATCCAGGTTTTCTCTCTCTTCATAATATAGTCTCATAATCATGAGTCTCAAAGCAAGAATGAAGTATCCCTGAGAGAAATTATCTGAGCCACGATAATATTGCCCACTAGCATAACGCAGTTCAGAATCTGAATAGTTTATTCAGGTAAATGTGCCTTCAACCAGACATCTGCATAAAAAGCAAAGCCTCCTTGTTATCCAAAACTACAGCTGCACAGTGATGCAACACAAACAGTAGTGTGGTGGAGGCAGTTGACCACACATTTTTACCCTAAAAACCAATGTTGCAGAATGCAATTTGTTTTAAGCCACTTAGTAGAACATCTACACTGTATTCACCTTAAAGCACATCCATGTTGAAAACTCAGAGCAAAAGAGATCCCACATAAATCGTGGTTCAGGTTACAGAAAAGCTCACTCTAGTGCTGCTGCAATATGAGATCCAGCAGGTGGTTGCAAAAGGGGAGGCTTTATCAGCTATGGCCTATTGATTATGGAATGGCCTCCCTGGAAAGGTTTGCCTTGAACCCACTTTAATTGTTAAATTATTTGGATTATGACCTGAGAGACCCAGGTTCAGATGGGGTGAATTTGGGCCAATCACTATCTCTTAGGTTGCATACACATTACTGGCTTAAAATGTACCAAGGTAATTTCCATGCACAGCAGACGCATTTCTAACTTACACTTCAGTTTTGCTGGGTGTGTTCTGTCACTGCTGTCTGTCTATGCCAGTGGGTGGGTGTAAATGGCTTCCTATGGTTTTTGTTCAAATCAGATTGAAGCTGGCTTCGGAGGAAATGCATCAAAACGCAGTATTTCTCAAAAAACTACAGGATCAAAGTGGATTGTGGCTAGCTGTGTGTACACTGCTCCACAAACCAGCACTAGTAGCGTATGCAGCCTCAGTGTATTCTACCTGTGTGAGGATGAACTGAGGGGCAGAATCATGTTTAACACCTTGAGTTCCTTAGCGGAGGCGGGATATAACTTAACAACAAAATAATTCTAATGCCACGCAAATACCCTTTTATTTTCACAGCTCTGTATTTGCAGTCTTTTGAGATTATGCTATGATTTGTACCTGGCTGTTAATTTTTAAAGCTTTGTATTATTTGATAGCAATATGTGTTGAGATGTTGCTCCGTGTTATTACGTTAGATAGAGTTATATAGTTGAAATATACTCAGAGTCGAGAGTGGAATTCATACTCTTTATTCAGCTCATAGCGGTGAGGAGGAATGCAAATTCCCCCACAATATCTGCTTTATATACATTATTTACACAATGGGCTGCACGTGACTGGCTAATTCCGGGATTCACCTGTAGGCCAATCAGGTTGTGGATTCACTTCCACCTGGAGCTGGATTGGGTGGCTCCTGCAGACCAATCATCCTGCTGCATTGCTCTAGGACCAATCAGACTGCTGCATTTTGGATCCTATTCAACTCAGTACATAACAATAGTATTATACAGTTATAGCATCTGTCGTTTTATATATTGTTTTACACAATCGCCCGGAGAACCGAAGTTATTGGGCGACTGATAAATAAAATTCTTTTTTCTTTCTTTTAGTCTACATTTGGCTTTTTTTTTAAAAAAAGGCCTCTAAACGCCTGTACTGTACATATTCAATTCAGTGCAAAGCCCTCCCCTGCTCCATTCACTAGCACGCAAAAAACGTCCTAATCGTATATCCCTCTTACGTGTAAAATAAAGACGCCGCCCCCTCCCGAAGCCCCGCCTTCCTTCCGCCCAACCGGAACTCGGCGCGCGCGCGCCGCTCTAGCCGGTCTTTCTCCATGGTCGTGAGGGGGAAAAGCTAAGCCGGAGAGGTGTTTTTGCTGCGCCTGCGTGTTACGCCGCTTCCTGAGTGGTTGGCGGCTGCGGCCATTTTGTGGATTTCTGGTTCCTCCTCTTCCCCCACCCCCCCGCCTTCTCTCGGTCTTAGTCTTTTGCTTCTGCCGGGGGCCGGGACGTGAAACGAGGGGCCGCGGAGCTCTCGCGTTTCTTTACAAACCCCCTCAACACCCCACCCCTCCTTCCCGGTTGTCGGAGCCTACCGGTAGTCCCCTCCCCCCTCCGCGCGGTGTCCTGGGTCCGTCTGCGAGCGGCCCTCCTTCGCCGCGATGGAAGACGACGGGCAGCCCAAGACACTGTGAGTGGGGTTGGGGTGGGTGGATTGAGCACCTGGGCGCAGGTGGGCAGACCGGGGGCGAGCGGGGGGTGGGGGTGGAGGGCTCTGACAGGCGGGGACGTGCGCGGGGTGGCGCCTCTTGAGGGACCGAAGAGGGTCGAGGGGGAGGGGAGTCGTGGCAACGAGCGGGTCGGGGGGGGGAGGGAATGGTAGGCAATTACGAGGTGATCGAGTAGATCCCTTTAATGGGGAAGGGGTTGGTATGCCTCGGCCAAAGGGGGATTTGGGGGTGGGGGGAAAAAGACAAGCATGTTGTTGAGGGGAAAGACAGTTCATTGGAGCCAGAGCTACAACCCAAAATGGTTTTCTTTGCGACATGCCAGGAATTGTGGGGCTGGGGATCCTTTCCCCACCTCGGGGAGGTTTTGGGAAACGTTTTCCGTTCTGTAGCTCCATAACTCATAGGCCCTTGGTCCCTTGTCAGGGAAACATCAGTCCTACGTGGATGTGGGTCCTGGGCCCTCCTGCCAAGGGGTCAAGCATTCTCTTCTCGCCAAAAGGGAATTAGGAGAGGATGTAATTCGGAACAGAGCAAAACCTCTCACTCTCCACGAGGCGCGGGGCTCTTCTGTGGGATCCTGAACACTAGGGCTGTTGTAATCGTGTCAACAGGCTGGGTTTAACATATGTTGAGTTTGGAGTTCTCTGAGGCATGTGGGGGGTGGGAGGCTTGGGTCAGGGAGGCTTCCGTGTCGGAAATCGTGGCCAGTAAAACAAGAAGGGGAGAAAGGTCAGTAGGTAGAGAGGTGTGGATGAAGATATGGGTAATCAGATCCTCCGGAGACCTGATGCATATATTGGAGAAAACATTGCGGGGGGCAGCATTCTGAATTCAAGAGAATAAAGCTGAATAGTCAAGTGAAAGGGATGTCTTTATGATTCAAAAACCTGAGTGAGGGATAAAAAATTATATTCCATGAAATATAAGGTTCTTTTTGTATTCGTGAAACAGAGAGAATGTGTCTTATGAACCATATGCTCACTGTACTAGAAGGCATATTGCAAGCCAAACCCCTCTTTTCCTCCTTTTTGCAGAATAATTGTTCTAAACAAAATGCTTGCTGTATTTTGATTGTGATCAAGTAAATGATTTTTGTTTTAGCTCTCATATCCCACCTCTGAAGTGTGAGAGGAGAGAAAAATGTGATAACCAGGCAACATTGGTAGTGGGGCTTCTTGAGCAATCAGTGTATAAATGAGGTCACCACTACTTTGTCTAATGCATGTAAACATGCTTAAAACATTTTAAGAAACTACTGATGAAGCAGAGGCCGTTTGTTCAGTGCTACTTAAATTTTGAGGTAGTAAGCTCGGGAGCTAGCAAGTTTAGTGCTGTTAGCCATGTTGGAAGCATCATGTTGTAGGGGAAGGAAGCAAGTAAATGCAAATAAGCAGACGTACAGTATACATAACTTGTATCTGACTGTTGAACATACTTGTGGAAATAGAGAACATTGTTGTTATCCCCTAATGTAAAAAATTTAGTTGCTCTTGAAAAAATGTTGGATGCTTTATGCAATAAAAATTGAAGATAATGGACAACCTTTTATTTATTTATTTTTAAAAATATCACAAGATCTCAGGGCAGTTCACAAGATAAAATACAAGATAAAATAAAAACCTAATTTGTAATCTTACTCTAATCATTTAGCATTTTTCCCTCTAATATTTTAAAACAACTTTCTACCATGGTCACTGGGAAAGTATATATTTTTTAAAGTTTGGAGTTCCTCAGGATTGTGATTATATCTTACATTGTACAAGTGTGTTTACATGTTCATCACTTCTGTCCTGGACCATATCCTTGAAAGTGGAAGACAGCTTTTGTAGTATATACCTAGCTCTCTTGTACTATACTGATTTTGAAGCTAGCTTCAAAATGTTCTTTGTAATTAAACAGATTGTAGTTGGGAGTATAATCTTTCTGTACGGAAATCATGACTCAGCTCCTGTGGTTCATTCAGAACAGTTTTTGCATGTCTGTCTTCCCATCCTTTTCCCAGTCCACAAAAGTGAAGAAGTCAATCAAACATTATTTACTTGGCCACTTTGTCTCCACTCTGATTGCATGCTTGAAACCAACTCTGGTTACTCTGAATCTTTAGGAAACTACGGTATCTTAACTGACTTGAGAGCCTGAGTTCAGAATGTCACTTTTGTGCATAGTGGAAGAGAGAAATGACAGGATGTGCCAGGGTGGTGGGATACTAAATATAACTAGCATGCAGCTGACAAATGTCCACTGCGTTATCTTTTTTTTTTTTTAAGTTGAATAAACATTTGAAGTGTCAGTATTAAAAGGTTTTGTATGCTAGAGGATTGTGTGCACACATGCTTGTGAGACTAGAGCATAACCAGATGCTTGGTATTTTTCTCTTCTTGGCTACAAGTTAATCAAGTTTTTATCAATGAGAACAAGCAAGAAGTTTGGCAAAACTAAATTTATGTCAGATTTTACCAAATTTGCTTTGCAGGACTCCCAGTGATATAATTGATCCACCCACCCACCCGTGCAGGAGTATTTCTAATAGATTGAAAAGCTGGAAATCAGAGCTGGAAAAGTACCCAGAACCCAACTGCAGTTGGTGTTATCTTCATCCTTTGAACTTATTTGAATTTAAGTTTCACTGAATTCAGTGGAATTTACTTCTGAGTAAAGCATTTGTAAACTGCGCATTGTTAGAAAGCATACAGAGGTACTTATTCACTCTCCCCTCTTGTAGCTGCCATACTTCTTGGAAACCTGGATCAACACTATAAAGTCTTACCAGTTTGCTCTGTTTTCTGTGCCAAAAGAATATGTGCACAGCTGCCAAAGTTTTGCACTGTTTCCTTTCTTAAGAAACTGGAGTACAACGCTATGTTAGCTGCCTGCCTTTGGCTCACATTCTGTCTTCTGGCCTTAAGTAGAGAGAAAACGTGCAGCCATCCTTGTACTGTTTCACGGAACACTATAATGGCTACCAGTCCTAATTCAACAGCCTTGCAGAATTGTGATATATATATATATATATATATATAGCTGGTGTATGCACTGTGTTCAAATTCCATTCTGCTAGAAAGTTAGGATTTCCGTATGTGATATAAGAGGGGGGGGAAATGCAATATGAATGAGTTCTTTTGCATTTAAAAATTGGCACAGTTTTTGTCAACTGCTCTGAAAGAATTCATGAACTATAATAGTTATGCTCTGAGCTATACTTTTGCAAGCCATTAATTTACTTTGCAATGCTTGTAGACGAATCATTGATCTTTTTTTGCCCTGTAAGGGAGAATTTCCGATGGATCCAAATTTCTGAGAAACAGGGCTGGAAAAATATCAAGCATCTGGTTCTGTGGGTGCCTAAAAGATTTATGCCTGTGAATGATGTATTGAAATGTCTTGTCATCTTTTATAAAAAGTTATTTAAAATAGAAAACTGCCATTTAATATTTGGTTGTCTTAGAGACAACATTGTGCTTAGGACACTTCTGTGTAAAACTTACAAAGCTTGAATGTCTTAGGGTCAGGTAATCCAGAGTTCTTCAACCTCCGGTCTCCAGATGTTGTTGGATTACAAGTCCTATTCTCCCCACCCAGCTTTGCTGATGGTCAGGAATGTTAGGAGCTGTAGTTGAGCAACATCTGGGGACACAAGTTTAAAGAAAGGTGCAATTCCTAACAATCCTTCGTGACTACATACAAGTCATGGAGTCAGTTCCTAACAATACTGGACCAAAAAGTTAATAAACACTTTAAATGTAGTGGCTCATATAACCTAGGCAGGGATTTCTTGCCACAACAAGGGGCACACAAGGGTCCAAGATGCATAATGTCAAAGGTGCCAGTAGAGAACAAGAAGTCATTCAGTAAATCAAATAAAAGTAAGATCTTTAAGAGCTGTCCATTACATGACAGCAGGAGGCATGAAAGAGGTTCTAGGGCCAGGGTAGATAACTTGTGGGCCCCCAGATGTTGTTGGCCCGATCCGCTCCAGCCATCATGGCAAATTCAACAACATCTAGGGAACCATGGGCTAATCACCCCCCTTCTTGGAGCTGGGATAATATCAGCATGACATTGAGATAGGAGCAGGTGAATTCTTTTTTCTGTTTCCTAATTTAGTTTTAAAATTTATTTTCAATTTGTGTAATTTCCCATTGGTAAGATAGTACTGACCAGGGTAGGCAGGAGGTGGAGTTACATCTGCTGGTAGATCTCTGGCTGATTTGCAGTGGATTGGCAAGGATTTCTAGCTTTTCCGGGGTTTTTAACAATAGCAACAACAAAATGACCCCTCTTCTCTGTTGAAATGAAAAAGGCCTTGGATAACCAGAAGTCGATTTTTATTTTGAAGGATTGTGAATTATGTCCCATTCTAGTACTCAAAAGAAATTACTGTACTCTGAATTCTTTAATTCTAAGTTAATGAATTTGATCCAGACTAAATTGGTTGACTTTAAGCTCCCATAGCAATAATGTGATTCCACTTATTCGTGTTTCACTTGTCCCATTGATTTCCATGGAACCTACTTTCAACTAATTTACAAAGCAACTCAAACGTTTCGTTTGCTGGCCTGCAGTGAGTTTGAATTAGGCAGAGATGTCTTTCATCTGATTGAGCTGGTCCTCCATTGAATGAGTGGCTGGCTGGCTGGGAGGCCCACTGTCAGTACCTTTCACTGGCATAATGTTCTGTGGATGGAGGTGGAGCCGAACTGACCCAGCACCCTGAGCCAGTCTCATTGTCATTTCATAACCTCATTGGACCACATAACTACACTAGACTGGAGCAGGTGGAACGATCAATTTTGGATCATTCTGCCCACCTCCTTCCGCTGCAGCTGTCATGAGTGACAGGGCTTTCAGGTGCAGCAGTAGCCCCACTGCTCTGTGAAGCCCTGTCAGCAGGGGGTGGGGGTTTGGATTGTGCCCCTAGTCTGGATCCTGGCATATGTTTTTTGAACCAGGTTCTGGTTGGTGTTCCCTGGGGTTCTAGTAAAAAACAAAAGCCTGGAATCTGTCCAGAGTGCAGGCTTTCACTTTTAAGATTTATTAGCTGTTGTTATACATGGTAAACTTGTTCTTCAAATGAAACATTTCCTAAACTTAGTAATTTTCACATTGTTTACCAACAAATTCTTGTTTGTTTTCTGATGTAGAGGACACTGTATTACACGAATAATCTAGGTTTCATTTTGCTGGTTATAAATTGTATACTTGTATAACAAGTAACATGTACTACTAGTACACAAGATTTATTATGCCAGTTACATAGAGGTATGTAGGTACAACGTTTGAGCCTAACACTGTTCACTTCCAAGTGAGGTAACTGTGCATAGAATTGTAGCCTTAGTTAGTTATGTAGTTTGAATTATTTTTCCCTTCTACTAGATGGAGGATGTATAAATGTTTTGTTTTACATGCAGCAACAGTACCTAGTATTGGAACCTATATATGTCAGAATATAAACTACTCCTGTTATCTATCTAGGTTTCTATACTATGCCTGTCAATGCAGCATAAGTGATGTCTCATGAATTAGGGAGACAGCCTATAGAGGTATAGTATATGCCTTTATTTCATTATTTATGGTTTTGCCAAGTTAATTGTGTATTCTTATAGGAAATGGCTTGAAAAATATTTAGTGTGCTTCAAATATTCTATTACAGTGTTCCTTAAGATTACAATATTCATTCAGAATAGACATTTCACCAGTTGTTAAATGTATTCTTTAAAAAAAAATATTAAAAAATCAAAACTGATATTGAGCTTCTATAGGCTGGCTTCATGTTACCAACTGTTTTTCTCAGTTGAAGGGATTCATTCAAAAGCCAATATGTGATTCATGGGTAAGGTTTGCAAATTAGTCTGCATTGAATAGCCTCCTTACTTTTTCTGTTCATTTTCCATACGCCTTCCACTTTCTTGTGTGCGTGACTTTTTTTTAAAGTTTTCAAAAGTATCAGAGAAGATATGTAAATACTTCATATATATTGCTTTCCCTCCTAAATGATCAAAATGTTTCTGCTATTTCTCAGGGTACTTCATAAGAATGATGGGAGCTGGTATTACTGACCCTGTGTTACAAATAGTGGCCAATCTTGAGGGGGGACGGGCCCTCAGCTGATTGTAATTTGCTCAAGGCTGGTCACTGAAATCATATTGTAATTATATTTAAGTCAGTGGCATTTATCTTACAGAACAGTAACAGGGAAACATTTGGCCCTCCAGATACAACTCCCTTAACCCCTGGCCACTGGCTATGCTTCCTGGGACTGATGGGAGTTGTAGTGCAATAACATCTGAAGTGTCAAAGATTTCTCACATCTGTTATAGAACTTCCTGTGGTGTTGCAAAGGATATTCAGCTATTATCACCTGCTGCAGACCTAATTCAGAGGATCTCTGAACTGTAGTTCAGTGCTTGAGAGTGGGCTTCCTTACCCAATGTAGAGCACATTTTCTATTCCTGCTTTAATTGAGGTTAAGATATATTTGAAACCAGTGTTAACCACCTCAGTAGCATTACCCACAGTTTTGCCAGGATCCATAATCTCCTTTCAACTTCTATTTGTGGTTAGCACTAACAATAACTAGTGCTGATGTATGTTTTAATGGCAATTAAGTTGGGACACGGGTGGCGCTGTGGGTAAAACCTCAGTGCCTAGGACTTGCCGATCGTATGGTCGGCGGTTCGAATCCCTGCGGCGGGGTGAGCTCCCGTCCTTCGGTCCCAGCTCCTGCCCACCTAGCAGTTCGAAAGCACCCCTAAAGTGCAAGTAGATAAATAGGTACCGCGTTATAGCGGGAAGGTAAACGGCGTTTCCGTGTGCTGCGCTGGTGCTGGCTCGCCAGAGCAGCTTCGTCACGCTGGCCACGTGACCCGGAAGTGTCTCCGGACAGCGCTGGCCCCCGGCCTCTTAAGTGAGATGGGCGCACAACCCTAGGGTCGGACACGACTGGCCCGTACGGGCAGGGGTACCTTTACCTTTACCTTAAGTTGGGTGTGAGTGGAAAGTTGCTCTAGAGAAGGGTAGAAGCCAACTCCTGATCACCTATCCTTGCCTAAGAGATCCCCAGTGATATATCTGCAGTAATATTCTGCATTGCATATTATGATATTGCTGCTTTATAAGTAAATTCAAAGTGGTATTAAGAAAGCTATTTGACTTATTACTATGGATTTTTATTAGGAGCAATAGTAGCATACAGGTAGCATTAGAATAAGCTTATTTAGTGCTGCGTTAATGACCAGTGGTTATGGAAAAAAGCTTTTTTACCCTTGGGAAATGGCATGTGGCTTTTCAACCCTTGGCAGCATTTCATTTATTATTTCTTTACATCACGCCTTTACTCAAAGGAGGTCAAGGCAGCATACATAGTTCCCACTCCCTGAATCCTTTAGGTTGATATACGGTGACTTACCCATAGTCACCCATTGAGCTTCATGGCTGCGTGGGGATTTGAATCTCTCTTTGATCCTGTGTCAGTACTTAACCCAGCCTTCCCAAACCTTGGACCTTCGTGCTGTTGGACTCCCAACTGCCACCATCTCTGTCCTTCGGCCATGCTGGCTAGGGATGATGGAGATTGTCATCTAATTTGGATCCAAGACTGGGAAAGGCTGCTTCAACCACTCACTGCATTATACCACATTGCCTCTCAAATGAAGTTGAAATTTATTTTTAGAAACCTGTTTTATTTTAGTATATGAATTGCTTGATTGTAAATTGTCAGCCCTTTCCTGCTCTGAAAGTATAGTTATTTCTAACAGAAGTGAAGGATTGTATCCACCTAAGTCCTACTTAGAGCAGATCTTAGTCACAACTATATTCATTATTTTCAATGGGACTATATCCAGATTTTTCTGAGTAATGTTTACCCCTTGGAAGGCGCCCATACAGAACCAGCACACGATTTAAATTTCCTTGGGTTAAAAAAAAAAACTTACAGACTCTGATGCATGCAAGGACTTTTTGAAATGAAAATGGCACTCCTGTGCATGCACTAATTTCTATTTTAAAATTCGTATGCCAAACATTTTGAATTTTGGCCTTCAGAGGTCCATTTGTTGGATTCTGTGGAGGTATCTTTTGAAAAAGAAACTCAGGAAAGTACCGGTAGCATCCATGACTCCTGCACATGCCCATCTCTGAAACTGTAGCCTAGTTTTCCTGTGCTCCACAAGAATTAAGGCAGGCATGGGAAACATGTATCTGGCCAGATGTTACTCAGCCCTAGCTCACAACCTCTCTGGCCATTGGCCATACTGGCTGTGGTTGATTGGAGTTGGAGTCCATCATCATCTGGAGGGCCACAGGTTCCTCAACTCTGGGTTAGGGTTTATCTAACAAAAAGCAACATAACTGATCAGCATACTTGTGATACTTCAATGACAACAATGTTAGTACTTACCAGTATTTGATGAATACACAGTAGCGTTTTAAAAGCTGTGGACTACTTAATAGTGTGTTCATAAAGTTTATTAACAGGTGCTATATTTTCTGCTTACACAATTGATAGCTGATATTTCAATAAATTGCACAGATTATCCTTTGAGATGAATGATGGGATTTACATTACCTTTTCTTTTGTCTATCTAGCTATGTAGGAAATCTTTCCAGAGATGTGACTGAAGTACTTATACTTCAGTTATTCAGCCAAATTGGACCCTGCAAAAGCTGTAAAATGATAACAGAGGTAAGACTCTTTCAGTCTAATCTATGTCAGTATTGTTTCATTTTAAAATTCAAGTAATTATTGATCCTGCTACCTAAAACATTTCTATTAGGGCTGCAGCAGTGATTGATTGATTGATTGATTGATTGATTGATTGATTAATTGAATCAAAAAATCTTTTGAAATGTGCCTTTTAAACATGCACTACATCTTTAAAATATTATTTTTTAAATTTTTAGTACATAAAGTGCAGAGGGAGGCACAATCTTCCCTTTTCTCCTGCTCAGGAGGAAATGCCTCTTTTAAAATGGTGTCCATTATATAGATTATCTATAACTATATAGATTATTTATAACTATATAGATTATCTATAAACTATATAGGATGTTCTTTCCTGTGAAACAATTGTATGCAAATGAATTCATTTTTAATCAATTAAAACATGCAGTTAATAACTAAGATTTCTTTAATTGCATAATATGATACAGTTATTGCTCTGACAGAAGGAACTTAAAGGATTTAGGTAAATGATTCTCAGGTCTGGGGAAACAACAGATGTAAGTTATTGTATGCAATAATAGTTGCATCTGAAGTATGTATGCTAAACATTTTTATTTGAAATACCGTATTTTTCGCCCCATAGGACGCACCTAGTTTTTTTTGGGGGGGGGGGGATAAAGGGAAAAAAATTTTATTCCCCCCCAGGCGCGGGGGCTGCGCGAGGCTTGCGGACATCTGCCCGAAGCAGGGGGCGGGCTCCGCAGCTCGCCCCATGCTTCGGGCTGCAGGCTGCCGCCCCAAGCCTCGCGCGCCCGGCGGGACCTCCCGCCGGGCACGCGAGGCTTGCGGATAGCTTCCTGAAGCCTGGAGAGTGAGAGGGGTCGGTGCGCACCGACCCCTCTCGCTCTCCAGGCTTCAGCGAAAGCCTGCATTCGCCCCATAGGACGCACACACATTTCCCCTTCATTTTTGGAGGGGAAAAAGTGCGTCCTATAGGGCGAAAAATACGGTACTTGAGATACATGATATCTCTTGTACCATATTGATAATCACTACTATCCTTGTTTCATCAGGATAATCAAAATATGTTCCAGTTAGAGTCATAACTTCACAAACAAAGGCTGTATATTAAGCTTTGCCTGTTCTGGGATTCATTGTGTGACTCTGAGCAAGTTCAAGATGTCTCTTCCCTGAGTGATGCTGTAAAAAGAATAGGTCCAGGATTTTAAAGCATTATCATGCAAACACCTATATATATCATATATACAGTACAATATGCATTGTTGGTCCTAGATACTCTGCTGATCTTTCTTGCTGCCTGCTGTGCCCCCACCCCAATGCTTTTCACCACTGCTGGATATTTATCTTGTTTCACTAAAAGGCCACTTGAAAATAAAGAGGAATCAAAGAAAAGATAGGTGCTGCATGCCATTCCTATTTTACACCCTCATTTCTGGCTTTCATAGCTTCGGGAAAAGACTGTGCTTTTGACATGGCAACATACCTTACATTTTGATGAATCATTTTATTGTTTTCCCAAATAACCCTTGCTAGATTGTTTGCTTTTAATAAGTACCTTGAAACTACGCTGGACATAATCCAGCAAAAATTACTGAAATCTCATTGAAAATAATAAAGTGAAAATTAGTCTTGATCAACTTTTGCTAGTCCCATTGTGTGTCTGGTTATTCAGTGTCAGCTTACTCACTGCCAGTGAGTTTACTGTTCCCCAGCGTGGACATTATTTTTGAGCCCTACATTTGTTGGAGTAGCCCCAAGCAGAAATTTTGGAATTACATTCTTCTGTCTGTATTCTAGTTGTCAATTCCAGGGGCTGAGGTATGACACATTTCCTATTGTTGGGGACATCTCCATTGACAAAACTCTCTGCAGGCATGACAGGGAGTCTGCAGTGGTGCAAGGGCCATACTGCTGGCAGTTGTCTCTCTTTTCTACAATTTTACGTCTTCTGGTGGTGGCAGATATATGATGTGTGTGTGTGAAGTCCATTTGACTTCCAAAACATTCAAAAACCAAATTGCGGCTTCTGATTGGCTGCAGGAATCAGAAGTCGTAGAAGCCCAACGGACGTTCAGGTTCCAAAAGAACGTTTGCAAACCAGAACAATCACTTCCAGGTTTGCGGCGTTCAGGAATCAAAACGTCCGAGTTCTAGGGGTTTCAGGATCCAAGGTACAACTGTATTTTACTATGTTTTATATATACTGTAAGCTGCCTAGAGTGGCTGGGTGGTGTTGTTGTGTTGGGTGTTGTTTTTGTTGTTGTCCCCCCCCCCCCAATCTGCAGATTGCTAAGTTAGTATATTTTGCTGTAAGACCCAAAAGTTCAAACTTCTAGCCTGTATCTTGGTTCTGTTACCTTGTAAAAGTTGCAAATATTTGTTCATCCACCCCAAAAAATCTGGACCCTGGGAATTATCGGTGCTTGAGGTGCTACATGTGCATAACCAACTCTGTCTCTCTAGGTACAGGAAATTGACCCCAGATATCAGGCAGAATTTTTCCCTTCCATAACTATCATGTCTGAGAATTCAGTTTTTAAAGATTATGTGAATGAATGAGCAAACTGTAAAGGCTGCATAGCCCAATCTAGTAAAGGCATTCTTTATGCCAAAACAGACATTTATGCACAGGTTTTTTCTGGATCTAGTCGTAAGTGTGCAAAAATGTGATAAACACTGTGTGCATTCAGTGTCCTTCTGTTGGATAGGTGCTGCATTTTTGCCCACCACATGGATAGGTGGCTGTGTCAGTTTTGACAGCACTAATGGCCTGTGACTGATTCAGCTATGCCTCCCTCCCCCTCAGCAGATGATCAAGAATATTTCTGCTATCAGTACTATCCATTGGGAAGAGAAATCAGTGTGTGCTGCTCTGGTCATGCAGCACTGTTATGTACTGCTGTCTAGTTCAGGGTCACAGCAGAATGTTATATCTTAAACTGACAGTGTGAAACAATGGACAACCATTCTTAAGGTTACTTTATAAGCGTGTGTAGTAATACTTCCTTTTCTAGCTTTAAGTAATATATTTTCCTGGATTTTCTTCTCAGCAACCCGATAGCAGAAGGGTCAACTCTTCTGTTGGATTTTCTGTTTTGCAGCATACAAGCAATGACCCTTATTGCTTTGTGGAATTTTATGAACACAGGGATGCAGCTGCTGCATTAGCTGCTATGAATGGGAGAAAAATTTTGGGAAAGGTACGTTGCAAAAAAAAAAAAAAGAAAACAAAGAATGACACATAGTAAATGAATAGGTTAATTTATGATCCATGGCAAGCATTTTTGACCATGTTCTTACTTAGAAGTACCTTGAAAATTAACGTTGGTTGCTGTTATTATTAGAATATGACTATATCTTGATTGAATTTATGCATCTATTCTAAAATTATGTTTGTACTGATATTTTTCTTTTTTTCAGGAAGTAAAGGTTAACTGGGCAACAACACCAAGTAGCCAGAAAAAAGATACATCAAGTAAGTAATGCTTGTAACAATTCTACCAAAATCAACTATTAAAGTACAGTGGTACCTCTAGTTGCGGACACGATCCGTTCCAGGGTGCTGTTGGCACCCCGAAAAGTCCACAACTAGAGTGGTGCTTCTGCGCAAGCACAGAGTGCGATAGAGCGCTTTTGTGCCTGTGCAAAGCGCGCAGAACACTTCTGTGCACGCGCAGCAAAACCCGGAAGTATACACTTCCGGGTTTGCCGCGTTCACAAGCTGAAAAGACGCAACATGAACCTAACGCAACACGAGGTATGACTGTAGAGCTGAGCTCATGCACTTACTGCAATTTGATTTTGTATAGTAGCTGAATTACTTCGGTTTTATAATCTCCATAGATACTCTTTGGCTGAACAAGTTTAATTACTGGTTAAATGCAGATGTGACTTGGAAATTTAAACACAAGATTGTTTGAATTGCACCCCTTTCTACACTGAGAACTAAAGTGCTGGTTAAGAGAAATATATTTAATTGGTTTTTGCTTTCCTCCAGATCACTTCCATGTGTTTGTGGGAGATTTAAGTCCAGAAATAACAACAGAAGACATCAAGTCAGCATTTGCTCCTTTTGGTAAAATATCGTAAGTATCCTAGTTTGTATCTTAATTCACTAATACAGAACAAGTCATAATACATGATTGTATTTTCTTCTTCAAGTTAAATGTCTTTCACTTTGCTCGGATTGTTTCTTTAAAGTCTTCTTGATAATGGGCAGTGGGTGGGGTACAGTGATCTTGTGGGTTTCTTTGCATTCAGTTATCCCCCCACAAAAATTAACAAGGTCTCTGCATCAAATCAATTGAAAGCTGCATGCTTTTAACACCTGGTATGTTTGGTGGTGAATGGGTTACATTGCTGGCAAGAAAACTGTGTTTTGGTTCTTGGAATTTACATAAAGTTGTGTGTTAGATACATCAAGGTTTCTTACTCATCTGATAATTTTGTAGATAGTGTTGAACTGCAGGCAAGTTATATAAGGTAGTGTAGAAAGCATTAAAATCTAGTGTACATTTATCATTTTGACAAGTAGTGGTGTTATATTTAGAGTTCATGCATTTGGAAATTAAACCAAACCTTTTGGTAAGTTTAGCAGCTTTCGTTTGTAGTGGCGCACAAGTGTGCCCTTCTAAAACAACCTTTTATTTTTAGACAGTAGAAATTGGGAATAGATTTCCAAATAACTATAGTTTTTTAATTGAACATTTTAAACATTGCAAGCGTACCTGTTAAGTGCTATAGCATGTCTGTCTCTTTTGTTGCATAATCTAGTTTCTTCAGAGGTTTTCTTCTATTGTTTTCTTTGTCCTTTTAACAACACCAAAACAAAACTTGAACATCTTGTGTTACTTTACAGGAATATATTTCTGCTTAAAAAAACAATCTTTTCTATATACAATCTGTACATATTTTCAATTGAAACGTAAATCTTATTTTGTCTATTTTGTTTACTTTGCTTTTTATCTCAATGTGGTAAGTAGTACTGTTTGCGAGCAAATATAAAAAAGGTTGAATACAGGTTGCTATTTCTCAATCTTTATTTATACCTGAGACCTGCAGTTTTTCTTAAGTCCAAGTCACAATTAAAAGTAATAGCATTCTGATTATTTTGCAGAATTGCTCATAAGAATGGACAGGATCTTGAAGCTAACTGCAAGGAACTGTGCACACTGGAACTCAGTTGTAGATTTTTTTCTCATTTCTATTTATTCTTATTATACATTATTTATATATACATATCTTAGTATTTACATTTTAACATTCTATATTCAGTGCAGTTCTATATTTCCAATCATTTTAACTTACTCACTAAAATTTATGTGTAAAATTTGTTGTTTTCGTACTGGTGTGCTTAGCATTGTTGTTAGTTTTATTCTCCTTTCTTAAATTTCTGAAAATGTCAATTTTTCAAAATTTACAGCTGCCCAAACTCCAAAATGATGGTAGAGAATTGACCAAGAAAAATAAAGAAATCTGTTAACAGGCCATGTATGCCTTTTAATTCCTATTTTTTTCCTCTTTTTCAATTTTTTAATATTTCATATTTTATATCACTAGGCAGAGGGCATTTATTTAGAAAATGCATGGTAAAAATAGTTAGAAATGTTAGAGTAATTTATAGAACAGTGAAGAGGACCCTAGCAGATAGAGTATTAGAAAAGGAAACTTTGTTCCTTTTTTAAAATTTCAAATCTGAACATAGTTGTAGAAAGTGCAGGTTATATGGATAGGTTGCATGTTTATTACATGTTATTTTTTGTCCTACTGCTTTTTTTCTAACAGGCAAAGAAGCAATAGGGAGAGTTTAGGAATGGTTATAGTTATAGGGGTTATTGAGTTTATAATAGGGAAAATTATGCTCACAATACAGTGTGTGTGGTTCCTTTTAGTTTTTATTTTGAAAATATTTAATGTTTTCCTCATATAACTGTGCTTCTCTTCCCAGGGATGCACGGGTAGTTAAAGATATGGCAACAGGAAAATCTAAAGGATATGGCTTTGTATCGTTTTATAATAAATTGGTAAGCAATCAGAAACTTTGCCACTTGTTGACACTGAATGTGTTTGAGGTATTAATATAAAAAGGCATGTGAAGGGCAGCTTTCCAAATCCTTTAATTCTAGTACAGTGGTACCTCTGGTTGCGGACGGGATCCATTCCGGAGCTCCAGTCGGATCCCGAGGTTTCTGCAACCGGAGGTGCATGTTCTGCGCACAAACGCAGTGTGATAAAGCGCTACTGTGCATGTGTGTGGGGAGAAACCCAGAAATATACTTCCGGGTTTGCTGTGTGTGTATCCTGGAGGATACGTAACAAGAGGGGCACGTAAGTAGAGGTACCACTGTACAGAGACATGGCCCAACTTCCTTCTGCTATAAGGAATACTGTTCTGTGGAGGCAGAAATGCTCCTTTTCATGAGTGGAATTTATGTTTGCTTGGACCTGTGTGCCCAATTTGAATGCTCTGTCTATTAAGGAAGCAATTTAGCAATTCTGATACCCTTATCAGTGAAAGAGACCGAAGCATCTCTCCATTGGTATCTAGTGATTTTTAAAAGTGTGCTAAGTAGCAACAGAGCACCCCTGTACAATACTTTTTCAGTAATCAGAGCTTCTTGGACTACGTATGTACAAAGTTTCAGATTTGCAGGTGTTTTGGTTCTGAAAGCAGAATCTGTTTTGCTTTGTCAGGATGCAGAAAATGCAATTGTGCATATGGGTGGCCAGTGGTTAGGAGGTCGACAAATCAGAACTAACTGGGCAACACGGAAACCGCCTGCCCCTAAAAGTACACAAGAAAGTAAGTGAATAAAAGGAGGTCAGCTGGGGTGTATTGGTAAATGTGAATCATTTCATTGTTATGAAATGGAAAGATAACTGAAAAGCAATTATTTAAAGTGTCATTTGTCTTTCAGATAGCACAAAACAACTGAGATTTGAAGATGTAGTAAATCAGTCAAGCCCTAAAAACTGTACAGTCTACTGCGGAGGAATTGCCTCTGGATTAACAGGTAGGGATTGCATTTCTCTTTATAATACATTTATTGAAGGCATTAATCATAAAAATTACTAACAGAAAATGTTACTACCTTTAGATCAGTTGATGAGACAGACATTTTCACCTTTTGGACAGATTATGGAAACAAGAGCTTTTCCAGGAAAAGGCTACTCATTTGTGAGGTAGGGCTATTATTACTATTTATTTGTGTCTTAAAGTAGCAAGTTATTTACAGAATAAAACATGAAAATGTTATCCAAAATCTACTGTCCTTAAAGAGAAAGGAAGAATTGAACCTTTAAAAGAAGACGTGGAGTTGCATTTAGAAGTAACTTGTTTTTGTCAAAAGAAGTGATAACATGTTGAATGGTGTGGGTGGTGCTCTCCATGTATTTTTTTAGAGTTTAGGGCATCTATGTTGGAGTTTCTTGAACAGTTAAATCACTAAGTCCCTGAATGCTGAGGATTCAGGTTCTGCCTTATCTGCCATTGGACTTTTATTTTCTGTTGAAATTTAAGTTTGTAAGTTCATCTGGAAAGGGGCATGCCTGATTTATTTGTGTTTGTTTTATAAAGCACAATGTACATTGATGCTGTATTAATAGCTATCATTTTTGCAAGCAAAGAAGTTTCTTCTTCTTATGTCATTCTCTGCACTTTCATGCAGCAAAATACAGAGCAGCTTTTGCCGGCCTGGTGTCCATATAGTTTGGGCCACAGCTCAGCTGGAATTTATGGGTTGGGAGCTGTTGTCTGAAACATGTGGTGGGCACCTGGTTGGGGAATGCTTCTGTAGACAATAGTATATGTTAACTGCACCATTTTTGTACATATGTTGGTAAAATCTGACTTCATGTTTTGTTTCATAGGTTTTCAACTCATGAAAGTGCAGCACATGCCATTGTTTCAGTAAATGGAACTACAATTGAAGGCCATGTTGTTAAATGCTATTGGGGTAAAGAATCGCCAGATATAAGTAAAAACTTCCAGCAGGTAATTGGATTGTTTGTATAGTGTTTCCTACAGCCTCTGTATGTATCTCTCTAAGTGATTGAAGTTAGTGCATGAAATCTAGAGGTGACTGCACCATTGGCAAACTGTCCTATCGAAGTGGAAGGTTGCAGTCAACCTGCCCCACAGTGTGTGTACTTTGCCCAGTTTGCTGAATGTGTATATAGGTCTTAAATTACTTGCCAATAAATTGCTAATTTTAGTTGATGGAGTCTGTGTCTATTTATATACTCAGTGTGCACTCTGTTGCTTCAAGTTTATTTAAATCTTAATCTTTTTTTAATCCCTAGGTGGATTACAGTCAGTGGGGACATTGGAGTCAAGTGTATGGGAATCCACAGCAGTATGGACAGTATGTGGCCAATGGGTGGCAGGTGCCATCTTATGGAATGTATGGACAAGCGTGGAATCAACAGGGATTTGGTGTGGAGTAAGTAATTCGTTTCACTAAAATTACTGCTGGCAGACACTTTTCTAAGACAGTTTAAACTCTGATCTGGAATCTTTGCCTGTGCCTTACTTAGCATCACTTTTGTTCTTGGTTAAGGAAATCTACTGTCTCTAACTCACCTCTCATACTTTATATTAATGCTAATTTTCAACCTTGATGAAATGGGGGACATGAGGGTGATGTGTTTGTCTTCAGTACTAACTACTGTTCTATGTAAATCAGCAGTTGTGAGCCTTGGTTTCACACACCCTGCAATTTTCATTTCAAAAATGAACTTTGGTTTGCTCAAACTATAGTTTGTCTATGGACCGGGAGGTAGGAAGAGAGCTCAACGAACCTGACACTCACTGTTTTTTATTTGCTGTCATTAGGTCTGAATGTATGCATAGTAAGAAAGTCAGTATTTTTAAATGTAATTATTTACAAAGAGAAACAGTATTGATTTAACCAAAATATCTTTTGAATTCCCAAGTCATGTTACAACATTTTAGCATCTCTCAGTTCTGGAATTTGATAGTTGCAAAATACAACATGCCCGATTTCCCCCAGTAAATAATTCATTCCTTTTTCTTTTCTTTTCTTATTTTAAAATCAAGTCAAACACCATCTGCAGCCTGGATGAGTGGATTTGGTGCCCAGCCTGCCCAGGGACAAGCAGCTCCTGTAATACCCAATCAGGCTGGATATGGTATGGCAAGTTACCAAACACAGTGAGCTGGGACTCTGTTTAGAAGTGTGATTTCAAGATAGGTTTCAATTTCCAGTGATTATTCTGAAGCCTGGAATATAGACATTGGCAGGGGGAGGGAGGAGAGAGAATATTTATTTTGAAAATTTAAAATGTTTGGAACCTTTAGCACAGCATTTGCTTTGGTGAAGGACACAAATGTCTTCTAGTTATGCCTTTTTAAGTTTTGTGTTCATGATGGATATGAACATGTTTTCTTTATGTACAAAATTTAAAATAAAGTCAATAAAGACAGTTCTGACTACAAATGTTGGTATGTTAGGAAGAAATATTTAACAACCTGATTCTTAGATTACCATTCCATTTTTTTTGTCTTCAGTGTTTTACATCACAGATTTTAAGAAAAATGACATTAAAGATGCTTTTAGTTGAACAGTAAATCCTGACGTTTTGGCTGTGGACCAAACATTACATCAAAGAAGACAGTGTTTTCTTCATTAACCACAAAGCCATCATTCAGAAGACATACTCATGGAAATAGCATTTTTTCCACAAATTATTTTTTTCCATATGTTTGAAGAAACTGAAGTCTGGTATAAATATTTCAGTCTTTGCTGAAAAACAGTGCTATCTGCAATACTTGAGCAAACACTTGTTAACCACATTCAGGAGCATATTAAATCTTTCCAGATCTTGTTTGCTTGAAGTGAAAAAAATTGCATTTGATTTTGGGGAAGCAGTTTTTTCCAAAGTATGGTGCTTAAGCAGTCATACTTGTACTTTTACATAAAAGTTTGTACCTAACTGCAATGTTGCAAAAGCATGCTCAGAGATAGAAGTAGCAATGTAATTATTCAAAATAATAGTTAATATGCTCTGCTGCTATATTTGCAGTAGATTGTCAAGAATGTGAAAGACTGATACTTCCAAAGTTGGCTACTATGTAAAGTGACATAACTATACAAAGAGCCTTAATTCTTCAATACCTTTTGTCACTAGAAACCTGAATTATTTTGCTTTCTGTTACTCAGTATGTAAATATTTTGGTTGACAACCTTGTATACCTACTTGACGGTTCCTATAAGTTGTATAGTAACGGAGTGTTAAAAAAAAAATGGGGATGTTTTTTAAATCTAGAAATATTTAGCCCAAGAATTTTTTTAACCAGATTGTTAAAATACCTTATTTTAGAAATTCCTCAATGTGCCATTTGGTTAACAGAAATGCAGTTGAAACAAGTATACTGAGCTGTGGCTTATTCTTAGTTAAAATGTTTTGGGGGTTTTTTTGTTTTTGTTTTTTTGTATTTTGGGGTGGCTTGCATGTGACAAACCTGTACAGAGGCTGGGTCGTTTGTGCACCGAGTATTACTGGGATAAATCATGAAGTTGTTCAAAAGGTATACTTGGGTTATTTCTCACTTATTTTGTGGATACACTGACACAACTGCCTCAATAAATTTTGAGTTGAAAACGAATGTAAGTTAGATACAATAACTGTGTGTTTTACCTACTACAGCTAGGGGGTGCAGATGTTTCATCTCTGAATGCACTGAAGCACTCCACTTGGATAAATAGTCCGCTCCAATGAATAAACAAAATAGACTTGCGTTTCAGTAGACACCAATTCTAGAAAAATACTAATCCTGAATAAGAAGTGGATGTGACAAAAGTCCCACATTACAGATTTAGAGCAATTTGAAAATGCTTCGTGTGTTCTCTGAGACTGTTAAGTGTTTTCTTCTTCTGGGCAAACCAATCGTCTTGTGACTTGGATAACACTGAATAGGAGACTTTCTGCAGCTCAAGCAGTGGCTCTTCTAAATTATTTCAAGGGGTGTCAGCATTAGCAGCAGGGAAATTCTAAACCCTGTGCTTTATCTGAAATATTCTTCAGGTGTTCTGAATTTCTGAATTGTGTTAAAATTGGGAAGATAGGGCACAAACTCTATTGTTACAGACTACAAAATCTAAGAAGAGAGAATTGCTTTTTTAAAAAAATGCTACTCCTGCTAAATAACATTTTGTTCGTCATTGAATCCATGCTGTACGTGGACCGGCAACTGCTTCCCAAAGGAATTTTATCCTCTGGTTCTGTTTTACAACATGAATGTAACAGTAATCAGAAAAGTAATGAAATATAATGTCTTTCAGGAGCGATGCATGTTACATAAATGTGTTTCCCAAGTCTGTATTTGGTTTCAATAGTATACCTCACTTGGTCTTATCTTAAGGGCCTTACTGTGCAGTTTTTAGCAAGTGCATGAATTGAAGATGCAGAAACCACTAAAAGTAAAAGTTCTAGATTAACATACCAAGGTGGAACAGTTTTTTTATAGGAAACTTTTTTTCCTTCAAAACTAAATCATTTTCAGTTTTACTCCAGCCACAAGATACTTCAAGGGGTTTTTTAGGCCAGAGAGATGTAATTTGTGAGTTTTCTTCTTTGACCACTAATGGTTGCATTCTTAAATATTTCACCAGCACAGCTGAGTGGGTTTTTTTTGCACTCAAAAGTTTTGATGCTACATTATACTATATTGGAATCTAACCTGCAGAGATCAACCACTGCCCACCTCATACCACTGGGATGTGGAATCCTGATGAAAGGAGCACGATGCTATCCCACATGCATGCAGTGACCTGAGCCAAGGTTTTTAATCAACATCCTTCAACAATTTTTCAATAAAGCAAAATCTGATTTATTCTGCATTATGTTTTCCCTGTAACAGTGTAGCCTGTACAGAACCGCTTTCCAGTGTATTGGGAGTCTACATATATTTTTAGTAGCATTCTTAGTGTTTGCGCCTAATATGAATGTAATCAATATGTTCCGCTGGAGTACTAGTTAGACAGAATGGAAGTGTTTCGTTTTTTCTTTGAATAGAACAATTGTTTTTCATCCTGTCCCTCTTCTGATGTTTAGACTACTGTTACTATCATCCTTGGCCATTGGTCATGCTGGCTAGGGCTGATGTAAGTTGTAGTCCAACCCACATGTATAGGGCAACACAGGATCTCTATCCCTGCTTTAGCCTAAGATAAGAGCCTTGTTCAAGAGATAGAATCTAAGCTGCACGTTTAACCTGATTCTTGAGGTAGGGCTTGCATGCATACCATGGGAGGAATTCAAGGTCTTGCCATGTCGGATCGCTCAGCAAAAGGCTATCTGATACAGAAGGTAGGTTATGTTTGTAGGCCTTAGCACAGAATGAAAAAAAAATCTTAAATGTATCTTCATAGATACAGGAGAACATCTAAAACTTCTGAATTGTGGTACTTAACACCACTCAGCTGATAAGTCTGTTAAAGTATTCTAGTACATTAATGTTTGTGCCTACATTAAATGTTCATAGTTCCATGAACTTCTAAAGAGTCTATATCTGTGCAGATTGATTGAAATTCTGTTTAAGCATAGATTATACTGCTAATTTCTCACTTAAACTTTGGTACTTAGTATCTAGCATAGCTTTTGAAACATGGAAAATACTGAAGGAAATTCTGTCTAATCTGTAAACAGCTGTCCAAAAAACATATATACAAAAAAAGCACAACCCTAAGTGATGTTTAATGAGTGATCTGGAATGAAACGACATTGTTTATTTTTGGAAATAACAACAGCAACTAGGCTCTTGCTTATCCCATACTGAACTACTTCCTCAATTTATGAAGGAACTAATTTCTTGCTAGAACTAAAAAGGCTGCCATCTGATCCCTTGCACTTAAAGCAAAATTATTGCAGGTGACAGAGTATTAATTTGCCATGGGGCTCCTACAGAGAACCTGTTTATTCAGCATTCATCCTGATCTGCTTGCACAAAGCTTATGCGGTGACTGGTCTATGCCTGATGTCTATGGATAATTCATTCTAATTGATTCACAAGGCAGTCATTTGATCATCCATCCTGATTTGCTTATGGGGTGTTTACACACCTTCCTGTCAGGCATTTTCATAGAATTGTAGAGTTCATGTCATGCTTTTAATTGCATTTTCCTGCCACGTTCAAAACTGCAAAAAGTCCAGTGGGATGGTTGTGCTGGGACACTTTAATCCACTTTAAGCATGCAAACTCTAAAGTTGTGATTGCTTAAAGTTGCAGAATGCTCCAATCACCTTTGCAGAATACTGACAGCCTGGAGACACCCTTGGATAAGTATTGGTAAGTTCTGTAACTTAGTACTAAGACCCAAAGACCATGGCTTCTATTGAACTTGAGGTGAGAAAGCAGCTATGTTACATTACTTCAATTTCACTGGATAACTAAACAAAGGGGCATAATTTGTGCCTTGTAGTTGGTAGGGATAGAGTTAGGAAGCATTTCACAATCTGGAACGCATTACTACAATATATTGTTAGAGCCACTAATTTAAAGATAAATTGTTGGATATTACTCCACGTTAAATGTTATGGGACAGTATGCTTGTGAGCAGCAGGAGCTGAGGGAACGAATATCTCCCTCACACACACTGAGCTTTATAGAGGGATTAAGCAGGCCACTTTGCTTTCAGGGCCCAAAACGTGATCTAGTATATTTGTCATTGCAAGGATGCCCAACTGAACTAATCTGGCAAAGCTGGCATTTGGATGCAGGTTAAAGATTATGATCCAGGATTTAAAGAACTATGAACTTTGCTACATGCACACAAGCACTTTAGATTTATGTCTATTAAATTATAATCCCTATTTTGTACCACATCACAAGCTGTTTTTGAAATGGTGTGTTTACCAAAAAAGAAAGAGAAAGAAAAAGTTTTTGACATGGCATTGAGGTCACATGTTCTATTTGGTCCGCTGGGCTCATGCCTGCTGAAGCAGTGTTTTGAATCCTGATCTAAATGGTATGTAACCTATTTGTGGTTATCAAAGTAGGTACCGAATTCAGGACTGTATGCATAGGATACTAGGTGCTCTATCTCCATATTTAAATATGTATGTGTTTTCTGCAGAACTAATCTGTGCCTAATAAAAAATGGCCAAAGTGAAATAAACTGAGTTAATAAAACAATGAAAGATGCTGGAGTACTTTAACCAGTTTATCCGAAGAGCGAACAATTAAACTCTCAAGGGAAGATCTGCATTTAGATCTTCCAGATGTAGCAGCATTCATAGCTTTACCTCATTCTCAATACTCATCTTTTCTACACTTGGGTATTGGCAGGAGGCTATAAACTAGAAATAACTGCTAGTCAAATACTTCATGGTACTTTCTATAAGAAAGAAAGCGTAACCTGTTCCGTAAGAGAGTTATACGTAACTATGGATTAGAATTTTTCTTCTACCGTGCTTTACAGTCATGCATATGGTAGTTTCAACAGTCTATATGGCTACTGGGAACTCTTATGGAAGCCCTGTATGTATAGTGCCAATTAATTCCTGGCATCTGAGAGTTAATTTACCTGTTGGTTTCAACTTTTATAATGCAGATATTTAGAAGGGTCTGTTAAACCATCATATATTTAATGACTGAAAGTTTTGCAAAGAAGAGTCCCAAGTTTTGCACGCTGGTTTTCAGTCTTCCCTTGTCCGTGCCTTTTCAGGGGATAAGGGCAAAATTAGACATTTCTGTGAAAATGCATTCCGCATACATTACTTGCTTTTGCTGGGAGGTTAAGCATAGGAGTGGGCAGCGCTTTTCAGTACCATCAGCTTTACTTGAAACCAAAACGGAGAAGAGGTACTCGTTTCTATATTTGCTGAGATAATGTTTGAAATGTGGCTGCAAATATACTGAAGGACAAAAAGCAAATGGAAACCATTCTTGTGCCTGCTCCCAGCCACCCCGTTCCTAAGGGCTGCTGCACCCAAACTTGCCATCACCAGGAGGCTGCTGTGTATGGATCCCCACAGCCACTGCTTCCATCCAGTTTGTGTGCAGGGTATTTTACAGCTCCCTCCACAAAGGTAACCACTAAGGTGAACAAAACCCTGCTTAGGTCGTTCATTTCTCTTTGTGTATCATTGAATTCTAACATGCCCCAGCTACAATTTGGCGTCTTCTGTTTCCAAGGAAATAATATGCAGGTGTCATATGTAACCAGCTGGTAAATTAGCTATGACCTTTCACATCATGCTGTGCATGCACTAATTGCAGAATAAGATGTCTGTCCCGTTTGCGCCAGAATTTTCTGCACAAGGGTCAGGGCCATCTTTACCCGGGGGTGCAAGGGATGCGGGGCACCCGGGCGCCGAATTCTGGGGGGCGCCAGGAGCCCGCCGCGTATTGTATTGAGCTGCTACATGGCAGTGGGGTCAGTGGCATCTTTGACATGGCTGATCTTGCGCCGCCTGCCTGCCGGAGAGGGAGTGACAGGAAAGAGGGAGAGACAGACAGAGAATGTGCCTATCCAGCGACAGGAGCGCGCAAAGGCTCCAGAACCTTCCCAAGAAGAACTTGTATATACGCGTTCGCAAAGGCCCTCCCAGCTCCTCTAGAAATAAGGTTGCTCCCACAATGAAAGGCTCGCCCGTCTCTTCTTTCAGACACCTCCCTACGACCGTAAGCGCATGCGTGGAGTCATTACACCAACTCCCAATGTGTTCTTTGTCTTCTTTAGAAAAGCTGGTTTTAAACACACACACACAAAACTCTTTTTGGATCCGCACAGGCGTGAGCGCTATTTATCAAAGGATAATAGTGACATAAGCATAATAAAAGTTAATTTGGGAGCTAAACTAAATTTGGGGGCGCTGGGTGGATCTTTGCACCCCAGCAGCGCATATGCTAAAGACTAGGGTCTATGTGAGCTTCTCCCCACCCCCCAAAGTGTCAAACCTATCCCTTTTTTCAGGGATGCTGGAGTATAAATTTGCTTACTGTTTATAAAAAATCCATGAAATCACAGTCGTTTAGCCAGTTGGTGCCACAGGCTTCCCGTATGTTTTATTCCATTCTATGCTATGTGTACGCTTACCTACAACTGAATATGCGACAGGAAAAATACCTGACAGCTACTGCCAAAAAAATTACTGCTTTGGCAGACTCTGCAGACATGGACTTGCTCAGATTTCTTCCTGTGGGATTGTGATCTACATCAAAGCTTTTAAAATATGTGAAGTTGCCAACAATTTAAGGGATTGTGGTGTGTGTGTTTTGTGTGTGTGTGGGATAGTAGTCATCGTCGTCATTGTGGATGGCTTTAATGATGTGTGCTGATCAGTATTTAACCAGTGGTATTTTTTCTCTGAAGTGTGTTGATCTCATTCATTAATAGCAAAAACAAAAACCCTTGTGGAAGTGTCTCTTATTTAAACCAGATGTCTTCTGTATTTAGACACAAAATTGGATGGCAGATACTCTGACAGTCATTATGCTTTGAAGCCCAGCTTTTCAACACCATTCTGAACAAGACACCAGGCAGTATAGTCCTTGCTATTTCACTATTAATAATATGTCATTGTCTAATACAACCAAGAAAAGAAAGAAAATAATGTGGAGACTACAAACAGTATAACAGAGAGAGCAACAACCGGGTAAAATGAAATTCATGAAAGGGCAGGTTTTTCTTTCTTTTTAAATAATAAATACTTTTGAAGGGAAACTATTATTAATTAATTTTATGAATTGCCTTTCATATAAATTTCAAGGTGATTAAAAACCATATAATAAAACAACTAAAACAGATATTCTTATTCTTATTCTTATTTATTACCAGCCAGATAACTGCAAGCCAACCTTCTGCTCTACAGTCCTGCAGGTACTGTAAGATGTTTCCACCCCAAGCGTACTTCCTGATAGGGCTTGTCCACACCAGAGTTTATTGTGTTTGCATTCCCATTTGATTTGCATAGTCACATGGCACCCTCAGACAACACAACCCGAAGCTTTCTCCTGTAAATTGGAGTTAACTGGATATGAGGATAGTCTGGTAAATTGGGGGAAATTGGGGTTGGGGTTAAAGACTATCTGTTTCAATATTTTTGGGGAGGGTGGATCAATTGTCACTTCCTGCTACTCCATGTCCAATACTTCCCCAGTGCTTTCTCTCCTTTTCCAGCAGTGATCCTAACTTATTTTGATCCCTCAGATTTGCAGAAAAGCAGAACACTGCACAAGCAAGCCACGTTACAAAAAATTGTACACCAGATATTATGGAGCAATCTGAAAAGTGTGTGCTATGAATTCAATTGTTTTCATTTCCTTGGAGTGCCTCTCTCACACATTTTTGATCCCTAAGATTTGCACAAAAACAAAAATGCACAAGCAAATTCACAATTGCCTGACTGTGCTTTTGCACACTTCCTTTTTGGGGAGTTTTTAAAAAACAAGGTGTGCATGCAGCTGTTTGCATGCATGCTCTGTCAGTATATAACCAGCATAAAAGAATCAACAAATTTCAAGGTAGGGACAAAAAGGGGAACACCTACTGGTATGAACAGGAAAAGTGGAAGTTGCTCCTCATTTACAAATTCAAATACGTTCAGGTGTGGATTCCTCAGGTCTGATTTGAATGTGGGGAAAGTTGATAAGGTCTGATTTGAATGTGGGTAAAGTAGCTAACGGCTGCATAATGCTCAAATGTGGACACGCCCCATGTCTTCTGCAATTTGTTCTCACTTTCTTCCTTGCTTGTAAATCTCCGTGCTGTAAACTGATGAGGACAGGATGTGGCTTTGGAATTCCAGTAGCTATGGAGCTGTTTATATTTATTTCTAACACGTTTCTATCTCATAATTCTATCTCAAATGGAGACATTCAAAGTGGCTACCAAAACCAAAGATGTATGACACTTGTATTACGGTATAAGCAATGGCTTGGACTTGTGGCTTGGTGTTGAAAGTTACTGCACCTCAGCAGTTATAAGAATTCCCTTGATGCTGGAATTTGGCAAATCCACATGGGGAGAGAGAGAGATTTTGTAAATAGAGATATTGCATTGAGAGATTATAGAACATTTTGTGTTCGTTATGTATATAAAAAAGGCCCCTTTCTCCTTTTTCTCCTGTTTAAAGGTTGGTAATGTTTTGACATGATTTGGCTTTGCTAGTTTCAGGTCTTTTAACAAAAATATGCTCTGGGCACGAATTCTGGACATTATGTTGTATTACAGTGCAGCAAGGCAATAAAAGCATCTTTGTATTCATTACAGTTTTGGCAGACATTCATGGGGTGTGTTTTTTTAAGCTTTCCAGGAAGATTCATGCTGGACTATATAAAGAGAACTTGAATCCTAAAAGACTTTAAAAATATTTAGAGTAAGAGACCGTTCTCAGTTTACACACAGAAAATAATGATGGCTCTCTGCTGGCTTACTGCGTTTATGCAGTCCATCGTGTGGGTTCACAATGGTTGTGCATTAAGAGTCCCATGGCAAGACACATGGCAAGTAACTTTGCTTGGAACTGGGCTGCCTGTCTAGTTAAGCAACAATGGCCTTCTGCATTCTATATAGGACAGAGAGGCATGTCTCAACGCAAAAGGATAAATGGGCATACATCTCACATAAGAAATGACAATACAGAAAAGCTCATGGGGGGACATTTCACCCTTTCAGGGGAGTCTAACTGAACATAAGATGGACATCTTTGCACAAAAGAACTTCCAAGGGAGATTGCAATGTGAAACCTCTGAATTTAAATATATAAATACTGTGGAGCATCTACACATCAAATCATCCATATGGCAAGAAGATGTTTTGAGGTCAATAGCACAAATCCTAAACTCTTTGCAAGCATCTAACCCTCGTTAAGTTTCCTGCAACTGGATCACATGTTAGAACCATAGAGATCCAAGAGACTAACACCTTGAACTAAATGGAAAGCTACCATTGTCCATGGAGGGTGTAGGAAAAGGTGTGATTCTATCCTTTCATCTTTTCAGTTAAATGCCCATTTCCCCAGTGTTGTAAATTATACTGGCAAGTAGTAACATTTAATACCTTAAGGGCCAATGACATTTGTTCTGGCGTTGGCTTGGGGGACGATGGTAAACATTGCATAGGTGCCCAGATCCCTGTTCTCTGTGCACTCTGAACTTCATCTCTCTTGGTTCTTATCTTCAGATGCGGATTGCTGTTCCCCGATTCTAGGTTCATCTCAAATATTTGTTTTTGTTTTAAATTGGGAAGCGGTCTGCTGCTTTGCATTCAGGGCTCTTCAAGTTTGCCAGTTTAAAACATAAGTGTTCTACTTGCTCCATATGTAACCTAGAGGATAAGAGGGGGGAAGTGTGGCTTGAATTGGTCTGAAATTGAAGCAAAACAAATCTAGGTCTCTCAATAAATAAACAAATTAAAAATCGTCCAGTAGCACCTTAGAGACCAACTAAGTTTGTTCTGGGTATAAGCTTTCATGTGCATGCACACTTCTTCAGCTTATATCCAGAACAACCGTAGTTGGTCTCTAAGGTGCTACTGGACGATTTTTTAATTTTTTAATTTATTTTGACTGCATCAGACCAACACGGCTACCTACCTGAATCTAGGTCTCCCAGTCTGTCATAGGGCTCTGCAAGGATCCTTCTTTCCGGATTCTTCCTCAGATCATGATCTTGGCAGTCATTGCTCTCTTTCCCTGCTTCTCTCTGCAGAACTGCTCAAGCCAGTAGGTTTGGCCTTCTTTCAGAAGTGGGTTGCAGGAATTCTTACCATCTCAAGAGCTTTGCCTGGAGGCCTGCTTCTGCATAATGGAGCATATCAGGGCAGATGGGAAATTAAATACAGTATTGACTTCTGCTGTTTCCGGTTCTCTTAGGTCATATCATGAGGTTTCAGAATCCTCAGTGGAATTTGTTCCTGGAAGAGTTTATCTTATGAAGAAGATGATCATTTAATGAAGTCCCTCAGTGAATTAGGGGCTTTCCCTGCATGTGAAGGCAGGCTCCAGCAGATTGAGAAGCAAGACCAATAGTGGGTCCAGTGATCAAGCAGGTGGTTTCGTTATGTCCTGCAGAGAGAAGTGAGGGATAGATGGGACCTGTCCACCTTGGAAGGTAGCCCATGTAGGAGGAGGAAAACTCTGATCCTAAACCTTCACTGCCTTGCAGAATATCTTTGGGAGAAGAAAAACCTAAGGGGTAAGCCCTATACAGATCCAGAGTGCAATCCTTAAGACAGTTATATGGCACCTTGTAGGCTGCCTCCTGGCAACTCCTGCAGCTAAGCTGGTGCCAAATCTATTGCTTTCCTTTTCTTTGGACCACGTCAGTGCGGCCAAGAGGGCAGTCTTGCCATCTGGGCAGCCCTGGACCTCCATACACATTGCAGCCCAATGAGGTCACTTCAGTGCTGCTACCCCAGTGGTTTGACTTCACCCCCAGAGGCACACTGCACTGACTCTCAAGACAGACAGATGCCAACAACAATCTTGTTGCAAAAAAATATTTGGTTTTGGCCCCTTAGTTATGTGCTTACTTTCTGTTGTTTAAGAGAGAGAGAGGTTCTTATTGAAATTGTCTATGTTTCCCACCCAAATTATATTCTTAGCATTTGGAGCACCCTTGTTGATGTCATTACAGGTTTGTTTTCTTACAGTACATTTGCACTTGTTCGTTAGATACTTCTAAGTAAATTCCACCCAAATGACAGAAGATTCAAGATTATGCATATAAATATATAAAATCTAAAACTTTTAAGTTTTGTAAAAGTCTTCTGAACAACATTCCACAGCTGTGCTTCATATGCAAACACAGGAAATGCCTTTTAATCACGGCACATGGAGCCATTTCAACACAGACGAAAGAGGAATAAGTGAAAACTGACTTCTCTTGGTCATAGTTTATCTCTCGTTGCCCTTTAAACAGCTTGACCTGCAAACATAAATGGCATTGTTTGCAAGCTCCACTGCTTATTGTAAATGCATCTGTAGAACGAAAGTTTTTGAATATATATATATTTAGAAGCTGGATGTTCTTAAAATTTAGAATGGTTGCTTCGCACTCACGTGGATTCATACACAACCCAAGGAGAGGTTTGGGATCTTTTGCTGCTGCCCTTGTTATGAATATGTCTTAACCCTTTAACTTATGCCCACAATAATTTCTCACACCAAAGGAATAAAGAAAGCTTGGTTTATTATATGAAACAGAAGTGACACTTCAGAAGGCAAAATTACAATTTAAGCAGGCAGCAGCTCGCAAAATACAAATACACCTTGATCTAAAGAGTAACAGAAATACTTAACGTTTTTCAAATACATTTTTTCCACAGAAACCCACACTAGAGCCTGGCAGAAAAATACACCTGTCCTTAACTGCACATATGCTGGTCCTTGAGAGCGCTGGATAAGTTCTGTTGAACTAGCAGAGCCAACTGCCTACTGGGAATCTGGAGTTTTAAATAATATATTTAGCTAATGCCTCCTAATAGTGAAGTGGGGGAGGGGGGCTTTGAAACGAACAATTCCTGCCCCTTTCTCACCTTGCCCATCCTAGTGAGAAAATGACTAAAAACTGGCCACCCTGTTTGCTTAACAAAAGGGTGAAAGACTGTGATCATGAGCCATTTACTGAACCTGGCCATCTTTGGCTGCTCTCTGCCTTATTATTGTTGCACCATGACCTTGATGGCCCCCATTCAGGAGTTTGAATAGACTTTGCTAGCAACTTGATTTTACAAAGTTTGTGGAGTTCAGGATGTTCTCTCTGAATAAATCCAGGGCACGTTTTTGAGACGAGGCTGGTTATCAGGCTTGTACCGAGCAAGGTTCATTCATGATGGAGAATCTCACGTCACACTGAAGTTATGTCAGCATTTATACTTATGCTACGATCTACAGAGATAAACCACAGAAATGAGTTCAGAATCACACACTCCTGTTCATAAAGCTAAAAATAAAATAAAAAAATACCAGCAAACACTCTGTCGTCTTGCTCTCTAGCTACTAGATATTTCCTGGACAACGTATTACTCAGGCACAAAATATCGCAGGTCTTGCTAAAGTTAGCCAGGATGGAAAGTTTAGCTCAGCAGTTTCAAAGTCTGCAGTGCTGAAAGAGAACTGAAAAAAGGAAGCAAGGGAGAAGTGAGAGAGAAAAAAGGACATTGCAAGTCAGAAAGCTACTGCACACAAGGAGGATTTTGGGTTCCGCCTGGAATGGAGAAGTACAATTTTTGCCCAGAATAACAAATAAAATGTTGCGGGTGGAGAGCACAAGCCAGACAACTTTTGGTATCACTGTCCCTTTGTGATTTGTTTTTTCAGTTCTGTTAGTCATTTGGACCTCATAAAATTTGCCTGTAGTTGTTGAATGCGATGAATTTTATAAACTGGAAGAGAAGGATTTAGACAGAAAATTAAATTTGTCATGTTATCTCAACTCAAGAGTTCACACCAGCAGTTTCCAGGGATAGCAGTCTCAGCTTAAGCTTCCTCATAGTGTTCTGGGGATGAAATAAGGAGGGGAGAGAACCACGTATGCTAACTTGAAATCCTTGGAGAAAAAGGTGGGGTATTAATACACTTTAACAACAACAACTACAACAACATAGCCTTTATGTAATATGTAATAGCCTTTGGGGCACTTGCGCAAAAAATACAAGCACTTCTACCATATTCAACATTGAAATGGGTATTTGAAATTCAAAGGAAATTTTTAGTACCAAATACCTGCTTTTAAAGAGCTGACCGGAGAACTCATTGGGCTGATTCACATGTAATGCAATACCATGGTTTAGTCAATGTACAGGCTGAACAAATACACTGAATTAATAAATAAATATCTGAATTACACCTGCAAGTTGTTAATATAATTTCTGAGTAATGAATAACGTTCCTTTTGCTGTGGAACTTTGGGCAGTTTTTAATTCGAGTCAATTTCAATTCAATTTAAAGGTTTGGATTCAACATTTGCGCTAAGTGAGGTATGTGTGTGGAGAATGAGATCTGCTTGGACAAGACTTTCCCATCTTTTCCTCCCCATCTGTGCCTACACCACCACCTCTGAAACCCTTTTTCTGGGTTTCCCCAATCCTCCAGCCCAGGTTTAGGGGTGGAAGCAGGTGGGTGGGTGGAGTAAAGTGGCCTCTTGTATGAGTGGACCTCATTTCCCCACTCCTGCCTGTTAACTTTTTACACAGCTTTTCTGCCTGGTTGCCTGAAACTTGAAACTGATTTGTCCTCCCCACAGGCTGATCAGGCAAGTGGTTATTGACAAGAGTAGGGACTCAGCTATACAGCTGCAAATAAAACGTTTTAAATGTGTCTTAAGTGAAATATACAATGTGACACTATATGGCAATGGTGAGCCTTATGGAAAATTGAATTTATTTTTTTAAAAAAGTGCTTAAAAAAGCATTTTCAGAACTGTTTTTATATGTGTGTAGATTCCACCTAGGTTAAACCTCTGGCTGCAATACGATACACATGTTCCCTTGCAGTATGTCCTATCAAACTTAGCAAATATGCACAGGATTGCACCGCAAGAGAGCAACTTTGTACGAGGGTCGCTCATTAAAGATTTCCCCTGACCCACTTCCGGTTATCGTAGGCGGATGAAATTGCACAAGTATAATGATACATCTCTCCATAGGTAATGTGGTAATTTGTAGTTTTGAACTCCTAACAGTTTCAATGTTACTGGTGCTAATGTGGATAAACGTCTGATAATGGAACCAGTTGAATGCAGAGCAGTCATCAGGTTCCTGTGCTTGAAAGGGCACATACCACGGGAGACGTTTGATGATAAAAGGGACTTATGGGGAGGAGGCCCCATCGTATGATGTAGTCAAGCACTGGCATAGTCAGTTCAAGTGTGGTCGGACTTTGGTGGAACGTCTCCCATTCCTAGGGGATGACAGCCATTGATGAAGACACCATCTGGCAAGTGGAGGCTGCCATTTTGCAGGATCGTCACATAACCATTCGCCAACTAGCTGCAAATGTTAAGATCAGTGTGGGCTCTGTAGAAAAAATAATCCATGACCATTTGCACATGGGAAAGGTGTCCGCACGGTGGGTTCCCCGGCTGCTGTTGCCTTTCCAGAAGCGGGAATGAGTCACATGCTCATGGTCTCTTTGGTCACGAAAACCATGATGACTTCTTCACCAGACTAATTACTCAAGACAAAACATGGGTCCATCATTATGATTCAGAGACTAAATCTCAGTCCAAACAATGGAAGCACTCTGCCTCACCACCTCCAATAGTAGGTACGTGTCCAACTGTCAGCGGGCAAGGTCATGTTCGTGGTGTTTTGCGGAGTAGTGATGATGGATTTCCTGGCAAAGGGTACCTCAATTACCGGAACATACTATGCTTCACTGCTGCAGAAATTGCGGAAGGCTATCAAAATCGAGAGGCGTGGTATGGTATGCTGACCAAAGGTGTCCGCCTCCTGCAGTTCACAACTCACATGTTGCTCAGACGGAAGCATGGTCCTGTGGCTATGAAATCCTTCCTCACCATCCTTATCTCCCGACCTCATACTGTTGGACTTCCACATCTTTCCAACCATGAAGTTATTTTTGAAGGGCAAGCTTTTTCCAGATGATGAAATGCTGATTTCTGAGGTCAAGTCGTGGCTTCTGACACGACCTGCCGATTTCTACAGACGAGGTCGCCACAGCTGCATAAAGCGATGGGAGAGGTGTTTGACTCTTGCTGGTAGCTATGTAGAGAAGGACTAATAACTGTCCAGTTTCGTTTGTCTCATCCACAGGAAGTACGTCAGGGGCGTTTAATGAACGCCCCTTGTACATGTCAATAAAAATAATTTTGGAGGAGTCTGTAGATCACACTAGGGCACTGTTTACAAAGCGCATTTGTTGCTCAAATGAAGCTGGAGGAATGAAAGTAAAATGGTTTGGCATAAAATATCCCTGTCCCATGGAGTCATAGTTCTTGCCACTTGTTTTGGCTCTTGTTTTACTACAGATGGACATAGCAGGTGCATGGAACTCTTCTATGCAGGTTTTTGTTTTGTTTTGTTTTTTAAAAGTCATTATTTCTCTCCAGGTTTGCTGCTTTTCACTGTTTCTGGCTGCTATACCACAGCAGGTCATAGAGGAGGGGCTCTTTTGGACTTCTTCTTCGGCAATCACTCATAACTGAGTCAGATTGTTTTCCATGAACATGGTCTTAACAGTGAGTCCGTAAATGACTGCAGAGGCCAATTCTGGATCCACATGTCCTTGCACGGTTGGGACAACGGTTTCCGGGCGGGAGTTGATCACGGTGAGGGTTTGCCAAACATGCCTTCCTCTTAGCTCATGTCTCCTTTTTGTCCTGAGTTTGTGCTTCTTCAAAGTGCATGACACCTTTGGTAAAGACTGTTCTCCAATTGGAGCTCTGGCAGACCAGTGTTTACTGGGAAACACTGGCTCTTTTGGTACAGGATGCTTATATTTTGTGAATACATATTGTACAAATGATGGAAAAACATCAATAAACTACAAAGCTTGCTATGTTTACCTTCCTCCATCCCTGGGACCTATCAGTTATGAATTACCTGGTCCAAAAAGGAATCCAAGTATGAGAGTCATTCCTTCATGCAGAATTTTGACAAGCTTTTCCTTGCATTTTGAGTAGTTGCAAGAAAAGTGCCAATCTCATTCAATTTATCTAACGGTTACAATATCTGCTTTCTCATTATCTGCTTTTTCATGCAGCTTGTGGGAGCTGATTATGTGCACCATATCTTTGCGTTATCTGCAAAGAGTAGCGATTGGGGCCAGCAAGATACTGCCCCTGTAAAATGCTCATAACTGCACTGACATGCTTGGCTAGTCACTTACAAGGCAGTTTCAATTTATTACAGACGGTTCTCATTTTTGCCCCCTAAGGCTATGCAGCCCAGCATTACTTGAGAATATAAACCTCTCTGAAGGCCATGCTCCTTCTGAAGAAACGTGCACTGAGAGAAGGAGGGTGCACACCTCAAATATGCTCTCGGGACTGTTGAAGGATTCATGCTTTGGGCAGAAAGCACACGAGTCCCAAATGCTGCTGCTGTTATCGATGCGCCAGTCTTGCTCACGGCCACCCCATGAACCCATCACAATTGCACAACATGGGAAGGAAGTCCCATCGCTTTCCACCAGAGCTACTCCCAAGAGGGATTCTATTGCATGGATAAAACTGAAGCTGCAGGGAAGGCCTGGCTCTTGAGGCGAGTGGCCCCTGCCTCGGCTCTTTCCCTCTCTGTTTCCAGGCCGCCCACGTGATGAGCAGGCGCAGCCTGGAGGCGACGCAAAAGCTGTACAGTCGGGACAGCCCCGTTGGTTAGATCCCTGCGCATAATGATCCTGGACCTGGACCTGGACGAGATGACCTTCAGGATCTCTCCCGACTCTATGATTCTATCGAAGGGGCCTTAGCGCACGAGGATCTTGGCGGAGACGCGGGGCCTAGGAGCACGCCTAGCTAGTGGCCCGCTCCTCCTTCCCGCCAAAAGGAAGGCGAGGCGCCGCTGGCGCTCGCGGCTGTACGCCCCCCTCCGCGCGCTCCCCATTCGCCGCCGAGACGAGAGCTGACGTGACGCGCGCCGTCAAGCAGAGCGCGCCAGGAGCTGCACGAGGCGCCTCCCAGGGAGGCCGGGCGAGCGCTAGCCGAGAGACGGAGAGCGCGAGCGCCTCCTCCTCCTCCTGGACGTGGCGCCCGCCCCCCGGGCTCCTCCTCGCCGCGGCGCTGCCACGGCCGGCGAGAGATGTTCACCCGCGCGGTGAGCAGGCTCAGCAGGAAGCGGCCCCCGTCAGGTAAGGTCTCTCTCTCCCACGCGCGCAGCTGCTTTCGCGCCGCGGAGAGCAAGGGCGGTCGAGCCCAGGGCGGCCGCGGAGCGCAAGGGGGCAGAAGCGCCGCGTGCCCTGCCTGAGCCTCGCGAGGGAGGGGGTGGGACTGCTGCTGCCGCCGTCGCCCCGCTTTCCTGAGGGGGCTGCTCCAGTTTGGCGGCTCTTTTCCCTCACGGGAGGAAGCCGCTCGCTGTGCGTTTTGCTTCTCGGCCTCGAGAAAGGCAGCCGGAGGAGGGTAACTTTCCGCAAAGTAAAAGAAGAAGAGAGGAGGAGGAGGAGGAGGGCGGCAGCAGCAGCCCGAGGAAGCGTGCAGCCGAAAGAGGAAGGCGCGCCGCTGGGGTTTGGGCTGTCTGGCTAGCGGTTGCCAGGCAGGCGGATTCGTGTTAAAAGAGGAAAAGCGAGGGAGGAAGAGAACCTTCGTTTCTCGCCCCCGTTGGCCGAGGAGCGCGGTTGTCAGCGGGGCATCTGGAAATGGGAGGTGGAAGAAGCGCCACTTTGGCTTGCAGATGCGCCCGCCCGCCCGCCGGCTCTCGCTCTCGCCCGGGACTGTGAGTCAGACGACGGGCTGGCTTCGCTCCCGCTGCTGTTACTTTTGTAGCCACCGAGGAGCTTCGAAAGGAGCCCGGCACCCAGGAGAAGAAGGTGGCGCCCGATGCCACTGGTCTGCACGCCCCTTTCAAGGGAAAATGCGTCTCATACGTTCAGCGGTGAATAACAAGAAGAGACCCAAGTCAGCTTGAGTCAGCTGACCTGGACTTCCACTGGAGGCAGAAAGAGAACTTTGAAATAAGAACGTATTTAGGGAAGAAGGGATGGATGTCACAATGAGCAAGCCCTGCTTCAGTCTCTCAAAAATAAACTCTCACAAGCTTATTCATTAAGGACATAATGGAAAACATTGCCTTACCAAAAAAATGCAGAGAAATCCAGCTTGTTGCAAAATGTTTAAACCTGTCTCCTTTGAGCAGCTCCCTAAAATGCAATACTTTATTTCCTGCCATCTTAAATCTGACTATGGAAAGATGGAATAATAAACATTGTCTTTAAAAGTATTGATGGTAAAAGTTTTAGTTTGGGATTACGAAGTGCAGATCCTAATTACCAAAAAAGATTTGAATGATCCCCTCTTCTTCTTCTTCTTCTTCTTCTTCTTCTTCTTCTTTTACACTGTAGAACAGAGTGGTTCTGTTTTAGAGTTCCTGTTTAAGAATGCTTTTCTGCATTGTTTCTAATCACATTTTAAAGTTTTTGAGGATGTGCAGACCCAAAGAACCTGCCTTGGATTTAAACCCCCGGTTGTACACAGTATTAACAGAAAACTATAACTTGCAAAAGTAGAAGGGGGTGTGGAAGTTCCCCCAAGTCATCTGGTTTAAAAAGCCCCCTGACCATAAGCATGAAATGCCTTGGTTTGTACATTGCTGATTGATGCTTGTCCGGTTCTTTTTAAACTCTTCCTTTGACAATGCTGACTGATTTATTGCTCATATGAGGCATGAAGTCCACTGATTTGTTTTTCTTACAATTTGAAAGGAATTTCCCCAAATATTCAGCCTAAACTCAGTATTACAGTTCTAGATGCATTCATCTGAAACTCTTACAGAAACAGGACACTTTCTAGTAATGTCTTTGGGTTAGGATCTTAAATCCATTATTGCTCTTCATGAATTCCAACTTCCTCACAGCAGCTTTTTCGGATAGTGCTTATTTTCCCTCTAATTTTTTCCATAGCTTAAATGCTGTATTCTCCTGTTTTTTCTCATATGTTCCAAATACTTCCAAATCATTCCTACTTGTTGCTGTTCCCTGAATCTTTTTCCAGTTTACTAATATCTTGAAATTTGATGTCTGAGTTTGATGTCCAATTAGTTTTTTTTATTTGCTTTGAAAATAGATTGCCCCCTCCCTATAATTTCATTGATTTGAAAAATTCTGATTAATATATCTTAACCCAATAGTCTGTATGAATAGTTAGGCTGCAAAGAGCAAACCAAACCAAAGCATTCTGAGAAGTTGGGGTTGAAATGTGTAGTATTATAATATTTGAGTTTGCTTTGTGAGAAAACCTAGCTTTAAACCTAGCCTTTAAAAAAAATTGTTTTAAAAACATGAAATGTACCTTGAGAAGGCTCCTAAATATGCTACATGTGCAGAATGTCTTTTAGGTTTCCTTCCTCATAGTTAAAAGTGGAAACCAGTGATTCAAAAGAGGATGTTTGGGCTTGTAATTTGAGCAAACCCAGACATTCAAAGCACAAGCTACTGTAGCCGAAATGTCCTTTAGAAACAACAGCTCCTAGAAGAAAATAGGCATTGGAACGTCTCAAGTGATTATTATCTACATGGAAAGTAAGAGGAATTTACCCCTTTAGTTTACAGCTATGAATGATTTTCACCATGGGTTATTAATTCCAAGCTGAAGTTTGCAAAGGAAAGGGTATTATTATTATTATCTTAGAGAAAGCTGCTTATTGTCATTAACATTAACTGTTTGCTTATTTGCTTGCTTTTCAGCTTTTTTTGGGGGGGGGAGGGTAGAGATGTAAGTAATGAGAAAAGATAATTTAAGAGCCAGCTTTAAATAGCTGATAGAACTTTATGAAGTTCTGTATTCACTTTGTTAAGTTCTATGGCTTACACCAGCTTCTACTTTGAAGAAGACAGTCTAGCAGATATCAGTGAGATTTACATCTAGATAATGTGTGCTGATTATCACAACCACACTATGCACACTTACATGGAAGCAAGCACCATTGAACTTAATGGGTTGACCTGCAATTGTACTGGCTAAATAGAGACAAAATCCTTTTGAGTTATAGTTAGGCAAGTGAGCTCAGTTATGAATGCCACCTGTTTTAACTTGTGTCAGGTGCACAAATACTTTTGACAATCCTGTACTAAGTCTTGGATGCTTGTATTCTCACATTTAAGATAAGAAACTGTACTTGTGTAATGTGCATTCATGTTCTTGATTATCATTTTGTAGTCAAGAAGAAAGGCATAAACAGGCTAAGGTTTCTCAGCCGTCATATGTTTACTGGATGGGATCCTAATCATACAAACATATTGAACTATGTTTTTTCAACCCTTTGAGTGTAATTATTTTTTGCACAGACATGGAGCCCATGTGTAGAGGATTCTCCATAGGGCTCAGAAGAGGATTACGCAGTTGCATGTGTACAATGGGTCATTATGGGGAATGGGACAATGGGTCATTATGGGGAATGGGAAGTCTGTATGTACATCCCATATCCCCATCCAGTCCCCCATATATCATGTAATTGACTAGAAAAAGGAGGAGAGGGCTGGAAGGGTGGATAAGATGCATGCACAGCTTTCCCGCTGAAGGCAGTAGTCTGTTGCCATAATATTTATATAGTCAAATACAAGGTAAATCTAAAACACAATGACCCGATCTACTTAAACTAACCTGGGAGTAAGTAGCATTTATATCTATGTGGCTAACTTCTTATTAAATATGCATAGATTTGCACTGCATAAGTTCCAAGTAGTGAATCTATTTTTCCCTTTCCTACTCGGAGCATCATAACAATTAGATTTGTGAGTTGTTGGTTCTTGCAAAACAACAACAACAACAACAGGATACTTGTTTTCTGTAACCAGTGAAAGTTTTAGTGAAACATTGTATTAGATAGTTTGCTATCTAATTTGCATTTTTAGAGGAAGAAAATAATTTTTACAGTTAGTATCCTGTAACCAATGAATGTTCTAATGCAACTTTTTGTTAGATAATCTGCTAATTTTTTTTGCAGATTTCAAGGAAGAAATTTATTTTTTTACAATTAATAGGGTAGTGTAAGAGCTCAATTAAAAACCCATCATCTGCCATTCTAGTAAAGGACAAAACAAACAAAGGCAGATCCAGCAAACAATTCATTCTAACAGTCGTTGCTGCTGGGTCAATTTTTCCTACTAATCAGCTTCCAAAAAAAGAATAAACAACTTCCTGAGATACATCAACCAAAGCAAGTAAGCACTCCCATCAGAAGATCAAAAGCTGAATCTAAATGAAAATATGAAGCACTTCCACATATCATTATTCTTGGCATTCAGTAACTCTTTAATAGCCAAACAAAGGAAATAATCAAATCTTAAAGGAGTACTTTGATCCGCTATCCGTCATCTAAAATGAGAGAAACTTTGAGAAGCACAATCTCAAAGCAACTACATATATTCCTGTAGTCTGCTCCTATGAAATCTGTTTTGTTTTTGCCCAGAGTAGATGTATTCATCTGAATTTAGCATTATGTTTAGGCCCTGAGAACTTCTAAAAAGTTGTCTAATTAACTTAATGACCTTTCTGACACTATACAGTGGTACCTTGGGTTACAGACGCTTCAGGGTACAGACGCTTCATGTTACAGACTCCGCTAACCCAGAAATAGTACCTCGGGTTAAGAAGTTTGCTTCAGGATGAGAACAGAAATTGTGTGGTGGCGGCATGGCAGCAGCAGCAGGAGGCCCCATTAACTAAAGTGGTACCTCAGGTTAAGAACAGTTTCAGGTTAAGAACAGACCTCCAGAGCGAATGAAGTTCTTAACCCGAGGTACCATTGTACTGCAGGGATGGAAGAAGCTTTGTGGTTTGTTAGCATTATTAATTTTATACCCCACCTTTGCTTCAATGAGCACAAGGTTGCATTATATGGGTCGTCCCCTGCCTCATTTTATCCTCCTAACAACCCTGTGAGAGGTTAGGCAGAGAGATGGTGGCTGGCCCAAAGTCACCCAGTGAGCTTCGTGACAGGGTGGAGATTTGAACCCTGATCTCCCAGATCCTAGTCCAACACTTTGCATCCCCAGATATTGTTGGACTGAAGATCCTATCATCCCTGACTACAACTCCCATCATCTTTGACCACTAGTCCTGCTAGCTAGGGATCATGGGAGAGGAATGGAGGGAGGGAGAAGGAAAATATATCTGGGTACAGCCACCTCCCCACCTTCTCACAATGTGTCAATGTCATTTTTTTCTTTGGTGGGAAAAACCCGTAATGTTCACACACAAAAATCCTGCATTTGCAGATATTTTTTTTGCTAAGCTCAGTAAAGAGGTTAATACCTTCCCTGAACTGAATAGCTTCCTCAGCTTCTTGTTAATTTTAATTTTCTAAAAATATTTAAAATAGTTGCTTGAAACCTTTTTTTTTCACTGATAATTTTTTGTTTTATTCTTTTTGCTGAGGTTTTATTACAACCGAGCATCATCATAAATCTCATGAAACAAACAAATAATTTAATAAATATGAGAGAGCAATATAGGGTATTAGTTGCGCATGTGAGATTCAGCAAGCTGCAGCAACTACTGCAGGGGATGCTCACTTGTCAAGAATAGAGGAAAAATTGCAGGAAAATATGAACTACAGGGCAGCTGGAGGAGGAGAGGGCACAGAGGGTGAAGAAAGAGCTGGGTGTGGAGGGGGCCCTTTCCCCATCCTTCGGACCCCTGGGAAACTCAACAAACCTGCTGCACCTGGAACTGGTGTGGAGTGTACAGCTGAACAGGACACAGCTGTGGGCACCCTGAGGAAGTACCATACACCTTGGTCCTGCCCATAAAGAGCAGGTCTGGAGTGAGAGACTAGGGCAATGTCCGCTGGTTCCAGGAACTCTTCTTATTTGTGGTTGAGCTGAGAGTTTGTTTGGAACCTGGGTGAGAACCCGGAGGCTGAGAGGAAGAGTGTGTCAGAGGGAAAATGAACTGAAATTTATTTATATATATTAGTAACTTTGTATTAATGTAATCTTTTTAAATGTTATATTTTTGTAACGTTTTGTTTAAGTTGTCTGTTGTTGCTTCAGTTTTCTGTACACCTCTTAGATATATTTTTAATACATTAGGCGGTATAGAAATTAAATGATCAAATCAAATAAAAATGTGCAAACCCGGCATTTTAAAAATGTGTAGTGAGCAAAAAAATAAATACATTTGCGTCAACTTTATCCTTCCGCAGCTTCACCATTTGATTGCTGCCCAAATTCATGGCTTTAGGAAATGTAATGTATGAATAAAGGAAGGCAAACTCTTGTTGAAGGAATTTATTCTTCTCTAATGCGACTTATGCCATATCCAGTGCTAGGGCAGTAAAAATGTTTGCTCACGTATGAATATTCTGCCAAAAACAGAAGCTAGTTTTAAGAAATAAATTATTATATTTTGGGAATGCAGACAAGTCTCTCCTTACAAGTGGATAACTTCCAGACAGTACTGGAGTCAGTGCAGAGTAGTTTATATCTGACTGTCAAGTCTCCACATGGTTATGTATATCCCAAGTCTTCAGTGCTAACCAGCAATTGCTGTTTCTTCATTCTCTGGTGTTCCGAAAACTAAGGTAATTCATAGCATTGCCACCTTGGAGGAAGAAAAAAAATCCTGCTCCTGCGCCTTTAGCAGCAGTATGCCATGCAGAAATGTGGCTTGGGAAGCCTTTTCTAGCATGGAAGTAAAGCAACAGGAAAAACTTTAGTCGGCTTTATTTTTCCATGTCAGATTGCTGTTGCAGCATAGCAGGTAAAAAGAAAAATCTGGCAAATAATTCAGCTGGGATAGCTCAGTTGGTAGAGCACAAGATTCTTGATCTCTGGGTTGAAGCCCCATGCTGGGCAAAATACCCTTGCATTGCAAGGGATTGGATTATATTGGTCCCTTCCAACTCTACAATTCTTTGATAGCGAAGTTTGTTGGTTGAGTAGCTGGCACCCTGTAGAGCACTATGCCTTTTCCCATAAACGGAATAACAAATGAAGTTGCATTATATGATCAGACTATAAGCCTGACTTGACCACTGTCACCCTGTTTCCAGGGTCTCAGGCAGAATTTTCCCACCTAGCCTTGCTACTTGAGATGCCTGAGAGTGAATACGAGGCCTTAGAATCACAGGAGGCTGCCTTAAAACAAACAACACTGTTTTGTCCATCAAGCACACTACTGTCTAGTTCAGCGGGCAGGCAGATTTCCTGTGTCATGTCTGGTTTGATTTTGATTTGAGTTGTGTACCTATGCAGAACTTTTTCCATTGAACCAGTAACCAGCAACAAAGAGATTCTCGTTTTAGAGAGTGGAAAGGCACTTTAGCAGTAGGCTGCCTCGTCCCTATTGGCAAGTACACTTAAGACATCCACTCAACTTGATGGGATGCCTAGAGAGAGAGAGAGAGATGGAATCCCTACAGACTACAGCAGTACAGATGTAGGCTACAGAAATAAAGTGTAGTGATTACTGTCAATCACACCTATCTGAAAATCCCATTACACCTCAAAACCCTCCCCCCCAACACATCTAAAGGGAGGGAACCAAATGTTCATTTGTGGAACTGCATGAAAAAAAGTTTTATGTAATTCCAGCCAACTTTTCACTAAAGCAACTTATAGCTGCACGCTGCACCTCCCTTCCCCTTCCCTAAAAAACAAAGCCACTTTCCTCCCCGCACCCCAGCACACACTTTTACATGGGTCTCAAGGTCTTAATTTTGGAAACGGTCTTGGCATTTTACCAAGCGTTGTCTCATAGGTTCGGTGTGTGTGATGTAAAGCAGATAGCAGCATTGACAGTTCCACTGTTTTGCAGCAGAGCTTGGAGACAGTTTGTGGTACAGTTAGGAAATGAATGAACTTAATAAGATGGCAGTGCTTGTTTTTTGTTTTAAACTTGCTTGTAAATTACTGGCTTACATGGCAACTTCAAAACTGCAGAACGGAAAAGGTGCTTTCCTCCCAGTTTGTCTATGCCTGTCCAGGGCCATTTTCTCACCTTCCTTTTGGGGAAGGGCTGTTATAACTCAGCAGCAGAGCACTGTCAGGGAACTGCCATCAGAGCTAGAGGCGGAGGGAAGGCTCCAGAGGGATGGCGGAGAGGGTCCCAGTAGGGAGAGAGGCAGCTGGGGAAGGAAATCAGCGTAACACCAGTAGAGAAGGGGGGCAGATGGGGGAATCGGAGAGGAGGCTCCAAGACTCCTCGCCGGAGACCAGCGGAGAGAGTACGGGTCCTCCGCTGCCCACACCCTCCCTGCGCAGAAGGCTTCCACTCAGGGAGTCTAGGCGGAGACTAGGCGTCAAGGAACTTTTGTGCTGGAAGAAGTTTAAGAAACGCCCACTGACGGATTCTGCCAGTGACTGAGACAGTCACGATGCTGGAGGCTGTTCAGTCAGAAAGGGTTTAACCAGGTAACCTCGCCAGGAGTGGCGGCAACTTACGCACGAGCAACCCCTAAATCCATTACAAGCACATATTATGTACGAATAAGGTTCAGTCCCTAGCATCTCCACTGAAAAGCATCAGGTAGCAGATGATGGAAAAGATCCCTGCCCAAAGCCCAACAGAGCTGTCGCTTGTCAGAGCTGACAATACTGGGATAGAGGGACGCATAATCTGATCTTGTATAAGGTGGTTTTCTGTGTTCTTATGATGCTACAGCATCTTGAAGGACTTGAGCCAGGATGCTTGGGAGCATCAGGAAGCCTTTGCTCCTGAACACGGAGGTCTGTGGTCTATTCCGGGCTAAATGACACCGCACTGAAATGTATGCACAACATGAGCTTTCAGTTACTTTGGTTAAACAGCTTTGGTTAAACAGTCTCAAAGCTGGCCCCCAGTTCTTATAAGAGAGGGCAGAGATGTGAAAAAAATATATTTCAATCAACTTTATTTCTAATTTTTCAGAAATAAACGACAGCGACAGCAAGCCAAGCAGCAGCCACCAAAGTTTAAATGGCACTACGAGATGGGCGACATCGCTAGAAAATTTACTGGAGGATCCAGAAGGCGTCAAGAGATTTAGGGTTGCTACCTTAATTACTACCGCCTACATATGCTTGGGGGGTGGGGACGCGGGTGGCACTGTGATCTAAACCACTGAGCCTAGGGCTTGCTGATTGGAAAATCAACGGTTTAAATCTCCGCGACGTAAACAGCATTTCCGTGCGCTGCTCTGGTTTTGCCAGAAGCGGCTTAGTCATGCTGGCCACATGACCCGGAAAAACTGTCTGTGGACAAATGTTGGCTCCCTCGGCCAGTAAAGCAAGATGAGCGCCACAACCCCAGAGTCGTTCGTGACTGGACTTAACTGTCAGGGGTCCTTTACCTTTACCTTTTTACATATGCTTCAGTACTGTTTCCAACAATATGGTGTAGACGCAATGTAGAATTAAGTTTTATTACTTCATTTTGAAGAATTTAGATAATAATTGATTCTGAGGTTAGCTTGAGTAAAATTTAGTGAGAATAAAAGACTTGAGAATCACTGGCAAAAATTGTTAAGGTGATAACTTTTTTCTGGACTGATTCCATCATGTTTGACAAGAGGTGTGTGAAGTGCCAAGTTCCAGTCTCTAAAGCTGTGGCAGGAATCCTTTTTTCTGCCTGAGTTCCTTTGCGGGTAACCTTTCAGGGGCCACACGCTAGTTGAGAGTGGGGTAACAGATGTGACTTACCTTTGGTCAGTAGACTGCAGTCCAGCCATGCTCAAATTAGAGATCTCTACATGCCCATCTCCGCATCCATGCAAGCTAGAGGGGTTATTATAGTCCAAGGACACATTCCAGCCAGGCGAAAACATGAGCCTGGCCACTGAGGCATACAGCATGGGGAGAGGGGGTTTGGCCTGTGGAGAGTGATGAGGGCCAGATAGAGAAGCCTGGAGGGCTGCATTTGGCTCCTGGGCCTGAGGTTGCCCACCCCTTCCATCAGACCTTCCAGTTAAGATAATACAAGGTGAGTCTTTTAAAAGAGGCCCTGTGGAACATGTGTACTCTGTATCCGCGGGGCCTCTTTTAAAGGACTTGCCCTGTAGTAAGAGAGGCTAGCAAGGTTATGATGACCTGGTTTTTTATTATCTAACAGCTCGCTCTTTTCTTCAGGAGTTTTTAAAGAAAGAATTTAGTGAAGAAAATGTTTTGTTCTGGCTAGCATGTGAAGAGTTTAAGAAGATAAAAGATGAGAAACAGGTATTGTCTTCGAAACCAATTTGACTGAAAGATTCCATTGTAGTCTTGAGGCATAGCATGCATTTCCTACAAAGCTATCAGGTATGCTTCAAAATCATGTGAATATACATAGAAAATAATACGACCTACTTCTCTTGTGTTTACAACAACATAACCTCATTGGGGGTGAGGTAAAAATGACTGCAGATGAGGACAGAGTTTTTATGGATGTCAAAGCTTATCGTTCTCTGATTCTTTTTAAGATCAAAGAAGTATATTCAATTCTTTTTACTTAATATATGTCTAAAAAGTCTGTAGGATTTCCTGCTGCTGCATATTGAAATGCATTTGTTACTGTGGTTTCTTGGCGTAACATTCATTATTCCCCTTTCTCCTGCTTTAGCAAACCCACAGATGTACAATATTGAAAAATAAAACGCTTGCTTAGTATATGTGTCCTTCTGTTTACAGATGCAAGCGAAGGCAAATGAAATTTACATGACTTTCCTGTCAAGTAAAGCTTCTTTTCAAGTTAATGTTGAAGGGCAATCCCGTTTGGATGAGTCAATATTGGAAAAACCTCACCCTCTAATGTTTCAGAGACTTCAAGACCAGGTAAGGTTCAGAAGCTTCCCTGATTAGGTGGCTGTCTAGCTACCAACAAGAACACTGAGCTAAAAGAGACACAAGGTCCTGCTAGCTAGGGATAATGGGAGTTGTAGTCCAAAAAGCAGCTGGAGACCCAAGTTTGGGAAACACTGGTGTAGGTGCAGCTCCACAGTGATTAATCTTCCCCACACAAATTGCCAAGCATTTTTTAAGGCACTTTATTGAAAGTTTCTGTGGGAAGACAGAGGCTTTGGGATTCTGGAATTATTTTTGTGGCTCAGAAGCTGATATATGTCAAAAAGTGCATTTGGAACACTGGCAATGGCTCAGGACCCCAGGGGAGGCCACCTCTTCCTATATGAACTAACTTGGACCCTGCAATCATCATTTGAGGCCCTTCTCCATGTGGCAACTCAACAGGAGGTCCAGAGAGTGGCAACATGAGAATGTCCATTTCAGTGGTGGTTCCTCACTGAACATCAGTACATATCTTTAGGTACCAGGGAAAAACATTTCTTTTCTGCCAGGCCTTTGGCTTTTTATTACCTGTGGCCTCCTTTAGTGAGTGTGACGTTTTAATCCTGCCTTTAAAAAATATTATTTGCTTTTAAGTTTTCCTCTGTTTTGTTTTATGCTGGCTTCAGTGTATGTGCTTGCTTGTTTATACATTGTTATACATTTGAGTTACTTTGGTAAAAAAAGAAACTAATAAGTTTAATAATAAATAAATGAATAATAAAAGTTACCTAGTTTTGTTGGAAGTGCTAGATCTCACTAATGCTTATGGGGGAAACTTCATTCCAAAGCACTGATATCAGATGTTCTCTACCCATATGCATAAAGTGGTAAAGGATTCTTTAGGTTGTTTTTTCTCAGTCATGAGGACCAGAGACTTTATCTGTGTGTATTTTTTATTTTTTTTTAGTTTTAAAAAGCTTGAATTTGTATATTTTGTGCTAGGAAAAAATATTTTGTGCTGTACTGCAGTTTCACAGTCATACCAGTTTCTGTGAACAGATTAATCTTGGGGAGGAAAGCAAGGCTCAGAACACCAACCTAAGCATATTTACTCAGAGGTAAATAAACGTCCAAGTAAATATGCCTAGCATTGCAATAAATAGGCTTATATGCCTAGCAACATTCATATTGTTTATCTACATAAATCTGTTTCATTTGCAGGGTCTGGCAAATGGCACTCATTACATTTAAAGCAACAGAGAAATACTGCAGGGTGCTTAGAGTCAGTGCTTTATATTGCTTTATACTGGTTATGAATAGTGTCCAGTATCTGACATAATGAATTATGAGAGTTATGAACATATTTCTCATGAACCATTTATTAGGACCAAAGGACCAGCTTTTATTGGCTGCATTTGGGTAATCATATCTCAGCTTACTAAGCCCAGATACAAATGAGCCTTATGGCTGAGCTGCAGCCGTTCACTGCTTCCTTCAAGCAAGCTGCAGAACAACGCAGGAAGTCTAGGCTTAACAGCATCAAAATAGCATATTAAACCATGGTTTGAAGTTGGTATAATATCCTGAGTTGTTCCGAAGCTGTTAGCCACAGTTTACCTGTTTGGAAGCTATAGGGAGTATAAAGCCTTCCTACTTTGTTTCGCTGCTTGCACAAAGGGAAGGAACGAAGGGGTTATATATGCAGCCAAAATACACGTCCATATCTTTATTTTATTAAGCAAAGATATGATTGTTCAAGCTCACTTAGTGTGTCCCCCCCAATCTTATTTCATCACGTTAAAACAGTAAAGATATCCAGCCTACCTCATGAGCCTTGGACAAGTGCAGTAAATTTTTAGCCCTGATTAGCTCTGTTTAGAAAACTAAATTCCCAGCAATTCACAACACAAGTCACCAAGGACAGCATGATGATTGCCTCTCCATGGTCCAGTTATGTCACTTCCCTTCTCTCTGACTCAAGTGAATGAACTGATAAGATGGAGCTCAGGCAGGCTTTAAGGTTTGTTTGTACAATTGTCCAAATTCTAAAGGCACAAAGATACAGGAAGCTGACACATCACTCTGAAAAAAAAAAAATCATTTGAAGGGTGAGTGGGACCAATTATATTTGCTAATTTGAGCTAGGAGAGATTCTGCACTAAAAAGAAAGATGGGGGAGGGCATGCAAGTTAAGCTTGATTCCCCAGCGAATCATATTTGAGCAAATACTTCCAATTGTAACATTTCAAACTGTTAGCATACTTCCAATTGTAACATTTCAAACTGTTAGCCTGAACTGTGAGAGGCTGCATGTGTGTGTGTGTGTGTGTGTGTGTGTGTGTGTGTGTGTGTATGTGTGTATATGTGTAAAATAATTAAGAATGAAAGAGTGAAGAAAAGAATAATGAAGGCCCGCACATGCCTCTCCCTTTCCTTCATGAGGGTCCTAATGCAGGATAGCATTTTAAATTTAGAACACCAAATTTTAAAATGTAGCAGTTCTTTGTAAGCTCATTTAGATGGTTATTAGAAATGCAAAGGTTGTGTTAACCTGCCAGAAGAGCCATTGATTAACAATTCTCAATATGTGTTACGACCTGATTCTATTACATATGGATTGGGCCCCATCACCCCTTCTGCCACACCTTTTGCTGCCATGGTGAGTGGGAGGGCTGGATGCCTCGGTGGCTCCACAGAGCCCCCCTGTTGGTGGTAGAAGGTTTGAATTACATCCTTAGTTTGTGGCAGCTTGAATTCTAGTTGCCTTTTAAGTCTCCTTTCTTTCATTTTTTAAAAAAGGTAATTGAAATATACTTGGAGTCCTGTAGTGATTTCATGCTCTTTATTGCAGCTTGTAAAACAGTGATTGAATTGCACCCCCCAAACCTCAGGCTTTTACATACATTATTTACACAATGAGTCCCATCTGATTGACTGATTCTGCTTCCCTCCTGAAGCCTGATTGGTCTTTTCCTGCAGGCTAATCAGTTGTTGCATTCTATGATCCTACCAGCCTAATAGGCTGATTAACTTCCTCCTGGAGCCTGATCGGTCTTTTCCTACAAGCCATCAGTTGTTGCATTCTAGGATCCTACTTGCCTATTGTTCTAGGATCCAAGCTTAGTACACAACAGTAACCCCATGCAATAAAGTATCTTTCGTGAGGTGTGGGTACAAACCAATGCCCAATCACATATAATTTAGTAAAGCAATTTTTAACAGTATCAGAGAGCACAGAGCTCAAAGCATTAAAAAATAATCAACAAACGTATTTCTTAGTGCTACCTTATTACATTATTTGTTCAGGTCAATAAGGCAATTAGAAGCTGCAGTTACATTATCATTCCTTTTCCAAGCTGTGTTACAGGGTCCAACACCAAAATTGTGTGCATTTTTTAAAAAAACCAAGGAATCCATTGTTTACAAGTTATGTTTTCCCCCCTGCTTTAAATGTGACCACACACCCCTCCAACTAGTACTGGAGAAATCCCCACCACTGCTCTCATATTTCAGATGCTGCCCTTCTCTGACCTGTAACTAGACTGTGATGCAATCCCACAGGTATATTTCTGTCATGCTCTGAAATCATTTCCTTCACCATTAACTCTGATCCCTGATGAAACTGACAAGCTGAAAGTTTTACCAATGCTCTCAGTTGTGTGTGTTTTGAGTACTAGTGTGCATGCTATTTCTGCTATACATATAGCACCCCTGGAAGGAACCCCCCTCCTGCCTAAACTTCTCCCTTCATCATTGGAATGGCTGAGGTAATGTCTCTAGGGTAGACTGTATACTTTTTAATTGAAAAATGGCATAAGTTGTGTCTTTATCACAACAACCCAAAATCACTGATATGCAGTTCATAGTAGTAGACCAACTAGTTACCTAGTTGAGAGGGGTTTGAGGCCTGAACATTATATCCATGTCTTGATGTGATAGTTTTCTTTGTACAGAAGTTTGTTACATTAGATGACCATTGAGAAATGTGGTTTCATAGCTGAATCTGTTGTTGCACAAACCCTATCATATGATCTCTATCATATGATCTGCTGAACACTCTCTTTCCTTCCCTAATACCAACATTCAACCATGTTTGCCTGGTGTTTTGCTCAATGTATCTTAAGAACTTTGTATACAAAATGTGCAACAATGATGAACAACAATATCCTCTAGTCTAGTCCGTCAATATGATATCTTCTTTTGGCAATCACTAAATGTGGTATGCAAAAAGTGTTACACTGTTGAAGAATGATATAATTCTTCCTCAATTAGGTTCCTCAATATGATACCTTTATTTGGAAGTCACTGAATGTGGCAGATTAGAAATGCTTCCTTTTGCTTAAACTAAATTACAGCTTCGAGGCATCTTAATAGTTTGAAAATAAGCAGCACCACCAAGCTCCTTATCTGGTAATCATGATGTTGTAGCTGAAACACAAAAGATACATTTTAATTTAAAAGTTGTTGCAATATGGCTGAGTTGTGCTGAGTTCTTGCAGCTGTGGGCTAAAAAAGAGAAGAAAAAGCCTGCAGTCCACTAGCCATAAATATGATGTTTTAGAAACAGACTTTTTGAAACTTCTGCATATGAGATTTTGTTCCCAATTTGGGTTGAGAATGCAAAACATTCCTTAATAGTTTAGTGACTCTAAGCACTGTGCAGTGAAATCCATCACAACTACTCTGATTATTCTGCAGCTAGAGGATTATATAGGCTTCTATTCTACTTCCATTACTATTTCATTTCTCTCAGATCCTCCTTTTCCAATCTTAAATTCAGTTCTCCACTTTTCTGAAGCAATTTGCATTCTCCCCCCCTTTTTTTTTTAAAAAAAGAGAATTCTTGTGAAAAGTCTTTAGCACTTAGTGCAAATTTCTCTCAGTAAAAAGATTTTTGTGTGCAGTGGTACATCGACTACATCAGACCTGGGTGGTATCATTAACTGTGGACCATTTGGCAGGCTGCTGTGAGAGATTAGTGAAGCACTTTGGGGGCAAAATCATTCAGATCCATGCTGAACTTGAGGCCATAAGAGGTCCCCGGAGTACCATGCAGTTACAGCCTGTGGGATCAGTTTCAGTTATTGCAGCCTCGGGACATGAGCAGGACACTTGCAACAACCATATTGGCTAACAGCTCACTACACGAGGGACTTATGCCCAGTACCCTGAAGAGAAGTGTCTGTCTTTTTCATTAGTTTAAAATTAAAAGCACTCCTGAAATAAACTGTTCCTGGCAACCTTGATGTATTGATGATAATGATGAGGATGATGATTTTAATTCTACTGTTTTGCTATTTTGTTTGTCAGTCTGAGCTGGCAATATCATGCTGCTAGACCATTTGTAGTATAGTTTTGCAGCATCTTAACAAGAAAATACAAGAAGGTTATTAGTGTTATGTCTGTCTTTTATTAGAAAATAAAAGATAGTGATAAATAAATGACTGATTTTAAATAAGTTTATGGAGCTCAAAAATGGCAAGCATGATAGGTAGGGCATATGTGCTGGGCTTCAGTGGCTCCCTTTTACAGCAGCAGGTTTTGGCAAAATATAGCTGGATGTGCACACAGAAAACACACACGGTACTCCTGATGGTGTGACAAGTTAATTGCAAGTCAGTGGCCATTTCACTTGTAACAATGATTGGGTAGTACTAGGAGCCACCTGTCTGGAAACAGGCAAAGTTGGACTTACCTGTGGGTTGCAGCAATTTTGTTGGTTGCTCATAAGTTGTTGTTTGTTTGTTGTTGTTGTTATATATCATGGGTAGGCACACTAAGACCCAGGGTCCGGATCCGGCCCAATCGTCTTCTAAATCTGGCCCGCGGACGGTCTGGGAATCAGCGTGTTTTTACACGAGTAGAATGTGTCCTTTTATTTAAAATGCATCTCTGGGTTATTTGTGGGGCATAGGAATTCGTTCACCCCCCCCAAATATAGTATCCCCCCCAAAAAAGGTCTGAGGGACAGTGGACTGGCCCCCTGCTGAAAAAGTTTGCTGGCCCCTGTTATATATATTTATTTATACCCTGCCTTTCCCCCTGACTAGGCAATAAAATAATTACAATATAAACAGTAGAGCACCAGCCCTTTAATTAAAAGCAGCTCATTCCCAAAAACCCATTGGAAGGACAGCAAGGAGGGAGCCAGTCTAGCTTCTCTAGGGAGGGAGTTCCAAAGTCTGGCAGTAGCCAGTTGGCTTACTGCACTACAGGGTGTCAGGAAGGCTGTGCCAAGATGGAACTTTGAATGAGTGATCTAGGATAAAATAACACCTGTATACTGAGTCAAACCAAAATTTATTTATTTATTTATTAAATTTATATACCGCCCTATACCTGGAGGTCTCAGGACAGTTCACAGAACAAAATCAGAATATAAAACCACAATTTTATAATCTAAATAAAAACAACAACCCAATAACCCCCCCCCAAATAGCCACATTTTAAAAGGGCATAGGATGTCAATCAGATCAACCAAAGGCCTGGTTAAAAAGGAACGTTTTTGCCTGGCACCAAAAGGTGTATAATGAAGGCTCCAGGCGAACTTCCCTGGGGAGAGCATTCCACAGATGGGGAGCCACTGCAGAGAAGGCCCATTCTTGTGTTGCCACCCTCCAGACCTCTTGATGAGGAGGCACATGAAGAAGGGCCTCAGAAGATGATCTCAGGGTCCAGGTAGGTTCATATGGGAAGAGGCGGTACTTGAGGTATTGTGGTCCTGAGACGTTTAAGGCTTTGTAGGTCAAAATCAGAACTTTGAATTAGTGGCTTTACTTAATAACAGTGTTTAGGAAGTCTTGTACTTAAAAAAAAACTAGTAAAACAAAGCTTTCATTTTAATTTTTGATTCTGCAGTAGTTACTTGGTTGCATTTGGGGATATGCTGTTCTGGCTAAGTTCAGCAGTGGGATATTTTCTACATAAGACAAATCATAACATAACAGAGTGGTTTCCGGTCATTTATCTGACAATGGCTAAATTGGATTGTTATAAAAAGGAATAGCAGTATATTGTGCCATACATAGTACTCAAGATGTATTTTTTTTTTAAATGTGATATTGCTATTATTATTATTATTATTATTATTATTATTATTATTATTATACCCTGCCTATCTGGCTGGCTTTCCCCAGCCACTCTGGGTGGCTTACAACATATCTAAAATCATAATAAAAGTACCAATCCTTAAAAACTTCCTTAAACGGGGTTGCCTATTGCATACTTTTAAGATATGTAGTTACCCAACAAATTCTAAAGCTGATCATATTTTATTTGGGATGGCTATTGTGAGGTAATAGTAACAACATATTCTCCTTAGTACAGCTGACACAGATTTGTTCTTTTCATTTAATATGTTGAATTATGGTCTAACAGTTTGGGGGCTCATTGAAGATCTCTGTTGTACGACTTTCTTAGTTTATGTGTTTTAAGGCTTTGTTTCATCTAGATTGTTTTCCCTGCCCCCCCCCTTCAGATTTTCAGCCTCATGAAGTACGACAGCTACAGCCGCTTCTTGAAATCAGAAGTGTTTCTTAAGCTGAAGCAGACCGAAGAACAGGAAGAGAATTTACCAGATGCTCAAACTGTAGCGAAAAGAGCTTCGAGAATTTACAACACATGATTGAAACAACAACAAACAGTAGATCCCACTGAGACTACAATAACCAAATGAGTTCTCAGGATTAGTCTGTGAGGTTAACACAACTGCATTTCAAGCTTGGAAAACATAGAACCCTGTTAGGCGATGCTTAACCTTCGTTGCTTGAATGACATAACTGTTTTTGCATAATGGCTACCACCGAAACCCTCGGCCAAGGCAGTTACACTAAACCCCTAAAAGGACTGAAGGACTCAAGAGTAATCTGTGAACAGAAAACTCGGTTATTTTTACCTTCTGGTTTTGATACCGTTCCTTGTGAATCATTATTATTTTTTAAGTGGGGATGTAGCATAAAATTGTGATAAGTTTAAAAACACAGGTAGTATGAGGGAGAGGCAGTATACCTGTTTTTTTAAAACACTCTTAGAGCCTTGTGTAAATAGACTTTCCACTTTTTAAGCTTTAACTGTTTTTTGAGCGGGTTCAAATTCTGCCTAAATTTTGCTTAAACTGAAGTAAAAGAAAATGAATTGAAATATTTTTCTGATACTGACAAGAATAGAGAAGCCTCTGTTAAGGGAAGCACAAAGGCAGGAGACTATTCCTCTGAGGCATTAGTTTAAAACCATGCCTACCTTTTTTTCCCTGGAACTAATCAAAATAATTGAAAAACAATCATTTTCTCTATCTTTGTAATACAACACATGCTATTCACTCTAAAAGCTGCTTTCAGAATGGCTTTTGTAGGGTTTTCTGTGGCTTGGTTTTAAATCTGTTTGTGCTAGGGAAAGATTGCCTATTTCTCCTGTGAACCCTTATTGTTCAGGGTTCTTACTTTTTCTCCCCCTTCTTTGTTCTGAAACTGAGACTCCCTAACTGAATTTCAAGAAGAGTGTTACTAATTTTGTCAAACAACAGCTAGCTTACTGCTGTAACAAACCTAGGCCACAAATTACCTTTTGTCTGCATTCAAAGTACGCTTAGACTTGGAGACTGGCCAGTAGCATCCTTCTGCATTAATCTACCCAGAAAGACGAAATGCAAAGCTAGTGCCTCACCCAGTGAGTGTCTATTTCCAGCTCAACAGCAAGTATGAACTAGCTTTTAAGCCTTGTGTACTTGTTCCAAGGAATTCTGTCTCGGTTGCCAAAATTTGTTTCTTTTCTTTTGTACAGACATTCTAACCAGGTTTTATTTTCACCTGCTTTTGTCCTAAACTTGTTTGTATATTCTGCAGCAGCGCACTCCCTTAGCAATCAAAACAACCCCTCTCCAAGTTGTGGAACCAGTCTGCACATCACATCACATCATAGTTTAAAGCACGCTATGGTTTAATGTGAATGATCCACGCCATGAATTAATGTTAATGTTGGTGCACGCTGCTCACAAGGTGCTCTTGTCCTGGTTTGTTTCCCACAAGCAAAACACAAGCTGTAAGCCAAGGAGAGACGTTGGCTCCTGCTCATGGTTTGTTTAGATAGAAACTATCCACAAACCTGGGTTCAAGTGACATGACTGACTTTGGGGGGGAAAGGAGCATCGTGGAAACATTTGAGTTATATGCACAAGCATGATGCTTATTCACATTAAACCATAGCTCAGTTTTAAACAGCAGCTTAATGTGATATGTGGACCATGCTACAGACTCTGCTCATATTGGATTTCACTCTACGTGTGATTCCCCCCCAAAAAAATTTACAACTCCTGCGACCAGCTTGTCTGCAGTTAGAAAAATAGTACCATAAACTTTGGAGGGACCAGCTGCCATCCTTTTGGCTGCTTAAGAAAGACCTGTGTGTTGTGTGGGAAGGCAGGAGTGAGGAAACAGAGGCAAGGGACCACCCACCATTCACTCCTGTGAAGAGACCATCAGTCAGCCCAAGAGGAGTCTGATTTTTTTATATATTATAACATTTATTTGGTTTATTACTTTTTATATTGTAAACTGCCTTGGGTGCCTTGGCAGTATATAGATGCAATAAATAAATAAATAAATGTAATATGCCTTACTCAATTATTTCTTACAAACCTATTATTTGTGTGTCCATAAATTCCTGTCTCACATCCCAAGAAGCATACTATCTAGCAAAGGATTCAGCATAACTCACCTGTCAGTAGTTTCACCCATGAATTTAAGAATGATTGGCAACTCACCATGCAAACAGATGTACCTGAAAATAGATGCTGCTATGCTCTAGAAGTGTATTCCCCATGCTGCTGTGTGCACCTAATCCATTGGTTCCACTGGTTTGCAGAAGCATTGCCTGGCTAGCTATGCACAGAGATATTTGACTGGAACTTCTGACATCACATTCCCTGTTCTCTTCCTAAATCAGTCTTGCAGCATTTATCCCGCTTTAAAATAAGGGAACAATTTTAAGCTCATCAAGTTCTGCTTGAATGTGCGTGTGCATGTTAAAAGAACAGCTGCTGAGATATAAAGCACATTATGGACAAATTCCAATTTCTAGTACAGTACTCTGCTTCAATACACTACACAAATGATAATTGAGAGGTTTTATTGAGTTTGTCAGTCTTGAAAATAACCTTGTTTGGATTTGCCTGTTTCCTATGTGCAAATGTTGGTGATGCCAACGGAACGGTGAATATATCTTTCTAGTTGATGTTGATATTTGAATTTGGCTGCATTTGGAAACTTTCCTCCTTCTCTATGACTGAGATGATGAGCAAAGGTAAACTATAAAAATTACATAGAAAATCTTGATTGGAAACTTTATTGAAATAGCTACCTTTTTAAGGCTGGGGTTGCATGTGGGAAGAAAAGCTTTTCTGGCACAGTTCTTCCATGTGTTTACTTTTTTTTAGACTCGTTAGTTTGATGCCAAATGACTGCACTGCTGTTAATCATGAAGGAAGCAGATTGGCTGGCATACTTTGTTTACAAGTTCTGCCATGTGCAGCATTATTCTGGCTTACATTTTCTTCATTATTTACTCTTCCCCCCCTCTATGTGTGGCCTTTATTGCTCAGTTTAACTTAAATATTTGAACATTCTATTTACCTGGAAGCAAGTTGCGCTTTGTACAGTATTATTTTTGGCAGTATTATGTGCCAGGAGGAGGTACATAGCTATACGTAGCTATGGGGGGTAGTGAACACCAGTGTCTTCCCAACTACACATGTCACCTACAAATGAAAAACAGTAGCAGCTATTACGTTCCTTTCCTCTTTAAATAGACACATATCTGAGAGGGTTCTGAAGAAACTAGCAAAGAAAGACTTCGTCTGCTCATGTTCTCTTCCTTTGAGTCATCCTGTACCCAAGGGTAATGTTTATAGGAATAGTAACTGCTTCCCTACAAATATATCCACAATTCCTTCACAGATATGTGCTTTATTTTGTGCTGTTACTAAGGATTTGTGCAGGCTAGATTAGTTGCCATGAACCTTACAACCCTTGCTTGTTGTACAATGATTTCGCTCAAGGCTTGAACTTTCAGCATTGATTTAGGAGAGGGAATGAAGGAGCAAAACTTTCTCCATGAAACAAACTGAAACATCCTGTGAAAATGAGATAGGGAAGGAAGACCATGAAGTTCTGGATGGGCACTGTGAAAGAATGGATGGAGAATCAGCAGCTATTACTACCAGGCATGGAATGAGTATTTGCTCTCGAGCAACAGCAGACACAACAGGTTTATTTAGAGATTATTATTTTCTGCTACCTTCGTAGTAGCATGGATGAATGAGATGTGCAAGATTAGCCGTGTTAAAATAGTATTTGCATGTGGAATGACTAGCCCTGTGGCTGCAGTTGTACACAGCCACTTGTACTACTTTGGGGAAATTTGTTTTTAAGATTCCTCCAGCTGTCCAATCGTCAAGCTGCTTAGTGCAATCTTAAGATCTGGATTTAGATGGCTGTTTCCACCACGGGGTGTGTGGGAGGGTGTCCATGCACAATTATGCCATCTGAAATTTTGTTTGCAAATGTGATTGCTTCACAGCTAATGACATGGTCAGATCTTTGAGCCAGATATAGAAGGGATGAGAGGGCATCAGATGCAAAGTCAAGACGTCAAAGTTGCACAGAAGATTTTTTATTCAGCCCACTACATTTCAAGTCTTAAGAGCCTTTTTTCAGGGGCAAATCATTTTAGTTCAAAGGATAACCAAAGCTCTCTTCCACATCATATCAAAGTTTCTGAGTTGCCCCTGAGGAACAACCATAATATTTGAAATGGGTTCAATGACTCATTTTCTGTGCACTTTTGAAGTTCCAGCTCTATTCATTGGGGAGTAGGTTGCATGCAAAGACCGGGAAAAAAAAATACGAGGCACTACACTTCTGTAAAACAAGAAAATCCTTAATAAAATATTTTAAAAATAAATAAATAATAATTTATGCAAGGATTCAAATTCCTGGAATAGCCAGACTAGCTTCCTAGTGAGGTTATGGGCCATTAAAGGAACAAATAAAGTGGCTCTCTGCTAGATATCAAAAGGACGGACACCCCCCCTCAACTGGCTGGTAATTTAAGGCCAGAGCTGAGAGTGAAGTTAGGAGGTGGAAGCAAGGCAGCAGGCTGGGAAGCCAGAAAGACAGAGTAATGCTTGATCTTTCTTTGAATCCAAGGTTGTGGATATGGGGAAGCAAGCCCCTCTTGGGCTGTTAATGCTGTGAAGCCCTCCATCATAGGCTCAGGTCGTATACATGTGTAAACCATACATCATAAAGACACCCAAGTACCCTCTGTATCTCATTGCAAAGGGAGCATGAACCCTGGGTAAGCGCCTGGAAACCTCTGGAATCTTGCCCTGCTCAGAGATTGGAGTGGTGTGCAAAAGTGGTGTCTTATTTAAGTGACACTCCAGAATCACATTCGTGCCAACGTATGAATATGTCTCCATAAGTTTCAATATCAAGCTGTGCAGTCTGTAATCAACAAAAACTTTCACTGATTAAGCTGCTAATTAAGACTTGGCAGCCCTAAGTCAGAATGCTTGTGTGATTGCAGGTTGCTGTCAGTTAAGACAGCAAGCTCTTTATTTTAGCTAAAAATTGCAATGTCTGAATCACATTCTTTTGAAAATACATGGATTTATGCTGCAGAAAGGAATGCATTGGCAGATGGAACAGCACCCTCTACTGATTACTTCAAAGAATTAAATGGACATAAAATTTGACAGGTGACAGTTTGGTACTAATTCCTCAATTTTAACATAGTGTCACTCTGTTACATTCTCCTTTCATGCATGTTATATTCTAGAATAACTCTCCTTAGAGTTGTACAAGACACTAATAACTATGTTATCCAAAGGACCAGACACTATCTCTTTTTCAGAATATTCTCGGTTGCAAAAATATTGGCCAAATATATCCCCCCACCCACCCCAAAAAAATAATAATGAAAAAAATCCTCCCTTCTGACAGTTTCAGACTGTCATATTTCTCTTACAGGCTTGGGAAGTTTTTATGAGTACATTTTACAAATTAAATTGCTCCTTCCTTCCGTCCTTCATCACTCCCTCCCTCTCTCCCTATCCTTTAAACAGAAAGCAAAAAAGGCACACTTACTATAATATGCTGCCACGTTCTCTTACTGTGAATGCTTTGCTTTGGGGTGAGTGTTCAGATCACTGAAAGATGAACTCCTTGGAAGACAGACCAGGTGCAACTGTTTAATGGATTTTATTCAGGAGAAAAGGGGAAACAGGTAGAGGACCTTCTCATTAGTGGCACCCGCCCTGCGGAACGCCCTCCCATCGGATGTCAAACAGATAAACAACTATCTGACGTTCAGAAGACATCTGAAGGCAGCCCTGTCTTCCCTAAAGTTTTTAATGACTGATGTTTTAATGTATTTTTAATCTTGTTGGATGCGGGTGGCGCTGTGGGTAAAACCTCAGTGCCTAGGACTTGCTGATCGTATGGTCGGCGGTTCGACCCCCACGGCGGGGTGAGCTCCCGTCCTTCGGTCCCAGCTCCTGCCCACCTAGCAGTTCGAAAGCACCCTTAAGTGCAAGTGGATAAATAGGTACCGCGTTATAGCGGGAAGGTAAACGGCGTTTCCATGTGGTGCGCTGGTGCTGGCTCACCAGAGCAGCTTCGTCACGCTGGCCACGTGACCCGGAAGTGTCTCTGGACAGCGCTGGCCCCCGGCCTCTTATGTGAGATGGGCGCACAACCCTAGAGTCGGACACGACTGGCCCGTACGGGCAGGGGTACCTTTACCTTTACCTTTAATCTTGTTGGAAGCTGCCCAGAGTGACTAGGGAAACCCAGTCAGATGGGTGGGGTACTACTACTACTACTACTACTAATAATAAACAAACAAACAAACAAACAAACAAACACCAAGCTAAGCTTGTTGGTTAATATAGCACTACTTATGGTAGGAGCTATGGTGGGATCTTCTTACACACAAACCTCTGAAACAGGAGGCCTCACCTCTTAATTGTATGCCTAACCCAAGCTATCTTCCCTTTACCCTGGGGCCAATCCTACTGACTGCTTCAAATGACAAATTGCAATGGCTCTTTCCCCCACATCCTTCCCTTTCAGTGTCCCTTTACCTCAAAGCAGTCCCTGCTTCCCATGCAGCCTCACTCCTGATCTGTTCCCTGCAGCCAATTCAATTTAAAAACACCCGTCATTCACTTTCTCACATAAGTGACATTCATGAATGTTATGTTCTTAGCTTCACTTGTGAAAACAGCCGTAGTGATTTGTGTGTTTGATCGTGACTAATGCAGTTCAGGCCTGCATTTACGGTACCTGTGATCTGCCAAGGCAATCTCAGCCAGCCAGCCAAGTGTGATGTCCTACCATATGCTTGAGACAGCTGCCTTGCTTTTGCAGTCCCACGCTGCCAAACGGAACTAGCATGTTTGATCAGCTCTCGCTGGCCAACATCCATAGCTGGTGTGCTGCGTTCAACTTGGTAAGTTGCAAGTCATGTAGGACTGTCATTGCTGATAAAACAATATCAAGCAGCATTCAAGCAGCCAACCAGATTTCTATGTTTTTGAAGCCAAAGAGCATTGCAGATCAAAAAATATTCTCCACATTACAATGATTGACAAATAGAACCCTTCAATCTTCTTTTGAGTGTGTAGAGTAGGAAGGGAGGGCATATTCAAATAACAGTTCCTCATTAAATCATATTTCAAAAGTGTGACAAAGTAAGTTGTTCATGTCCATTCTTGCCCTGGTCAGGGAAATTTCAGAAGGTCTGTTATCTCAGAAGTGAATGAATAGGATTTTCCTTTTCTTGCCTGCTCTAATGCCCTCGCTGCTGCTGCTGCAAGCCTTTTACAGTGTGCTCCTATGTATCTACTCAGAAGTGAGTCTCATTAAGTTCAACTCCCAGGTAAATGTTTATAGGGACTGGAGGCTTACTGCCACTACCATCAACAGAAGTAACAACTGAAATTTCAATTACCTTATATAATGCTTCCCCCAAAGAATCCTGGAAACTATAGTTGATCCCCTCACAAAGCTAGAGTTTCCAGAACCCTTGACAAATTCCTGTTCCCTGGGTTATTTGGAGAACGCCATGTGCTGTAAATGTCCTTTAACTGCATTGTGTGGCTGTGACCTGTATTTCTTCACATGTTCCTGGTCTGAGCATTAGCACTCCAAATAGTTTTTAGGTGTAGCGTGGGACGGGGGGGGGGGGCGGGGGAGTGCAGCCCCAGACACACAATTTTCAGGGTGTGTGAACCAGTTGCAGGGATCTCAGTCCCACCCT